GTTGTTAAGATAATTGAATTATAAAAGTGCTATTTTATATGGAATACATGGTGGCCCGCCCGATTGTCTGGCCCGCTCGTTTATAGGTTACGTTACATTATGCTAATTACTATCTGCACAAACTCTGAGGGACCTGTCAGATAGATTATTGAGATTCGTAGCTATTGTAAACAATCTACTGAAAATAATGATTACAATAGTTTCATTGACTGTGATGCAGCGTTACCCTTGCTGCTTCCATATCACCACCTGCAGCCTCTTTTACTACGCCTCATCGAACTTTTTATAGATATTCCATTCCGAGATCCAGTGGTAAAATACATGTTCTTGACCTCAATAGATTGAGGCCAGATTCAGTGCACATAAATTTGTAGCGACGAATGATGAAAAGGGAACAAAATAAGCGGCCATCATCAAGAAACCAGAAAGTCAGTGGTTATATCAACCGAACGCCAGCCCACTGAGCAGGACGAGCCAAGGCTCGCACTCAAGGAAGGGTCTCGACATATTCCACAGTTTCGATTTCTTTCTCCGCCCGTCCTTCACTAGGACGCTTGCACGCGTACGACGCAAAGCCCCTAGTTGGTAATTGCTCATTGAACATTTCGTCAATCTGCTCCAGGCTTCGCTGCCGTAGCTCGGGGACGAAGAAAAACACAAAAAGGAAGCCCACTACCGACAATGATCCGTAGATAAAGGCAACGCTACCGCCAATGGCGTCTTGTGTGTACGGGTTCACAAATACGATGATCAAACCGACACCGTAGGCAGAAAACCCAGAGAGCGTAACCATTTTCTCTCGGACGGAGGTTGGCGGGACCTCGGAGGTAATAACCCAGGCAAGAGGGCCCCAGGTGGTCTGGAAGCAGAAGAACCACAGCATCAGCATGACAACCGCTGCTATCTGCATCGAGTATGACATATGTGACGGCCCTCCGGTTGTCAGCCCACCGATGACCATCATACACGCACCGAGGAGTGCCGCACCACCAAGCAAGACACCGCGCCGGCCTGATCGGTCAGAGGTTACCATGCTTAAGAGATTGGCTACCACTCCGATGACATAGACAATGACAGACATAAGCAGCACTTCGCGAAAACCAATCTGGGATAGAAAAACAGCTTGGTAGTTCGCGACAAACGAAATTCCTTGAGCCTGCTGGAAGACCTGAACCCCGATACATATGACTGTCCTGCGGAGATTAACCGCATTAGAGAAGCAATCCTTCCAGCTAGCAGCCTCTCGCAATTCCCGCTCTTCCTCCAATGTTTGTTGCAGTATAATGACCTCCTCTGCGGCAGGATATTCGGGACCACGGAGACGGCGAAGGGCACTGGTTGCTTCGTCGAGCCTGCCTCGTCTGATCAGCCAGTGCGGTGACTCTGGCAGGAAAGGTAAGCTGATCCAACCCACGGCAGGGATACCAATTTGCGCCACAACAACAACTCTCCAGGCCCAGTCGGTAGTGATATGGCGACACAGGTAGACGATGAGAGCAGCTGCCAAGCCACCAATCATGAGGAACGCGTTGTATGTGCCCGCCATGAGCCCTCGTAGTGATGGCGGAGCACACTCGCCCTGATATGTGGGGATGGCGTTGGTGGCAATGCCTCCGCCAAAGTACACAACGGCTTTACCGACAACAAATTGTGCATAGCTCGTGGTACAGGTCGACTCGATGATGACACCCACTGCGACCACAAAGGACTGGATATAGAGCGTCATCTTGCGACCGAAGCGTTCATTCAACGGCGTGCCACATATCACGCCTAGAATGACACCAACGTAACCCATACCAGTGCCAATTGACTGATCTCTGGAGGAGAGAACCCATTTCTCCTGGCTTTGGTCATACGACCCGAATGTCTGCAAGAACTGGTCCAAGCTCATGATAGCGGACCACCAGGCCTGGTCAAAACCAAATCCAGCGGAGGATAAGGAGCCAAAGATCATGACCATGAATATGGTCCACGTGTACTTGGGCGTTGTCGATGGCATTGTGATGTCTGTGGAATGGGCCATATCGTAGATAATAGTTGCAGGAGAAGGTAAAATCCCAACTAATGTGAATATAATGAGCCTTGAACTCTGTTGCAGGTGAAACCACTGCTCACCTTTTATCACATTTCCTGCCCCAGGAAATCTCCAACAAGCCTTCTCCAGGGTTTGCCTCCACCTATGACAGCGAAATACGGGGGCTCTATTATGGAGAAACAATATCTAGCCCCGGCTCATACTTTGCCCCCGCTTTGTTCGTATCCTAATTCAGCCATGTGGAATAGCGTTTGACGGAACCACATTGTGGTCTATATCCAAGACGGAATATAGTTTCAATCCCGGGCCGTTGGTGTTCAAATAAGCCATTAATGGACCATGATATGGTATGAGGCCAGTGGTATACCCACGATAATATAGCCTTAAGTAAAAGGTAGTAGTTTACTGGACGTTGCCCTGTACTTTCCAACACCGTCAGCTGGAATATCAATACATCGATGAAACTGTAGAAGCATAGAAGGGGTTATTTCCGTACTAAGCAAACCAATGAGTACACCAGGCGAACAGAAATATGCCGATGAACAGGCTGGCGCTCACAGTTGGTACAGCTCCTAGCAGTCTTGGCTCCAGGCTCTAGATTATCCCACCGGGAGTCTAAATGATATTTTCACGGAGCCTCTCGAATTGACCCACTATTTCGCCGACCGGTGGGGCGAAGTCCCACCTATCCTACGAGACCTAAATCTCAGGGTCGCCGAGTGGCCTATCGCATCTAGCAGGCTGCGTGGCGAAGATGCCCTGGATACGAGCAGTATACTATAACACTTGTTTTGGGGTTCTCTCGAACTCCACAATATAAATGATTCAGAGTAAGTTGAGATAACCAAAATGGCCAAGCGTACTTGAAGTTGTGAACTCGATTATTCTTCCTCTTCCTGTAACTATCATTAATTCATTCTTTCTATCTCACTCGCAGGGGGTTCCCAATCCGCTCAATATGAGTCACGGTGAGAAGCTCATGGTGGAGGAATTGCTTCAGGCTTTGACCTTGGAGGAGAAGGTCTCCCTGCTGGCGGGGAAAAATATGTGGGAGACAATGAACATCGACAGGCTGGGGATCCCGAGCTTGAAGATGACCGATGGGCCAGCTGGAGCAAGAGGGTCGAAATGGACATACGGTTCATTGACGACTTTCATTCCTTGTGGTATCTCATTGGCGGCCACATTTGACCCGGAGTTGGTTCAGAGAGTGGGCAGCGTTTTAGGGCAGGAGACACGACGCAAGCACTGCCAGGTCCTACTAGCACCAACAATGAATTTGTCACGTTCGCCGCTAGGTGGTCGCAACTTCGAGGGCTACGGCGAGGACCCATACCTAATTGGAAAGGTATCGACTTCCATGATTCAGGGGATCCAAAGCCAGGGTGTAGCGGCATGCATGAAGCACTTTATCGCGAACGACACCGAAACGCGGCGCTTTAATGTCGACCAAACCATTGACGAGCGTACTCTGCGTGAAGTATACATGAAACCCTTTGTGATGGCTCTTGATGCGAACCCATTGACTGCTATGGTGAGCTATCCAAAGATAAACGGATACCACGCCGACTTGAGCCCTGCCATCCTGAAACCGCTTTTGCGTGATGAATTACAATTTGACCGGATAGTCATGAGTGACTGGGGTGGATTAAACAGCACCGTTGAGAGCTTGATTGCTACTACCGACCTGGAAATGCCGGGACCAGCGGTGCGACGGGGTGACAAGCTCCTGGCTGCCATAGTACAAGGTCAGATCGACGTCGCCAAGCATGTTGATCCAAGTGTGCGACGGGTCTTGGAGCTACTGGAACGGGTCGGTCTGCTGTCCTGCTCATCCTCTGGTGGTTCCCTAAAGGGCGATGAGGCTGAATCTGAGAAAGCGCCGGACGACCCGACCTTTCATCGGATCACTCGTGAGGCTGCCCAGGATGGTCTCGTCCTCCTGAAGAACGAAGGCCTCTTACCTTTGCAACCATCCGCTCTACGAAAGGTTGCTATCTTGGGTCCCAATGCCCGCCGTCCGACTGCAGGTGGTGCTGGCAGTGCTGCTGTGAATCCATTTTACATCACTACACCTGAAGAATGCATTACGACGGCTATCCAACAGGCTAGCCCACAGACAGATATTGTTTATGAGCAAGGCATTCCGTTTAGTCTCCGCCCACCGTTACTAGGTGCCACGCTCACCATACCCAACGGCTCCCGGCAGGGACTGGAGGTGACTTTCTACGCCGGACACGAGTTTCAGGGACCTCCTATAACAACAAGCTATTGGGATGACTCCCTTATTTATCTCTTCAGTGATGGCGATGTACCGGAATCGCTCAAAGGCAACCCATATTGCTACCAGGCATCCGGCATTGTGACACCCCAGGCATCTGGTTGGTATACGTGGAGTGTGGCAAATACAGGCAAGGCTAAGCTGTTTATCAACGATGAAATGATGATTGATAATACGCAGTGGTCGCGGATAACTGGAGGCTTCCTAGGATGCTCCAGTGAAGACCGAACGATTCGTATGCATTTGGAAGCAGGGAAAGAATATCGACTGAGGGTGGATAATGTAGTGACATTGCCACCTATCGAATCTTTTGATAATACCCTCTTTCCGAATGTCTCAGGGCTGCGGGTTGGTCTTACCCTAGAGCAGGATCAGGACGCATTGCTGGGCCGCGCCGTGGACTGTGCTAGGTCATCCGATATAGCTATCCTTGTTGTCGGTCACAATAAAGACTCTGAGGGCGAAGGGGGCGATCGCATCGACATGCAATTGCCAGGCCGGACGGACGCCCTCGTACAGGCGGTATGCGATGCTAATCCTAATACAATCGTTGTCGTTCAGGCAGCCAGCGCAGTAACAATGCCGTGGGTGAACCAAGCCCGCGCAATCGTCATGGCCTGGTACCAGGGTCAGGAAAACGGGAATGCCTTGGCAGACGCTCTCCTAGGTCACTGTAACTTCTCCGGTAAAACTCCGATCACTTTTCCTCGCCAGCTAGAGGACCACGGTTCTCATGCATGGTTCCCCGGGCAGGCAGCCAACGACTCTTGCGAGTTTGGGGAGCAAGGGTTGGTTGGATATCGTCACTTCGATAAGCTCGGTATCAAGCCTCTATGGCCGTTTGGATATGGACTGTCTTACACGCGGTTTGAGGTCACTGACATTCGCCTTGACGGGTACATGACTACTACAGCGGCGTCCACCATCTCGGTCCACGCTCGCATCACCAATGTTGGTGAACAAGCTGGCTCTGAAGTAGTGCAGGTCTACATTAGCCCTTCTGAACGGATTGAAAAGAGAGGGCTAGTCACGTATGAAAAAACGCTGGCTGGATTTTCCAAGGTGTTTGTCCCTGTCGGAGATTCGAAAGACGTCAGTATTCCGATCGGCAAGGAAGAACTGCGTTGGTATGACGAAGAAACCCATTCATGGCAGATAGACCCGGGCAGGTACCACTGTTTCGTTGGCACCAGTGTGGTGGATATTCATTGCGAACTGGAATTCCATGTGGTGTAGCTGATGTTCAACGTTAAATGTAATTTATTGTCTTCCGACAATAGGGTTGATTGGGCCCCGTGCCTAGCGGGTCAGCTGATTCCGTGTATTTCAATACCATAGTATTTAATTTGACTGAATTTCCAATCATCCACCGCACTCAATTGACTATACGAAGTCCACTCAGCCTTCCCGATCATGGACCACTCGTCAAGTCCCTCCTCCATCCTACCTCCTTCGGTCCCCGTCGCCTGTCTCAACTGTCGCGAAAAGCATCTCAAGTGCGATGGTAATCTGACGGGATGTACCCGGTGCAAAGACCTAAGTCTCTTTTGCCACTTTGTACCGAGTCGCCGAGGGAGACGAGGGCGGCCTTGGCCCTACCCAGGTGCAATAGGAGACTACCCTCCACTGCCTGTCGAGCCCACGGGCAATGCAATGATGAGTCCTTTGGAATCTTTACCATGTGCTGCTCTAGAAGGGAGTGTGATCTGTTCTTCGCTCCCCTCTCCAGTGGACACCGAGCTGGTTCCGTTGTTTTTCCTCCATTTCCATCCAGCGCATCCATTCTTGGCGCCTCACGACGCATTCCTGCATTCTTCTCCCCCCGGCTACTTGCTGGACGTAGTACAGTTCATCAGCCTACATTACCTCCCTGCGAGTAATGTCCCGGACCACACCCATCAGCTAAGAACAGCCGTTCAAGAGGCAGATGCCAGTCTCGAAAAGGTACAAGCGCTTTTGCTTCTGTCTATCATCATGCATGCACGAACCCAACCACGAGAGGCGAAGGAATGCCTTGGACAGGCGATTGCTTTGAGTCTAGACCTTGGACTTCATTGTCGTGAATTTTCCGACGCTATGGAGGTCCAGAATCCTGTTGGGGCTGAGAGTGCCCGGCGGACGTGGTGGGAAATCTTCATTATTGACACCCTTCTCGCGGCTGTGCAAGTCGAAGGCGCTTTACAGCTGACGATAGAGACACCGGATCTTCCCCTGCCTTGTGAAATGGACGAATACCAGGATGGCCGCTTGGGAATCGTTCCAACCTCTCTCCGCGATATGGACCGTCAGGCCCTGTTTCACAATGATGGCGATTTCTCTTCCGCGGCGTATAGGGTTGAAGCAGCCACCATACTTCGAAGGTGCCTGATAGCGAGCGGTAATCATGTCTCCCATGAAACTATTAATATTCTCGATGTCACCATCTCGGCCTGGTTTCACCGTTTGCCTAGTGGCAAGCAGGCTATGTTGCATCATAACGGTGACGTGGATCAAATGATCTTTCAATCTTTCATGATAATGCACTGCGCTTCAATATACTTACACTTTCCGAAATCATACCTCCTCGCCTTCCTGCCCGTGACTAGTCACATCTTTTGCTCTCGACCCCCAACCTTCACATCCAGCTCAGCAAATCCTCAAATACACACAGCCAAAGTATACGGTGCGGCGGTTAACCTATCCAAGCTAGCGTCCTTAACGACCACGGTGACTAGTCATAGCCCCTTTTTTGTCTGCACGCTAGTTCTAAGTTCCATCGTCCAACTCGCCATCTTTACTGCTAATCCCCAGCAGTCGACTCGCACAGGCCGCAACTTCCTAGCCTTGAACATCGGCGTCCTAAAGTCCATGGGGGCTGTGTGGGCGATTGCGGCGGCTTCGATGGCCCGGATCCGCGACGTGGCTATCGAGGTGGAGTCAGCGCTTGCCGGGGAGCGCAGAGGCCTGTTAGATGATCAATTAACTCAGTCCGCGTTAGTCGACTCTCAAGAATTGGACCTAACACTTCTATGACGCGCACGCGTAATTTCGGCTTTTATTGAGCTAGTTCACTCGCTACAACCTTAACGGTGTGTATCTAGTCCATGTCACGCTTAGATGATCGTGACCTTATCGTGATCTACAATGTTCTATACGTGTATGTCTTGACAAGCCATTCATTCTCAGATCTATCTTCTCTAAGACAAAATTTCCCCTTGCCATTACCGAACTCTGTCCATCAAGTGCAATTCAGCCCACCTATAGACTTTCATACCCACGCATCCAGGCTGTATCCATTTCGATATGCTAGTGCTTCTTGTGGTCCCTCTGCATCAAGGATATATGCATACTCACATCGGTCAAAGGCTACCTTGGATTGAGCATTGTAAAAAGCATCGTACTTCTCATTCAAGGCATCTCGAAGGTTGTGCACGGATCCATTGGGATGCAACACACTCCATGGTTCGATGCAAGAAGTCCCTTTGCAGGATTTCAAGACCAAAAGGAGAGCATCAAGCCTTGGAACTACTTTCGAAAGGCTGTGTCCCATGATCTGTGTGTCTTGTGAGTCAACGGCCTGCGCGGTGACATAGAGGTTGTTGATTTGATACGGGTCACTCTAATGTCTTGTCAGCGGTCTAGAATTGCTCATCTTTAGCGGTTCAATGACATACCGTGAGATCATAAAGCTCATGTTCGTTATTGCACCATACAGAATAATAGAGATTGTACTCCTCGCTCAATATACGAACCGCCTTGTAAGTATTGTTCGGCACAGTTGGCTTGCCTGGCTCAGATGTAAGCACCCTAGAACCTCCAGATACTGAAAGCAATGGTAGCAGGGTCTTACCAAGGTTAGATAGTCCTCCCTCAAGCATCGCCTGTCCCCAATATTCAACCGTTACATGCTCGTGCAGGTTTTCCACGCTATTCCCTAGAATGCGCATAGGAGCGCCGTCGAAATCATCCCTCAGCGGAATCCCCGCCAGTTCATAGATGGTCGGAGCCAGGTCGATATGGGTGCTCACAGAGTCTTCCACTGCTCCTTCTGGGATTCCAGGGCCTCGAATGAAAAATGGGACTCGGATATCCTCATCGAACCCACACGTCTTTCCTGGGGGTAGTCGATGCTGGCCGATATGAAAGCCATTATCGGAGGTGTAGATAATATAAGTATTATCAAGCTTGTCACTCTGCTCCAACCGAGTAATGAGGGTATCAACAAGTTCGTCCACGCCCTGCAACGCGCGGAGCCGTTGGCGATAGTAATGGTCATTATACTCGACCTCAGTGTCGTTCCTGAAAGGAAGGTCATGGATCCAACTGACTCCAGTAGGCTGTTCTCTAGTCAGTTTCCTGAAGACCCCCATATAGGAGAAAGACAACTTACGTTCTTAGGGTTGAAGTTGGCTGTACGAGGCACTTTAGCATCAGGGAAAAGGTGCCTGTGGCGGTCTTCTGGGATAGGTTCATCCATCCATAACGGCCCACTTCCGGCACCGTATGTCCCATTCATGTTTGAATGGGGTGCAATTGGCGAGACAGCCAGGAAGAAAGGACGTTCTCCATCCAGGGCGTCTTCCAGGAACCCCATGGCCTTCTGTGTCAGTACCTCGGTTGTATGTCTTCCTAAGTAACTGACTGGGGCATCGTGATTCCGCTGGTAAGTCGCATTCATATAGTCATAAGTGTAGGGATCCAGTAGGAAGTCTGATCCGTTGAAACCAGAAACGTGTGGACTAGCATAAGTCTCGACGGAGTGTGCATTCATCAGCTTTCCCGTGTAATAAGTGTCATAACCCGCTTGTTGCAACCACACGGGGAGAAAGTTCTTATCAAACCCTCCTTGAACAAACTTGGGGTATCCACCTACTCAATGAGTCAGTAAACAATGAAGGCTTTGTCAAGTCAATGCTCTTACCCCACGGCGGGTGAACATCCGTCACGTTGGTGTTATGTGCTAGACGTCCTGTCCACAGACTAACTCTTGACGGACAGCAGAGGGCCGTGGTTACGAAATGGTTGCTGAAGGTGGTTCCTTTGTCCCTCATATGCTTCATAGTCAACGGAGTATAGGATAGCGAGTCCAGTAAGAGATCTTGGTCATCGGACATAATGAAGAGGAAGTTTGGGGGCCGCTGCGAGCCTGGATGCTGGTGGGCAACATGCTTAACGGCATTGGATGAGCCCAGGCTGGCCTCAGTCACTCCAATCAGGCCCAAGGTAGCCAGGATCTGGTTTCTAAACTTCATCATGGACGTTGTACTTCAGTTGAACTCTGGTGATTCGGACAGCCTGGTGACATACCGATGGTATATAAACGTTGCAAAATCTATCGTCTCAACCCATACCTTGAACCATCTCCCCATGGGACCTCGACAGAACCACAGTGATTAGTCTCCACGACGATCCTAACCTCGTAATTAAAGTTTGTACTGTGAAGGATTCGGCGAATATAGTGGAATTCTGCTCCCCACAAAATCGGCGATAGATTAACTTTGATCCTTTTCATTGTCTCTCTGGCTCTCGTTCTTTCCATCGGTTTTTCCTTTTTTTTTTTTTTTTTTTTTTTTTTTTTTTTTTTTTTTTTTTTTTTTTTTTTTTTTTTTTTTTTTTTTTTTTTTGTTTTTTTCTTTTCTGGTAACCTCTTAGATAGTGATATAGCTATTGTACGATACAATCCACATACACTGGATCATCCCAACAAGAAACGCAACCTCGAGGGGATTAGCTAGTGTCTAACATCAAGTCCTGGTTCGCCTTGATGTTATGGATCCCTTGAGACATATTCAAGTCAACCAACTCTCATAACAGTCCGATTGGTTGGTGAACTGAGTAATCATGCCCATTGACTATATTCTAATCATGCAGATACCGGGGGCATGCGCAAAATCTTCAGTAGTGGGTCATATTATCCAAATGCCAAATTACTTGCCTCATCGCCGACGGTAGGTACTAGTTAGCCCCCATGTATCCTGTTTTAATGTTGGCAGTGTCTCCCACCGGGTGGCGTGCTCATCTGTGGTCCCAGGAGAGAAGCGGACACAATCCGTGGCAGTGACCATGTGGAATTTCCCCATTAGGTTGTGTTTACGATGCCATAATTTCAAAGCATGAGGTGTCCCTCGAGAGGCTAGTGGTATATGGATTCAAGAGAGACCCACATTGTCTCATCGCGGGGTCCTTCAAGCTGGCTCAAATTGAATGGGCGGGATGAAAAGCATAGAACGGGTGGTGATCTACAGAGGTTTCTTTTCTTTCCGGGGAGATTGGGCGCACAGGGGTGCTTCAATGCCTGCTACCTTCATCAACCATGCGATAGATACAGCTTCTATTCATACGTCTTACAAAACCACCTTTAAACGCCATCAAATGAGCGACCACCTTATTGACCACCTTCATCACTAGCAGAACTAGAGAATAGGAATAGCAATCTAAACGTCGTATTTCAACTAGACACAAGAATCGTCTGACGAGAAGAGCCTACGAGCTAATCTCCTCCGCGGAAACAACAGTCCCGAAAGCATCGGCCAACTCGTTGAGAACCACCGCCACCAACTGCTCGGCTTCAACCCCAGGAATATGACGATCACCCACGGCATCCTTCACAACAATCACATCGTAGCCCAATTCACTGCCAGCCCTGGCGGTGGTGGAAATACACACGTGTGCCATATACCCGACGAGCACAATCTTCTTCCCCAGGTCTCCCAAGCCGCCCAGGTACTCGTGGAGATCGGTCTGCGCGAAAGAGCTCGGGAAGTTCTTCGTGACGATCTTCTCACCGGCCCTTGGTGCCAGCTCCTCGAACTCTTGCGCTAACGCAGTTCCCGGAGTAAAGACGGGGGCACCGGCCGGCACTTCATGGACCACGTGGACGATATTGGAGCCATTGCCACCATTCCGGTACCGAGACAGTAAGTCGGCGATAACTTTGCGGCTTTCGGCCACATTTTCGACCTTCAGCTGGCCCGAGGCGTATTCATTTTGCGCATCGACAATAATCAGAGTGGAGTCTTTGACAGACGCCGTGGAAGGAGGAATGCCAATGGTTTGGCGGAAGGATTGAGCATTGGAAGCCATGGCTGAACTAGTGACGTTGTCTTAGAGAAAGCGATTTTATGATGATTAGAATAATTTTGGTCTGTTAGAATGAGTAACACAGGTTTAAGTAGGTGAGTGTCTGGTCTGTGGTCGATTGGTGGTCCATCAGCATCATTACATTGACCTAGAAATGGATCTGTAATCGACGGTGGGGTTGTCGGGATCCCGCTGCGGTGGGATGCCGGTGGGCTTCCGGTGGGCTCCGCTCCGGTGGGATTTAATATCCGCTATCGTCAATCTTGTTCTTCTATCCACCGACTAAATTCCTTAGTCTGTTACAGTCTCCGTGTCCATGATGCCTGCGAGCGGCACAACCCGCTTCTATTGTCGCCATCAAGGTTGTAGCGCCAGTTACCGGCGCCAAGAACATCGAACTCGACACGAGAGCCAGCACTCCGGCACTCGAACAGCGAGTTGTCCCTTCTGTGATCGCAGTTTCTCCCGCAGGTGGTGTTACTCTGCAACATTTCCGATTATACGACACCGACTGACTATCACAGCGACACTCTCCGCCGACACATACGGCGAGACCACGAAGAGGAAGAACTACAAAGCTCTCGTGCGACTCGCGCATGCCGTTCCTGTCGCGTAGGCAAAGTTCGGTGTCGAGGGGGCAACCCCTGCAAGCAATGTCGAGAAAAGGGACATCGTTGCATCTTTGAGGATCGAGTTGCTCCTCAGCCAGATACGCCAAATGCACACGCTTGTCTCGATGACGCCATTGATCTGGAACGAGCAGAGAACAATCAAAATGATCCTCGAGAGCAGATTGACCACTATATCCAACTCTACTTTGCTCGCTTCCATCCCCGGTGGCCGTTTCTTCATCGCGCCACTTTCGGTGCTTCGCACGAACCAAACCTCCTGCTGTATGCTGTGGTGATGATCGGCATGTGGGTGTCTGGGAAGGATACCTGCCGGAGGTCCGCACTGGATTTACACAGGAAACTGGGCACGTGTATTCGGCAGCAACAGGTAGCTCTTTTCCCTTCTCTCTCATGCTATGGTTAAGGAGAACTAACAGTCAGCAAAACAATACAGCCAACCTGGCAGGGTTTAAGTAACCAGGAACCAAGACCAGCGTCAGCTTGGCCGATTGCCACCTATCAGGGCGTCCTCCTTTATCTGATATTCTCTCTTCTGTCGGCCCCACACTACTCTCACTCACTTGACTTGACTATCCAGCTTCCCCTGTCAGACCGGAGGATACTAACCGCCCTGGTACAGACCTGTCTGAGACACAATGTGTTCTTTTACCCGGCAATGGTAGGCCGTTATCACGATATCGACGATGTTACCTGTATATGGGTCGGAGTAGAAGAGATAAAGCGCCTGGGCCTAGCTCTGTATAAGGTATGTAACAGGTGCCGGAGCGCTCGCCAAGGTGAACCAGATGGAGACAGTAACTCCCAGTTACTGTGCCTCTCGGACCTACGGTTCCCAGCCCCAGATAGCAATCATTTATGGGAGGCGAAGTCCAATCCAGAACTTTCCACTTTGCTGGCTCAAACCTCCAGAGGCATGAATCCGGACGGTCGAGAAATTAAATTAATATCTGAAAGTGGGGGTTGGCTGGATGATGTTGATCCCGGATTCAATTGGGTTTGATTTCTATTGCATATATAGATTCTATGTAAGGGCTGCACTTATGATGCCAATTAAATAAAGAAAGGAAAGAGTCAACAAGGACGGATGTCCACCGGGGGTGCTTATGAAATAGCATTCGCCTACCAGATGATTCAAGTCACTTCACAGAAAGTGGACGACTGGCAATACTCCTGTGACTTGGCATGAGTATAAAAATGTCCAATATAACAGTTACACGCTACTGAAGCTATAACAACGGTGGTCTACCGAGGCATAATTCGGCTCGATGCGACTTCGGTAGACATTAAGACTTACTGATAGCCCGTGTATCACCAACAACTCACTCCTAAAGTCAAGGCTACCAAATACATATTGAATGAATCCATGCCTAATTAGTCACTTACGCCTACGAGTAGAGCTGAAGAATCCGTAGTGAGGTCATCTTGAAACAAAAACATCTTGAAATTGTCGACAGTTCCTCTATATACGAATACACAGTATCAAACACCAAAGATAATCCCACACGCCACTGACACGGCCACAGTCCCTGTAGCTAATACTGACGAGGAATAGTGAGCTAAATAATCCGAGTGTCCACGCCTGGAGTGAGCCAGCGGACGAGGTCAGCCACCCCTTCCTTCTCAAACACCTTGAGAAGATCGTCCCGGTGCTCGGTGAAATGCTCCCAGGACTCGAAATGGATCGGCACCATAGTCTGGGCACCAGTCACACGCATGAAACGAGCCGCTTGCTTTCCGTCAAACGTGATTTGAATGATGCCATTTGGGTGGGAGAAAAGGGCGTTTCCAAGATTGAGAACTGCAACGGATATGTTCCACTTGTCTTTGATCTTCTCGAATTCGTCGATATACACGGTGTCTCCGGAGAAATACACAACGTTGGGGAGGCCAGCGGCATTGAAACCAAAGGATTCCGACTCCAAGATGAAGCCAGTCACCTCGCCTCCTGGGAAGTGCTTGCACGGGGTTCCCGTAATGCGAAACTCCTTGCCTCCAATCGTGGCGGCAACGGTTTCCCATGGGCGAAGACCGACTACTCCTGGTCGGGGTTGTAGAGTATGTGCTCCGTCGGGAGTTGTGAAGACCTTGCGACCGTCCAGAAGCTGGCGGCCCAAGGGATCCAGGTTGTCCACATGATCCTCGTGGCTTAGCAGGACCGCGTCGATCGGAGGGAGGTCGTGAAGTTGCAATGCCGGACCTTCAATGCTTCGGAGGACACCCGCAGGCGGGCGGCCTTCAAAGCCATAATCCTTGAGGTTTGGGGCCTTTGCCCAGCCGTCATAGATATATTGTGATCCAGCAGGGCAGAACACCGGATCAGTGAGGAAGTTGATGCCGTCAATGTTGATGATGGCAGTGGCGGTGGTAACGTGCGTGATGCTAACAACGCTCTTAAACGAAGATGCCATGGTGAATGATCTGCAGAAGTAGATTGAAGCTTGAGCCAAACGAAGAATGTAGATGAGATCGGAGGCATGGTATTTGGTCTCTTAAATATCCAAAATCTAGCGGAGAGACACATCTATCCTTGTCGATATTGTTCTCCTAGTTATCACTCCCACCGGAGCATTAGTAACTTGCAAACAATTTATAACGATTTTGAGACATAGTCAAATCCATCATCATACCCACCGGAGATTGTTCATTCTTACGAATGTCTCGTTTGTGATTACTCAGTTTACAATGACAGGTATTCTCTTCTGCTGCCTTTTTTCCAGGGATTTCTCATCTGAAGGCGATTGGGTGCCGGTTCCACTTTAACGAATGCTCTTTGCTTCGATATGTTTTGCAAGTCTCCATAAGAAGGGAGAAAATCAGAAAGCCCTGAGTATTACCGTGCGGATATATTAGCGACCCGTCTGTTTCTTTATTTTGCTTAGGTCCATTTAATTTCCATTTTTCCCCTTCTATTCTTTTCCGTCGGGCTGCTCATCTAGGATCGGTCATCCCAGCCCCTGTGCATCCATCCACGATTCACGACCTTTTGCTCCACCAAGCCTGAGCATCATCGGGCTGAAACATGAGTCATTCAAGTACAGTTGATGGAGGATACGCCTGGACTATCGTCCTAGCTGTATTCTGGAATAATGCCCACCATTGGGGAATCTTATCGGTATGGCGGCCTACCCTCTAAACCCTGCAGCTCCAAATTAACCATCGCAGAGCTATGGTGTCTTCTTGGAAGACTTCATCTCAAACTCTAGAATCTCTGGCGGTACCAGTCTGGACTTCGCGTTGGTTGGCGGACTGTCCGCATCGCAGGCACTCGTTATATCCCCTTTGATTACCATGATCCATCGTCGCTTCGGCCTCAGGATAACTATGGCTCTCGGTGTGCTCCTTGAGACGGCAGCCCTCCTGGGAGCGTCCTGGAGCACCAGGATCTGGCAACTCTACCTAAGTCAAGGCGTCTGCTTTGGATGGGGTCTCGGCTTACAGTATCTATCGACCACCTTTATTATTCCACAATGGTTCAGCAGGAAACGAAGCTTGGCTGCAGGTATTACAACGGCAGGTACCGGTACTGGAGGGCTAATATACTCACTGGCAACCCACGCGATGCTGGACCGGTTCGGCAGTGGTTGGTCGTATCGGATTCTGGCCATTATCCAATTCGTTGTCAATACCATCTGTGTACTCCTCTTACGGGATCGCACTGCAGAACCCCGATCAGAAAGGAACAAGTCAATTCTTCGCCTCGGCCTCTGCAAGAAATACGAAACCTGGCTGTTCATTGGCTGGAGCTTTTTCAGCGTAATGGGATTCATGGTCATCTGGTATTCGCTTGCTACCTACTCACGATCCATCGGTTTGTCCGCCAGTGAAGGATCGATCGTAACCGCTGTGATGAACGTGGGCCAGATTCTCGGTCGACCTGCGGTGGGCTATTTTAGTGACGTTTTTGGACGCATCAACATGACCACCTTTGCCACGTTTACCAGCGGGTTGCTCTGTTTACTGCTCTGGGTGTTCGCCAAAACATACACAGCGCTCATTTGCTTTGCTTTGTTTGCAGGAATCCTCTTTGGGACGTTCTGGACGGTAAGTCGCTCTTGATCTCGCCGTTGCCTAGCTCACCGATGTCCATGGCTGATGGAACTCCAGGCGGTTGGGCCACTGGGGGCAGAAGTGGTTGGATTAGATGACCTTCAGTCATTCTTAACGATCATGTGGCTTGTTTGTTCGGTTCCTGCGACCTGTATGTTCCCCGCTTTGATTTCACTCCATTTCCCGTCGCTTCTGCAAGTCTGGTTCTAATCTGTTGGACAGTTGGGGAAGCAATCGGCCTTGAACTTCGCACGTCTGGCAAGGACGAGTTTCTACACACACAACTGTTTACCGGTTTCATGTATATCGGTGCATCTCTATGCACACTGCTTCTGCGAGGCTGGAAGATATCCCAAAAGAAGTCGTCAGAGGCAAGAGAATCGACGCCAGTGTCTGCGGGAGATTGTCGAGGTTCGGAATTTACCCATGACGAGTGTAGTCTCTCCAGTCGGCCCTCTCCTTTTGGGACCTGGGAGAAAGTATGAGTTGGAATATAGAAAAATTGACGGTGGTATCGTTTCGTAACTTAGTACTCAGGAGTATTTAATCGGAAGAAAGTCGCGATCATATCAATGTCCATGGAATCTTTTTGTGCCTGGCGCCTCCCGTGGTTCCAGGCGCCTGGGCCACCAATCGGCAATCGCATGATCGCAGGACAGCCGCGGTAATTACGCGGGCGATCACGTAATAAAAACCGAGATCCCCATCGTCAACAAAAGTATTATTGTTAGCGACTTGACCCTCTGGACCTGGACCAGCCACATGTGGAGGGCAGAAACAAAACAAGACAAGCTTCCTGTCTGCGGCTCCGAGTCACCAGTCATTCTCGCTCTCTCTGCTCCACCAGTCACCCAACCGAATCTTCACCACTGGACCGGATTCTTGCCCCAGACTCAGTAAAACTCCGCAATGGCTGAAACTCCTTCTCGTCCCGAATGAGCCGACGTCACCTCCACGATGGTTTATTTCTCAATTTTCCTATTCCCCATACGGGCACTTTTTTTCTTCCCCCCTAAATCTTTCAAATACCTTTCTACGAGAAGAATGTGGGAGGCCTCGTGACGGTGAGTTTCCCTCCCTCATCTCCCCCGACTTAACTTTGACGCTTCGGCCCGGTGTTAACCCTCCGATCATGGTGGCAGCCGCTGTACAGGATGTCGCAGATCCCCTACGATTCAAACGAGCGTTATCATGCATCGCACGCCAGTAATGACCCGGGTGACGACGATAACATCCCTGGTCCCCGCCGTTCCTCTGCACCGTCCCTCATGAACTCTTTACTCAATCCTTTCCGTGCGCTTCGAGAATCCGGAGCACGACTTGCCACCCGCCTCGGTCGTCCAGCGGATGGAGGGGATGCTCTGGATGCGGCTGCTCATCCCGAACAGTACGGGGCGACGGAGGATGTGCGCCTGCTGGATATGATGCCGGACGGGCAAGTCCCCCCGGACTCGTACCAGTCGAAGCTACAGAATACGTTGGTCTCCGAAGCTCGCTTTCTAGTCCGGAAATTGGGCGTCGGCGGGAAGCTTCCAGAGGATGCCGACGTGCCCGATGACCGTGATGTCAATCGCGGCGTGTTCTCCTACCTCCTGCAGCATCAAATGGATCAGGGTCATCGTCGAAATGTTAGTCAAGCCAGTATTTCCACGGTCGCCTCCGAAGACGAACCTTCCCCGTCGAGAGCCAATAACAAGAAACGTCGGAAGCAAAAGTGGTATGAAGATGAAGAAGGAGATCGGTTGAAGGGCAAACGACCTATGAAACAGATTCGATTAACGAAACATATCGCGGCGATTTTGACCCGCCAACGATACATCATGCTGCTGTGCCGTGCAATGATGAAATACGGCGCGCCAACCCATCGTTTGGAAGAATACATGCGGATGACAGCCAACGTGCTTGAGATCCAGGGCCAGTTCATGTACTTACCAGGGTGCATGATCGTCTCCTTCGACGATCCGCTCACCAGGACCGCCGAAGTGCACATGATTTCGGTCGTGCAGGGGTTGGAGCTGGGACGTCTCGCACGCACGCACAACATCTATAAAAACGTGGTCCATGACCGAGTCAGCGTCGAACAGGCCATCAGCGAACTCAACCAGCTCATGGAACGTAAAAGTCGCTACCATAGCGCGTGGAGCTTGATCTTTCTCTCCGGTTTAGCCAGTGTGGCCGTCGGGCCCTGGGCCTTTGACGCGCGGCCGATCGATATGCCGATTATCTTTGTCCTCGGCTGCCTGCTCGGGTTCATGCAGAACGTCCTCGCCCCGGCGTCACCCGTCTATTCCAACGTCTTCGAGGTCAGCGTTGCTATCCTGATGTCGTTCTTGGCACGTGCGTTTGGTAGCATTCGCGTCGGGGGTGAGCCGGTGTTCTGTTTCTCTGCTCTGACCCAGTCCTCGATCGCGCTGATCCTGCCGGGGTTCTCCGTTCTGTGCAGCAGTCTTGAGCTGCAGTCGCACCAGATCGTGGCTGGCTCGATCCGCTTAGTTTATACGATCATCTACTCCCTCTTTTTGGGATACGGAATCACGGTGGGCATCACGATCTATGGTCTCCTCGACAGCAATGCCACCACGGAGTCCTCTTGCCCGTCGGCGAGTCTCTCGATCTATGGTAACGAATACATTCAGCACTTTGTCTTCGTCGCGATTTACTGTGCCGTCGCCGCGGTGCTCAACCAGGCGCGGTGGAAGCAACTCCCGGTCACGGTTTTCTTGGGTGTGAGCGGGTACGTCGCGAACTATTTCAGCCAGGCGTTGGATAGTCGACTGGCGAGTACTATTTCTGCGTTTGCCATTGGTCTGCTGGCCAACCTGTATTCGCGCCTGTGGCATGGGCATGCGGCGGCGGCGATTGTGCCAGGTATGTTCACCCTGGTCTCGTCAGGTCTGGCCACGAGCGGATCGATCATGTCGGGGTTGGCCTATGCTGAGTCGGTCAAAAATAATACGGTTGCTAAAGCGTCCGGCTCCAACACGGCCGTACAACAGTCCTTGTACGGTCTGGGCCTCAGTATGGTTCAAACCGCCCTGGGTATCACCGTGGGTTTGTTTTTTTCGGCCTTGGTCGTGTATCCCCGCGGCAAACAGCGAAGCGGACTGTTCAATCTTTGAAATTGGTTGTAATATAGTGAAGAAATCTATTCAGTATTTAGTATTATTTTTGACTTATACACACTTGGTCGTTTCTGTTGGCGAGCTATTTGATCAGTATTTTTGTCGTATATCCCTCTGTCCCTCCCCCTCTTCCCCCCCTACTTTCCTCTTAGAGTACACATGAAAATACGAGGGTATCTCCCCATGCAGTTTTTAAATTAGGGAGATTATGTCCATGTTATGTGAAAACACTTTGAGCAACGGGCTATGCTTGACCCAAGAACCAACATATATATATATCCAGGATCCGCGTACAGCTCCGTGGAACTTCGGAACTTGATCCATTAATACTTCAAATCCACCAGTATACCACGAAAGTAACCGACTCTCGAAGAACTCCACTGCTCACTGTTCATCGAATGATACACTTCTGACCATGAACTAACCATGTAGAAACTGTGAAAGGTTCTCTCCATGCCTTCCATGAGAAGCTGGGGCCTTTAGCAGGCGGCCGTTGCCAGGAGAACGTTTCCTGATAACCCAGGCATACTTGTGAGAGGTCCCGCGTTCGATCCACGGCTCGGGCCGAGTCTTTTCTTTTTTCTTCTTGGTTGTCTCACTCCCATCACACATCAACTACTGTTCTTGTCTGGAAGTATCTTCCCCCCGACAAGTAACATATCCCTTGGTATACCTCCACGTTCATACTCTAGACTGGAAAATACCTGAAAAAGCTTCCTCAGCGTACGTTGGGGGAGAGTGAATTTCTCTAATGCGCGTTCTTGACAATATGAAATTCCTTCAATGACTGACCTCCAACAATGTTTTACTCGATCTTACCTACTGCATGGACCCCGCATGGAGCTCGTCCGAGGCATCAAAACTCAGGAGAGGCAACTCGAAGGCCCACAAGCTGGGCCTTTCCTCAAGTCCGAAGGGTCAATGCATGTACGCCGATGGGAGACGGCTCCGCTCGAACGCTAGAACCTCTTGTAATGTTTATACATTCTGCAGATGGTATCACACCCAGTTCGACCAAATGTTCACGCTACCAGAGGGCTCGGCCCCTTGGGTTACATCGCTCGGTTGCAGCTTAGAATGCAGCAAGGGGGAGCGGAGAGAGGTTCAATGGATCCCAAGTAGCAGGTAGCTTCCCAAGTGACTTTTTTTCAACAATGCACTGGACTGCACAAGGACATTCTTCGCTACCAGGCAGATACAGCATCGGTGCTGCAGCTGAGGCGCCGCATGATAGCCTGTCATGCATTTGGAAGTGAGGAAACTCTAACTTGTACCGGAGAGATTTCTTCCAGTTAGACACGCCGAATACGATGTTACTCCCTAGACCGACGGAACCAGCTATTGCCAAGCACACTAATATACCAACGAAGTATTCTTGGTAGGGACGACGCTATTTGAGAGGTGGATGAATATCGTATTGCCCCTTTCGCCTCATGCCCAGTCGTGGTATATTGCCTGATCTACTAGAATAATACGAGGTTCTGCAGCGCACGCCCCAAACTAATCTGGGAGGAAGATCAGGCTCGTCCCGGATCTGCAAAGATCTACTTTAACCGCCCAATTATATTCTCGCGGGGTGCACTGACAGGATTATACTCTCTCTGCACTGAAATCAAGAAGATTCAAATCTGCCAAGGCCGTATAGGGAAAATACGGATAACTCTATTGAGTTTAGTGTTGGACAGCAATGATGGTGATACGAGGGGAATCAATATAGCCTCTTCTTCTATCTCGTATAGACCCTTGCTGCTTGATCATACGCTCCGACAGGTTTAATGACGGCATGCATCTGCGACTATCAGATGGTGGCTCAGCGTTGAATAAACCATGGGCATGGTAATCGTAGCATATAAAGCCACCCTACATCCTCCCATCGAGTTCCGTTCAGCAGCCATAGTCTCAAATTCCACACACTTATCCAGCCATTACCTTGTCACAGTAGCAAGATGAAGTTCTCTCTTATTGCTCTTGCCACCCTCTTGCCCGCGACGGCCTTCAGCGCAGCAATGCCCGAGGACGCCGCAGATGCCGCCCCGACCTTTTACACTGGATCAGATATTCCTGCCTTGAACCTCGAAGAGCGAGACCTGGAGAAGCGAGCTGTCAGCGGATATGTCAAGGCCGATGGGCTCCGCTACCGGACTTGTCCCCGGACCACCTGCACCGCCGTTGGTCAATATGCCAAGGGCACTAAGCTCAGCCTGGTCTGCTACACTCGGTCCAACACTACACCAGTCAATGGTGACAAGTAAGTTTATCTCGGTAGACAGGACATAGGGGGCAGAGCTAATCACATTGCCACTAGGGGCTGGGCCAAGTTGACGAATGGCTACTGGGTTGCGATGGCGAACGCTGCGTATATCGGATGGAGCGGTGAGTTGATCTTAACCGGAAATAATGGGGGAACAGAGACTGATATTATTCTGTTAGGCCCACTTCCCGCCTGTTAGGATGATATATTGCACTCTTGGGACGGATGGCAGGCGCTTTGGAATGATATAACTGGAAATGACAGTTGGACACAAGGATTGCTTCATTAGGGACCATGGATTTCCTCATGTACATACATGGTCCAGCTTGAGAGTTGATGAATCATTTGCCATTTCTTCAGACCAGTGAAGCACGTATCCCCGTAGTCGGTACCCAGTGTAAATACCTAGCGCGAGGTCATAGGGTTGAAGAAACAGTACTGGCTGTATACTTTGATTCTAGTAGTGAAGCACGGAAAGCCCAAACTGGATGGTCGAACCACGGTTTGAAGAGGCTTAGTTTCAATATATTTTCCAGTTCTACCACTGATGTACTATTCCATTACACTCATAGATATGTACCGTGGAAAGTAGTTATCGAGCCATGGTATTGCTACGGTAGATTTTGGAAATCGACCATGGTTTTTATTTTAAGAAATCTAAAAATATACATCCTGTATAGTAAACCTAAAACACGAAAAGAAAATTTGACATATCTTCCGCTTTCGCACTCATTGCCTGAAGAGCTCTATACCATGGAACAGTCATTCAGATACTGGAACCTGACTGGGTTAGTGCGCCGGACTGCGCCAGGCTGACCGCAAGGCTATCGATTGAACCTCGGGCATTCAAAGAACGAACATTCGGTTCGCTTGAGTCGAACGTACAGCCGTTGGTGCCGTTCGCAAGGATACCCCTCGTGTGGCCACAAGTACCTTGAGCGGACATGCCGCCGAATATGCCACCAGGCGATCCACTAGGGCAAAGCAGACCCTTATAAATGGACCATAAGATTGCCCGGGTGCTGCATAGCAGTTGGGATCCCTTGTCATGATACAGTATAACCATAGGATATAAGAATACCCATCCATGTATTTACATCGTGTCCCACGATATGGGATCAATACAAAATATTAGCTGAATAATACCGCTGGCTGATCGACTACTTAGCATTCATTCTACCGACAACATCATCACCATGACCCTGATGAATGTACTATCCCGAATGCGTCCGTCGGAAGAGGCAATATGATATAGGTTGGTCAAAGGAATTCGAAGACCATAGAGCAGATCAGCATTTTCATTCGCAGGAATATAGTGACTGTTCAACGGGATGAGCATACTATTGATATAACAACAACTCTCATGCTATGTAAGCAGTGGTACATACGATCGTAGGTCCGGACCACAAAAGGGTCAGGCTTTAGAAAGCTTCACTTACAATCTAACCCATCCCAGTGCACAGTTCGACTGTCCCTGAGTCGTGCAGACTCACTCATTGTTTTTCTGGCAATACACTCGCCGCGTAGGACTACATTGCGTCGATCACCGATCAAGACAGACATCGAAAAGCAATATACTCAGCTACCGTTACTACCAACTAATAGCTGGCCCTTTCATCACGATGAATGCTAATAATACCAAGCCACACCTCTTACTCAGTCGTTTAGCAACCCAAGACCATCTGGACCAATACTGCGCCTGCTCCTGTTTCATAGCGTCCTGGGCCGAGTTCAAATACGGGAAATCCTGCTTTGGGGCTGGCAGGTCCAGGAACTCGCATAATGGGCTCCACCCGTCACTTGGATGGAATTCCAAAAGCCTCTCCTTCGGCACGGTGTGGCGAACGAAGTCATTATGATCATCAAAAGACTTTAGAATTGCCGGCTGTGCCGATGGACTGTAGGGCACGAGGCCCTTGGATAAAATAGACATGGTCTGACCGAGGAATCGATAGTATGGTCCAGAGAACTCATCATCAAAGAAACTCAACACCGGCCAGGACTTTCAAGAAAGGATTTCAAGGAGGAAGGTCTGCATGGATCTGGACCATGCATCACGATGACGCGTTGTCAGAATCAATTTGGTGTCTGGGTATGCTGCGATCATTTCCTGAACGAAAAAACAGCAGGGGTCCGCTGAGGCAGCCTGGTAATGATATAGATTAATATCATCTGTACCAGATCCTAATAGTGGGTATGATGTGGAAGGTCATCTTGTCTTCTGTTGCTTGGAAGAGAAAGTAGAAGGCGGAGATTCTGGTCTTACATCGTAGTTCCAAAGCATTCGATCGAAGTCCTCTCCCTTAAACGGCGTACCGATTCCATCATACTTTGCTTGTAGGGCCTCTAACCAAAGCTGAAAGTGTTGATTGTTTTTGTTCTTGCCAATTTCGTTGTAGTGGTATGTGTTGAACCCCAGAGATTTCAGAGCTGCGTATAGAGCTACGACCTGGACATTAGATACTTGGTTTGTGACAATTAACTCGGTTTCTGACGTACAAGTGGTACCTGTCCGTGGCAATCCCAATATAAGAACTCTCATGGGCTTCGGCCGCGGGATAATTGGCAACATTGGTTCGTAAAAATGCATACTGTTGACGCTCAATGAGATAATCAGACAAGGACACGAGCAGAGGATGACGGAAATTCTGTAGTAGGAACAGCGCATATCTTGTAAATATGTTCTACGTGATACAGTACACCTGCCAGACTAACTAGCAAACTCAACTTCATCGATAAATAGTTCCATCGGTGGGTCATATGTAAGGGCTGCAGTCTTGGTGTCGATCCGGAAATGATCACCCTCCAACAATGGACCATCCAGTGTCAGCCATACCAGGAGTGCAATTATTCTCAAGTTTGTATTGATAGCTTGGTGCCATAGTGGAACCCCAAACGACTATCAGCATTGCACTATGATCTGGTTCCGCCGCCTCCGGTGATCTCTGAAGAATCGTTCCATTTACATTCTTCTGCCGGTACAAAAAAGCAAATTTTATGCTTCCCAGGCCCGAAAAAAGCTCACCTCCTGCATATCTCGGCATACTCATCGCTACTCTGCAGTCGGCTGGTATCACATTATGGCTGCTGGTACTATTATCTCCCTCCCCGTGCAGGGAATATCGATCCATGATGTAGTCGTACGAGGCTAATTAGAGCATTCAACATAGCCATTTGACGTTTTCAAATTTCGATCATCTTACCCCAGGTGAAAATGTTACCCACGAAATGTCCACCCGCTGTGAGAATTACTAGACCTATTACTGACCATGAAAGACGAGCGAAAGCAATCAAAAGACAGTATCTATGGTCAAGTAGACACAGAGATATATGGCCATCTATCTACTCAACTATAGTGAGGTACGTCTGTTGTCGATAGAGATACACTGCCATGCCTATATCTTTTCTGATCGCAGGGAATTGACCGATGATCGAGCTAGAGTGTTTGAATTCCTGCCTGAGGGAAGCAGGGACATTTCTTGAATATCTTATTACACCTGCCACAGCCTTCTTGCCTAAGCCAACGTTCACATGTTTGCCTGGCTCGGTGGACAACTATTCATTGGCCAGCTCCTATACATAGGCCATGGTTTCACAGTGCGCCAACAGACATATAGTTTTACACTGTAGTTGTATACAATCAGCTAGACCCACATCTCAGTAAGGCTATCATGCACCCCTGCTTTCATCCGACTCATCCAGCAATTGAACTTGTATACCAAGCTCTATAAAGTGCTCCTCGCCCCACTGTCGTTTGTAAGTACTTGATAACACTAAGTATTCCATGATTCTACTCACGCGCTGTGTGGCCACAAATCCAGTAATAACGCTTCCTTGAGGACGCTCATCAAGGAATCGGCTATCTGCCGAGAGCACACCTGGGCTACTGGAGCCGTCGCGTAGTTTGCCAGGGTGGAACTCCATTTCTCGATTCAGGTTTGTAGTGACCTGCTAATGTTAGAGATAGAGTGTGGGCATCGGGGGAGGAGGAATGCCTATACCCTTAAGCCGTAAATAGTGCTGGAGTCGCTAGGACCAGTTGTCCTCCCTACGACGTCGATGATGCGTTCACCCCCTGGCCCATCAACCGAAAATGTTAATGCCTCGCCAGAGGTACATGTACCAAAGCGCAAGGTCTTATCAGTGTAGTTGAATGTCATTCCAAGGATCGGAGAGAACTCAGATGAAACATGTACCTCCATGCTGATAAGTGAATCAAGCCACTTGCCATCGGGCCCTCCGAAGTCGATATTCAGCAATGGACGATAGGGTATCCCTGCGTTGTCCGGCTGGAACTGATAAATCCGTAGATTGTCATAGCTGGATAGTTTATATTGCCACAAATATGAATCAGGCAAGGTGAGATCGAGAGGATAATCCTGCCAAAAGGGACTATCAGACGTGTCAGTCCGTGCTTCGTCATGAATGGTTCCAATAGCGGTTAGTTTATATGGCTTGCACTCGTTAGCTATTGAATCGATTTTGATAGAAAAAAAAAAGCTTACATCTGTACCAGCAAGGATATGATATATCCCGCTGGCCGAATGAGGGATTTGCAGGACGCCATGGCTCATGTTCTCATCACTCGAATCCCCAACCCAGTCGGATAGAGTGTTTCCGCCGAAATGAAAGCGTATCCCCCGAAGACCTTCTGGGCAAAAGGCAACTTCGATTTGATTGAATGTGCTCCCGGGAGACACATTGATCGTTATCTCGTCGGTCAAGTCCCCATATCCGACGGCCTGTTCTGTTGTCACTTGTGCATCTGGAGAATGATGACTGATGCCAGAAATGAACACCCGTGCCCCTAGTTGTACGGTTGATATTTTGATTTCTCCACCATGCAACATGGTATGTGGGAACGCGCTAAGCCGGTAGCGAGGTACGCGGCATCCATGTGGAAGAATTTCCAATTCCACGCTGATGTATGCCGTGTAGATGTTTTCCGCACGCCATTGGGTCAACCCCTCTGATACCAGCCAATTCCCAGGCCTGAACTCCAGACAGTTAGCCCGACGGCCACGAGGCTCGTTCGATCGTCTGATGTCTGCTTCTACTACACATGCTATTGGTTCCAGGAGCACACGGATTCTCTTGCGGTTCAGCAGGGAGAGTCTTTCGGGTGATTGATCGTTGGTCTGAAGGATAGAAGCTGTGCCGCGATATAAACGGTACCAATCCCGTTTTTGTTCCAGATCAGGGAAGAGGAAATCCATGTCGTTGCCTCGAGCAAACTGCCTCTTCCAGAAGGATTGTGGTAGGCTGGAGAATAACACGCGCTGTGCAAGCTCTCGGCATGTACACTTTAAGTTCAGGAGCTCAGGGACCGACAAGTACGATACAACTTCATGAAACAGTTCTAGAGACATTCGGCCAAAGGAGTTAAGGTATCCGGTATTGATATCGGTAGACGACGTAGGATACTCCAAGTTGTATTCCCGTCCGCCACCCACATCCGGTGCGCTCTCCTCCAGCTTCTCCAGTAGTGGAATAGCGTATGGATCCGCTTTCAAAAGCAGTGGCATGTCCTCCGGCATGGGCACGTCGTCATACGCTCTTTGCCAACGTTCAGCACCCCCATAATCATGACCGAAAGAGAGACTAGATCGGAGTGGTGATGGGGTGCAGCTAAACTGATTATACAGAGACTGGGCAATTGCCTCCGAGTCAATTGTATGCCATAAACGATCCTGCAGTAGCATCCAGCATGAATCATGGAGACCAAAGCCGTGCAAATGTGATTCCATTCGCAGTAATTCCACATCTTCCAGCTCCAAAGCGTTCAGGTAGTCCAATTCTTCGTCTAATGGAGCAACAAGATTCTCACGGGGGTCAAGAAAACCTACACCCGTGATGAAATTGTCACAGTAGTCCTCTCTGGCCGCAGCACGTACTTCGGCGTACCATGGGCGCCGAGTGTCGGGGGCTTCTTCCAGGTCTTCGCACAGAAGAACCACCCCACATATAGGGCAGTACTTATGGGCCTCAAACATATCCCGGATTTCTGGATCCATGGTATGGTTGTTTATGTAGCAATCTGGGTCGATGATTTCATGTCGGTGGTGACCGAAGTTTCAGATTTTTCTCGGGATTGATGATTAACCGCACCCGCCAGTTGACTCTCTGTTGATGCCAAGAACCCATTATCATCCTCCAAGCTCAATACATTCTTGAAGTGCAGCATTGTAGTAGATTGATAACTGGTTCCGTCCGTAAGGGGCTACAGGGAGTTGTGCTTAATCTTCAAACATCCTATCCGTTATATCCAAGACACCATTTGAAACCCCTCTATGGAACCAAGACGAGGGATCTCTTTGAACCACTTTGAATGGGCTCTTGTGTTAATGCTCACATTGATTTCCTTGCACATTTGCATGGCAGGTATGGTATGTCAAGCAGACAATATCAGAATTTACAACAATGGTCCGGCGCTATATGAAGCTAGGGGAATCTGATTCATTCCCATGTTGTGGTCTGTTGGTACCTCTCGGCACCTTTCCAACGTTTCAATTTACGCTATTCCCCGTTCACCTTGGTGGGTTATGACGAACAGATTGACTATAAGTCCTCACCTATGATGTCGGCTGCAGACCTTTAGAAGTCATCAACAAAGAGATATAGGACAAAGCAAATTAATACGGAATAAGTAAAATGGTTATTCTTCAGAGTCCTACACTAAGATTAACTAAACACGCGTTAAAGAGCCCTTGGCCTTCCCTATGAATCGTGGTACTCAACTTTCTGGTCAGCATTGAGAAATTTTCAGAAGGAAAATTGTCGCGTCTCTAGATGCAGCGCCTGGATCGTTGGGCAGCATGATGGTACTCCCCTGTGCACCGATAAATTGGAATGGTCAAGTCAAAATCGGCGTAGTATAGATCTCGATGCAAGCCTTCTCCACAAAGTTCCGCCAGCCGGGGTACAACGCCCTTGGAATGATAGAGATCCGATCGCCAGGTTGAAGGTTTCGAACCCACCGCAGGTTCTGATCCCTATGGTAGATAATCTCATGGCACATGGTTTTCTTGCTTGCGTGCACATTAGTCGCCAGCCGCAAGTTCGCATCTTTAGAGATATCATCTCTCCCCGGCGGCCTGGCGATGCTAAGGTCAAACCATGTCCAAGAATTATTGAAGGAGCCATGATCCTGGGGATAACTACTCCACCCCTGGTCATGGCTCCAGATTGTAATTTGGATCTTTCGCACGGGGTACCGCTCGCCTTGAATGGGTGCCGATGTCAAATATGGTGGTTGCCCATGACAGTCCCTCTCCTCATATTGCATTTCGTCTGCCCTAGAGATCCGAGATAGAAGCCAATATTCGGCGTAATCTAACACCTCGAGGACGATTTCGGACGGTAGCCATTGTTTCAGAATATTGAAAACCGAAATAACATCGTTCGAATGGCGGGGGTAGTGCGTGTCCTTTTGATCGATCGGGGCTGCCATGACTCCGAGCGAGTTTGATATCGAAAGGAGAAAGAGACAAGAGAGACTAAGGTGTTCCTCCTGAGTTAAACGGGCCCGATACCCAGTCTTTTGGCCGGTTGAACCGTCGAACTTAGGACAAGTCGCCTGTCCTACATTTAATACACCCTGTCACCTGACCAAGGATATCACATGCCTTGCCATTACCTGGACGGCCTGGTTGCCTTGGGCAGCCATCTTTTATGGCATGGGAATGCAAGACATCATGTAACAAGCTGATTAACCGATCTTTACAAAATCAAACACTTCTTCTAAGCTCGCTTTCATATGATACTTCCGATATACGAGTATGATTGAAGTACTGGAATAGAAATTTAGAGATCGATGATTGAACAAGCCAAATGGAAGGGGATAATGAGAAGAGTCATGTAGGTTTCTGTCGCCTTTCGGTAAGAGTCAATCGCCTATTCCGTGTTCTTATTTGGTTCTCTCTTCCATAATCAAGGTTTGGTAACGTTGAATGATGCAGGATAATTGAAAGCCCAGTTTTGGAGTAAAGAGAGGAGGAAGTTAAATGTAGCCACTGGCAGGGTTGAGATACGGAAGTCGAAGCAAGGAACCTTGTATCCCAGACCAAGGTACAGTCTTGCATAAGTTGAATTTGCTATAATATCCAGCAAATTATTATCTCGTTAATGATCTACTTAGATACCCTTCGACCGTGTATAGTAAACAGCTCTTTACCAGAATACGCCCTCAAGGCATAGCACAACCAAATACGAGCGATTGGATTTGGCAGCAAGTGAATATTGGATATCATTGACGAACAACCGGTGAGTTGCATATAGTCCTTGTATCAATTGAAGAAACTCCTTTCACTATAGTGATACCAGCTTTGATGACCAGGGGTTGCTATTTCCTCTCTATACTTTCATCCTCTTTGCCCTCCCCATGTTGTGATCACATTGCGAGAACGAATCTAAATTTCCACAGATACCTTGTATGTCTGATCCCTCGCAAGGCACCACATATGGAACCATTTACGTGTCAATCTTCTTGGTATTCTTGTAGCCAGCTTCGCCGTCCCTTCCAAGAAGACCTATGATAAAAAACTCTATCCATCCGGTTACAATTGCCATCGGACAGTGAATATACCGTTCAACTTACTGGCAAGGCTAATTTTCTGGTCCCCGGTCACCTCAATATCTTCAAACACGGCTTCGAGATTCTTTTTGGCTTCCTCATCCTTGGGCTTGTAGCTATCGCATAGTTCTTTGAAAGTAAGTCGTCCTGGATGCTTGGTCAGCGTTCAATCTCGTATATTCCTTTGGATAGTTATATTTTACCGTCTCCATTACGGTCCTAGACAAAGAGGTTGTGGAACTTGGTAATCTCCAACAAGGCCAGTGTTGTTTATGAGAAGGGTTAAGCCTACCGCAAGATAGAAACGAGCGAGCATGTACCGAATATCGTTCGAAGAGTAATAAATGTTCTGAAATCTTTGTCAGTGGATCGATTGAACAGTCAGTGAATCCGTGTCCCTAAATGGCTTCTAACCTCTGGATCCTCCTGCAGCAATTCTTCCAAACAAGCCCGCCGAGTATTGCTGATTTCTCTGGCCTGCTCACTCTTGAGTTCCCGTAGCGCGTCGGCCTTCCCATCACGGTAGCCCTCATTTCGGGCGGACCCCTGGGCACTGTGGAACCACGACATGACTATGGCTGCAATTTGCTGAACAGCTCAAGAACAAGGGATATAACTGAAGACTAACGAGGGAAGCTAGAGCTAGTGATGGGAGATGATCGTTTGAAGAAATGAAAAATTTCCATTCACCGGCACGACGACACGCTTAAATATTCATTCCCTTGACCTGGGACCCTCGCAGTATGGCCCTACTCAAGTGTATGCGTCGTGGAAAGAGGTAGAATTGCGCGGCATGGCCTGCATTTGCCCACACGGCCTGAGCAACTGCATGTCTGCATGAAGTGCAGATGCATGAGTTGTACAATTCGAGTTCAACTCCTACTGCAAAATCCCGATCACAGAGATCACAGCTGCTGAACCGACGTGGGATCCGTTATGATGGGATCGAAGGATAGGAAAGATTTGCTCGGCAACTCGAAGTCATATTTTCTTATTATTTCTATGCTAGCCAGCTTTGCTCCATAAACAGCGACATCCAACATAACCTCATCCCCGTTTTACCATGTCAAAGCTGTTTCGTGAAGAAGCGGAAATCTTTTCCACCATGCGCTCCAAATTACTGACCGTATTGGAGTTTAGAGTGCATACTTGACTCGTAGACTTGCAGAGTCGATAGGCTCAAGTGGGTGTGATTTGACCACGTAGCTGCACCAAAGTGCTAGTCACTGCATCAAGGCACCTATAGAGCAAAAAGCACAAAGTAAAATGGACCAAGTGGAATGAAGGGAACGGATTGTCTTCAGTATATAATAGAATCATGCTTGTACTGGTTCTTGGGAGGGATAAAATTGTCAACACTAATACAAGGGAAACAATGGACACGGGAAATACATCCCGCTCAATTTCAAGCCCCATATAGTTGCAATGACCTGCAGGAGGTTGAATGGCTCAGATTGCTTAATATGCGAGGTGCAGCATACAACATGGTGGGCAAATGCACCATGCGTTGGTGTCTAACAGCTGATCACATACTAACCAGCCCGTCCTTCGTACCATGGGTGGATTATCTGCCCAACCTCGCATCTTGACCTTAGACCGGCGAAGCAGACTGGCGCTCAATCTACTCCCGAGTGTATGCACTCTGTCTCGAAAATATTGTCAGAAATACCACGGAATTGGAAAAGGACGACAATCCGACGAAGGGCACACGATGATAATAAGTGATGCTATGGCTATTTGGATAAACACATTTCATCTAGTCCATCTCTGCAAGGCTCGCATGTTAGCAACTAGTGCGTTATCGCCGTCTTCAGAGCAAAGGGGCAGTCGGGCAGCAAGCTGGCAATGATCTATACGAGATACCTTGGACACTAGTTGAATGTAAGACCTACATTGGAATCGCCAGCCTCTCCCCGGGATACATGCGCTGTGAATGCAACCAGGTGCGAGATCGAATCATCCGCCCTAGATTTACACAGTGGGCTGAACACAACAAGGGATATTGTGTCTCGTTACTACACCACAAATATCATCTTATCATCTTGGAGACGGGTACAACTTGAACATGAGTATCTATACTTCCATATGATCAGCTAGCCGAATACGCCACATCTACCGTGGCCTCTTCATTGAACCATACTATCCATTTAGGTATAGCAGGGAATTGGTAGCTATGAACCTCGCATGACCACATCTTCTGGCAATGTCTTGATAGGACCGTTCCTTCAAATGACTTGCATAAGCAGTCCAACTCTGACTGACTTCCCTAATGTGTTAAGTGAGAGTCTCATCTCCGATAGAATATAAGGATCTATAGTTTCGCACTATACCACGCAGACAAGACGCTCACAATCATACCAGCCGTGCCAGCAGCCCCCCAGAACGTCATGGAGCCGAAGCCCTCTTTTTTTGTCAGAATCGAGTAATCAGATGCCTGGTGGCTATTATCAATGTGCTTTTCACGCCAGCAGGCCTCAGTGAGTCCCAATGGCCGAATCACTCCACGGACCCTCTAAGGTCCGCATAGAAGTTCTATTTCTCGGTGTCAGTGGAATATCTGGACGACAGCTCAGTACGCCGTGCATCCTGGCGGGCAATGGTTTACCGCGGCTGCAGTCGGTCACTTTTCTCTCTACTTATTGATGGAAGGGCTTGAATCTGGCTATTCTCAAGGTTAATATATAGCATGCAGAAGTGCGGATATGAATTTACCGATGATAGATGAAGAATGCCGTCTTCGCGGGGTCGGATTGCGTGATCGGTAGTACAGCCCTCGTTATGAATACATCGTAGTGAACCATTGTTGTTTACAAGCTAACTTTTGTTTGCACCTGCACTGGACTTTCGATCGAACTCTCCCTGTCAATTTGAGCATGGTCTTGTTTCCTGTCATCTCTAGTTAGCGCAGTTACTCGATTCTGGCCCTGGGATGATAAACATACCGTTTTTCACGTTTAAGAAAGTACTGGATCAACTGCGCCGTCGCAATCAGACAGATCGCACTCGCCAACGTGAATGAATATCCTTTCGTGAAGCGCGGTCCTTCCACTGTCTTATACACCAACAATGGTGTCCACACTGTCGTCGACTGCGCAATCGTGTTGGTGATAACCAGCGCCAACGACCGTTCCGCCGGTGACGCCCGCAACTCACTGTTGATCCAGCCGTAAAGCACACTCGACATCGCTACGGCCGCATAGGTCGTCTGAAATGCAAACCATTTTGCAGACTCAGGCACGTTCCACACTATTAAAATGACCAGGCCGATGATATTCCAGATATGAGAGACAGTGATAGCCCATGCTGGTCCCAGCACGAGATCTGAGGCGAAACAGATGAACAACGTGTAGAAGATACCGAGAGCGGGTGAGATGGCAGCCAGTTCATTCAGCCGCGCGGTTGAGAACCTGTTCAGACTTTTCAGCCAGAGCAAGTATCCACCGGTACTAGTATTCAGACAGGCATTCCAAAAGAAGATGTCCAGCCAAAGCATCGCCCAGAACTTCCAGTTGCGAGCGACATTAATCACGGATCGCCATTGAAATCCTGGGTGGAAGCCATGCCCAACGCGGGCAAGTCGCGCCTTTGCGATATCAACGTCCTTGGGCCGTAGAACTATGCGGTTGGGCTTGTCCGGGGTGCCGGGCAAGATGAAGAAACCTATGATTCCGACCGGGATGGTGATGATAGCGCAGATGATGTACATCCACCGCCAACCGGCGAGACCATGCACCCCGTCAAGACGGGCTGACGCGCCGGATTGGATCAGACTGGCTGTGAGGGTTCCCAGTGTGAGGCCGACGTAGAAGCAGCCACCCCGACGGGCGATTTCATCCCCACGGTACCAGGCACCTATACCTGTCAGTCATGATACTATCCTTGGGGGTCGAAGAACCTACCGAATATATAGTGCATTCCGGGAAAGAAGGCGGCCTAATAATCAGCATTGGTTCACAACAGGTAGTGGAAGACACACTTCAAACCATCCGACCAGAAATCGATAGGCTGCTAGCTCGCTGAAGGAACTTGCCCGGAACTGCAATAACGTGAATACACCCCACGCAATGTCCAAGATCGGAATCACCCAGGAAATGGGCAGTTTAGTAAATAGGTAGACAAAAGGTATCTGCCCGACGACCGCCCCGACGGTGTACATGGTTTGCAGCTGAACCAGGTCATTGCCCTGCAGGTTCAAATCCTCCTTAACCCCGGAAACGTAGGCATTATCTAAAACCATTAATCAATGAGGCACGAAGCAAGGAGAGGGGAACACGCACTGATGTTGGCCTGGTCGATATACTTCACCCAGTAAGCCAGGAAAGCATATGGGACGATTAGTAGGTCAAGCTTTAGGATCAGCCGTCGTTCCTCAGCGGTGTCTTCATCAGCGAACCACCGAATTCGATACCATGGACGCGAGCGAGAGCCCATTGTGTCGATGATATGGGAGGGAAAGCCGTAGCATTCTAGAAGATTATATACATTGAATACCGAAGATGTCACTTTACGGCTCATTACGTGAGAGTTGATAAGAGTCGCACCATCGAGCCACTTGCAGAATCGAGGCATCTCTACGATCCAGCAAAACATTGTGGGCGCATTAGTCTGCTGTCGGCCAAGAATAATGTCAAGAAGTGGGTATAAGGCGTGCTCAGTCCCCGCATGTCAATCCGGCTTTTGCATGATGAATTAGCAACGACCATTAATTCTTTTCGTAGATCTGATTCATCCTGGCTAAAACATGGGGGCCTCAAATTATTATGGATTTTTGTGGGTTGTTATTATGTGAAATGTATGGCGCCGTGATAGTGGAACTGAGCACCAACGGTGAAATTATCATTCACGGAGCCGATGACGATGTCTGCTATATGTACGGTGAGCTTCTTAGGAAGGCGTGCCTTATCATATACTCGTAAACTATGACCAGCGGTGGTTTGCCGACAGAGAAGGGTTTCTTGTATTGACCTTTGTCAATATTCAGGTTAGCCTCTTTTTCTTGAAGGTGTTCGCGACGGGATTCCTAAGATGTTTACCGCTTCATCACAGATAAGGAGAGTTTCTGACAAAGGTGTATAGCTGATATCTGTGAGCCATGAAGGCGGTAGGAGCATTTCGTGTGAGGGTAGAGTGACTTGAGCAGATTTTTCTGTTTGCTGAATTCAGTTACTTTCCACTATGTGACCCTGTTTTATACCGATTCAGTCTGGAAATTCATGCAGTGCAATAGCTTCATAAGATGGTTTGGGATCGCTATTCTGAGTAGTTCCTTACAGTGTGTCGTATAGGATTTGGATGATACCGCGTCTAATACATACGACCATAGGCTAAGGAAATAAGGGTTTGCGTCCGCTCAGCCATACTCAAGTCACTATTATCAACGTCATGGGAGGTACAAGGAGCGCATGGTGGCTGATTGATTTTCTTTCGTTCCATGACGCGTGGGGATTTCGGCGACAAATCGATTCATAGCAGGCATAAATCCTTTAGCCCAGAAATGATCATGTTTCAAGGGACCCCTCCGCACATCTTCACTTCATACCACACGCAGCAGAAGCCTCTCTACTCCCTCATCCATATGCCTCTTCAATAGCCCATAATCCTAAAGATTCACTCTCATCCTAATACTGAAAGCACCCGTGCCGCTGGTGGACTTCTCCTATCAACCTCTACCCCAGGGCAGACCGGAAAACGGTACAGGACTTAGGACAATTGTAAATGTAGCCATTCAGAAGGCGCTCATGGTATAATTGTGGATGTGAGCGCTTCAGGGAGATTATGGGCGACCCGAACTTTCTCAGGGACCTCCTCCTCTTCCAAGTGGCGGTGCTCTTTCACTAGCTAGGCTTAGCTCATCGAGAAATAAACAATAGTAAGCTGGGATATGTGAAGGGAATTGCCACGGAATATTGTAAACATGACGACCGTTGGTGGGACAGACGCGCAAGATAGTCCTGGCACATTAACCCTCAATGATGGCCAGCATCCGGCCCAGAATGACTCTGGGTGCGAGTGTGACCTATGTAAGACACCCTAGATTCCACTTCCATGATATTCAGAGGTCTACACCCAATCTGTCCATCTCCGAATGGCGTGGACGGGAGCTCACTCTGCAGTAACTTGAAGTCTTACTATAGGTAACAGCAGCAGAATGGATCAATCGAGACCAATGCCACAAACACTTGGTTGCTCAGGTCTGACTTCATGGCGTTTCCCAACCAAGCATAGAGCCCGTAATAGCCGCGGGTGTGCCTTATTCCTCGCATTTCCGCGGACCACACGCCAATAATATCTGCCCAAAACAATGTCTCATATGACATGACGATGTGGTATTGCCTGATACTAGAGGGGATGTCGCAGGATGACACATTGTGGGGTGATCGCCTCTAGGTACAAGAGCATATATTAAACGCCACGCACACAGCAGACTAAGGTTGCTGTGCAGAGAGATTGTTCAGGCTTTACAATGAGTGCAGGTTTGCAACATACTACTAGTAACAGTGCAATTGCACTTTCACGCTGACAGGAAGTTAGATCCAGCGTGTCCCAGGTTCCCTTTCGCTCGTCCGAGTGGCGACGAACCACCCGCAGAGTTTCGCCGTCTTCTCAGAGAATGTCCTGTTTCCCGCGTAGAGCTTTGGGATGGCAGCCATCCATGGTTGGTGGTAAAGCACAAGGATGTTCGCGACGTTCTTACGGACCCTAGACTGTCCAAGGTGCGATCATGTGGACCAGCCTCTATACAGTTCGGTAGGCATAGCTAACGTTGTCGCAGGTTCGTCAGCGAGAGGGCTTTCCAGAAATGTCCCCTGGTGGAAAGGCAGCTGCGAAAAACCGGCCGACCTTTGTTGATATGGATCCTCCCGATCATATGCACCAACGGTATATCTGTCCCATCCCTCTTTATAGAATACCTGGGGCTAATCCCCGAGACAGCAGCATGGTCGGTGCCTTTTTCAACGAGGGATACGTGCAGTCTCGCCTTCCATTCATTCGAGACACTGTTCAGCATTATCTGAATGAGTTGATCGCGGCAGGTAAAGATAAGAAACAAGTCGATCTCGTGAAACACTTCGCTCTGCCAGTACCCTCGCATGTGAGTTCTTCGCTTCCATCGGATCATTCTGTGGTTGTGTGGGTTAATGATCTAACTCTGCCACAGATCATTTATGACATACTCGGTATCCCTCATGAAGATTTCGAGTATTTAAGTGGTTGCGATGCGACGCGCACTAATGGAAGTAGCACTGCCGCCGCCGCTCAAGCTGCCAACAAGTAATGGCATTCCATGACAAGTGTACGTGAGGGCAACCCAGGGCTGATATATCTCTGTAGGGAGCTTCTGGAATATCTGGAGAGGCTGGTCGATAATAAAACCGCACGCCCCGGTAAAGATGTTATAAGCACCTTGGTCATGGAGAAATTGAAACCAGGACATCTTGAGAAGCTTGACGTAGTTCAAGTTGTGTTTCTTCTCTTGGTGGCTGGCAACGCTACCGTTGTTAGCATGATTGCCTTGGTATGCCTGAATAGTCCAGAACCCGGAAAGCTTCGATGGCTTGAACTGATGTATCAACTCTCCAGGGTGTGGTGACCCTGCTCGAACACCCAGAGCAACTGTCGCGGTTGATGGAAGATCCATCACTCTCCAAGTTATTTGTGGAGGAGCTATGTCGCTTCCACACAGCATCCGCACTCGCTACACGGCGTGTGGCTACCGTGGACATCGAACTTCGTGGACAAGTCCGAATCCCATTCTTCTTCCCGCCCTTTGTAGACTTCTAACAGTCATAGATAATAAGAGCCGGTGAGGGCATTATTGCCTCGAATCAGGCAGCTAACCGTGACCCCGAGGTCTTCCCAGACCCAGACATCTTCGATATGTTCCGAAAGCGCGGACACGAGGAGGCCCTGGGTTTCGGATACGGCGACCATCGGTGCATCGCGGAAGGGCTTGCGCGTGCGGAGCTAGAAATTGTCTTTTGTAAGTCAAAACTCATAAAGCCCATGCTAAGACCTGGAAACTCATAACTGGTCACTTTTGGTAGCCACTTTATTCCAAACACTCCCGAGCCTTAGGCTTGCGGTCCCCAAGTCGGAGATCCAGTGGACACCTCCCACCAAGGACGTGGGTATCATTGGGCTTCCGGTGACTTGGGGTAGCGATTGAAATGGAGGAGGAACTGTGAAATTGTAAATTGACTTCGCCTTGATTGTGCTGATGTATTTCTAACTTGTAAATCTCTGGATATCAAATTGCTCATTTGACATGTTTAATTATGAATACTGAAGTCAAGGACTGAGCTTGCCTTCCCAATAGCTTGCGTACTTGGCTAATCTCCAACAACAAGCAGCCGAATTCCCAGACGCTACCCCCGTTATGGCAAAGCTCTATAAGACACCACCTTGACAGATATAGAGTCTCTCTCATCTTAACATAAAGCTGGGTCGGATATGTCCCTCCTCACCTAGCATTGACTCTTTACTGTATCCCTTACCGCTAAGCAGGGATGAACCTCCATGTGATTTACACCGCCACATCGCCATCATTTCTGGGCCCGAGTAAGCTTAACCATTACTCCAGACCACGTTACATTCAGAACCTTTCAAGAGACCGTTCTAGAATGTTATATTTTGTTTCGGCGTGGCGCTCGTGAAGTGCGTAAAATACACAATTTGGGAGGTCAAACGCCGGACCCCACATTAGCCCTAAGCAGAATCTGCTCTGAGACTTCAGCCATCGACCAAGGTCTCCGGTAAATGATGCACACAATAAGCTTACATCTTAGACACATCTATCAGCACATGACTGGAAATCTGGCGTTTCAAGTGTTTTGCCAAAAAAGCCAGTCTCTCACTCGCTGAGGGAGAGGGTGGGTGCATAGTGAGGATAGTGCCGCACCCACAGTAGAAAAGAAAAAGGTTTATTAACCGTAGTAGAAAGTATTATATAGACACTGGATATTAGTATGTTGAACAAGAAATATCGCACAAGCTAGGAAAAGACTCTCAGCCCAAGTCCCACGGCATATCAACTGGGAGATCATCTATAAACATTCAGACATTGACTCGGGAACGGAGCAGATAAAACCTCGGGTGTTCCTCGGTTGAGGAGCAAGTGATGCTACTGTGTGTACGTGTTCCTTTACGGCTATGGTGGTAAGTACTCTTGCAATAACTGCCCTGGCTTCCACCAGTAGCATCAAGATGAGGGAGCCGACCCGCGGTGTGGAGAAGGAGGGACGAGGGGGTGAGATGGTAGTGGAGAGCCAGGGGGCGAGGAGGGTGAGGAGGGTGAGTATGGCGCCGCGTCTCCCTCTAACTCTACAAGGGGTGGGCTGCCTAGCTCGCTTCTCGCAGATTGCCGTTGCGCGGCGACCTCGGCAGGCAACTCGCTTCTGATCGGTTCCTGCCCAGGGTATCCTCCAGACAGCTCGCTTCTCCTATGTCCATCCTGTCCGGCAAGGGCCGGATCTTTTGAGTCTTGCTGTGGTTGCGGTTGTTCCTCTTCGGTTGGTACACTCTTCTTCTTTCTCCGTAGGTAAAAGAACAGAAGGGCAGCCAGGATTGATACCCCCGCGACGCCACCGACGACACCCCCGACAATGGCCCCTACCGGCTTCGATTTCCCAGATGAGCCCGAGGTTGGGGTTGGGATCGTGCGGGTGGGCGAGCGAGTTGGTGCGGTATAGGTCCGTGTGAAGAAAACCGAAAGGTCCCGGTTATCAAAGCCGCCAGAAGGCTGCGTGGTGTTGGCGCCCCCGGTGGCACTGTAGAGAGCTGGTCAGCGTCAAATGTGCGGATGCGATGATCCGGGATACGTACGATCCCCCAATGACAGAGATGATCTCGGACGGCACTTCGTAGCTCGTGAGGTTGGATCGGAACATTGCCCACATCGCATCTTCCGGATTCTGCTTCCCCAGGTACATGTTATGCATCCCGTATATCGGAGGCACGTCACAGTCCGTGGAGTTGGGTTGCGTGCCACCCATCACACTGCTTCAGATTAGATATACACGGTAGCATAGCCTCCTTTGGAATGGTACTTACAGCATCTGGGCTCCATCGATAACGGTACAGGACATGGAATGCTTAGGATAGCCTATACCGGGCGTTACAGGATACCTAGACCATGTCAGCTAATCATCCTTGCGCTGGACAAGGCGAGGACGTACCATTTGATCCATTGGAAGGAAGGCATGGACAGAATGTAAATATCATCGAAGCCAACACCTTCCGGGGCACCGAGGCCACCGTATAGATAGATATTATACGAGGAATGATCTTGCGCCCAGGTAACACCGGCACAGAATCTCCTCCTTCGCTCTGGGATGTCGCCGGTCGCTTTTTGAGTGTACCACTTACTACCCGAGATGTCGTACAGCAAAATCTCCTGCGAAATGTGAGTCGTTGACAGGCAACCCAACCGGGTAATGATTAGGTACGCACATCCATAGGCTGGCCGACGGTGGTGCCATTATTTGCAGCCTGTACGCCTCCGAGGTACACCAACATGCCTTCACTGACTGGGATATACACCATGGCCCCTTCCGCACGGCCGACCGTGTCCGGACCGGATGAATTCGTCCACGTATTCTGCAGGATGTCGTATTGGAGCATCGTCGACAAAGCCTTAGGACGCTGTGATCCCCAATTCGGGACCGACGCGTTCGATAGCCATCCGCCATAGTAGAAGCCAGCCGCACGATCTTGCAAGGTGACTCCCGCGCCGTAACTGGCCCGTTTGATACCCGCCTGCGAGGAATCGGGGGTGACAGTGTTCCACTGGTTGTATAAAGCGTCGTACGACCACAGCGAGAAGTTGCCTGGCGAACCTTTATCGAACTCGCCGCCGTAGAGATACATCATCTTGTTGACAGTGTCGGGCCACAGAATTCCTCCGTTCACATCGGGCGCATCGGCAGGTTTTGTCAGATTGTTGTACACGGCCGGCATACCCTGATTGTTGACATCAAAGTCCGCATAGAGCAGGGCAGTATCTTCACGAAACGGGAGGTCAGTAATCGCCATGCCACCGTCACGATGAATGAGGGACCTACTGGTGGCATTGTCGGGGTATTCACTCAGAGGGTTATAATTCACGAAGCCGCCATCGATGTAGAGACTGAGATGGTCAGTGGGATCAATCATCAAACCTAGTAGATCTAACAGAAGTCGCACTTGCGATCGATTACCGCTGTCTGGTGTCCCCAAAGTCTGCAAAAGTCCTTCAATATGTCTGGCTCCTGGAGGCTCAACCCAGTGAGCCCCAGGAAGAGAAGTAAATTCCTCGTTGTCATCGGGTTAACGAGGTACAGGATCTGCTCGAGGCCTCTTTCTCTCTGGGGAAGAAATATTGACCAAGATCATTCGTGTTCTTGCGTAGTCTTGGACAACGAAGTTCACAGGATTACGGTGTCAGCATCTTTTGGATCGGTCAGAATGTCTCAGCCTTGCTGGGAAGTGGCCCAAAATGACCTTCTGTTAGCGCCTCCATCGATCTGCAAGGCCCTCCATGAGTTGACTCCCGAGGATATGCAATGGGCGAATCCGGGACTTCTCCAGCCCGTACTCCAGTGGCTTAGCTTTTGATCTCCACTGTTGTTAACCCTTTTCAGCCTAGGTGGGTCAATACCGCATCCTTCGTCCAGCGATATTTGTTGTCTGAGGTTGACAGTCTAGGACACTCCCAAGACACCCAAGACTCCCACAACAATGGTTCCCTGTGTCTCAGTCTCTCCCCAGCTATTTTTTAGCTTTTCAGCTTGTCTTTTCGAATTGAATTCTATGCAATTTAAAATCCCACCGTGCTTTTAAAATGGGACCGAGGAGGAATGCGCTGGAGCTCCCAGCCCCCACGCGAACCAGGCCGCGGTGGAGCAGCCGATCCCTCCAACGTTGACCATCCAGCTCATTGATGCCTCCGTGCGTCGTCTCGATCCTAATTCTCAAGTGGGGTAACTGGCGTCCCGAACGTCCTCTTCCTTTCCTCATGTTGCGAGCGGAGCGCCGGGAATTAACCTGGGTCTCGAAGATAAACGTGGAATGTACTTCTCACTCCCGGCAGGTTTGCCAAGTCAGCGCTCGTGCGTCGATCGAGTACCTATTCGAGGACCAGCAATCAGATATGTAAGCATTTAGAAGGTTCACTAGGTGAGTAAGCTAGCCAAGGAATGTAATCTAGGCCTAGACGATGTCCTCCGTACCGCACACACGGTACTATGGACATGGATTAAGTCAATCTTTTGGCCTGCTTGCACCGGTGGGTCCGCACTGGACAGCCATATCGATTCTATCAAATCCTGCCATATCATAGGTGGGTTCGTTTACAGATTCTTTTAGCGTGGCTGAGCAACAGGGTCTCCACTTATAACAAACCTTCAACTTGTTCCTCCTCCAGCTTGCCTTTATAGTCTAATTCAATACCGAGTTCATATAGACCTTTTATCTTGTATAATAAGTTATGAGGAATGGCCGAATGATAAAGGTAGTAGTTTTTAGTTATTGGTATTAAGTTGTACCATACTACTAATAGTATTATCAAACCCGGCTTACGCTATATATATATATATACTGAGATGACTGGGATATAAAATTCAACCGACCACATTGAAATGGTAATAAATTGCCAAAGATTTTATCCACCCTATCTCGGATTTTAAACCAAGTAATTTTATTCACCGTTCGTCCAACACGGTAGCTATATAAATATACTATTACTTGGTGTAGTTACACCATGGCTTGAGCTTGACTGTATTAGAAAGGATATGCTTAACACCCTACACGCGCATTAGTGATAATTCAGGAATTTCTTGGATTCAGGGGAACCTTGCGAAATGTGCCAGCATAGGTTGACCACCAGTTTGAGAAATCTGGTAATTTGACAGGGGTCTGACAGACCACACAATGCCTGCGTGTGTTTTGTCACGTATAAATCCAGCTGAGCTGTATTGGTGATCTAAATTCGGCTGCCAAATTATGCTTCGAGGAAACGGTCAAGCAACTGTGGATGGGCCCGACGAAAAACAGTTCGTAAGATAACCTGCGCAATCAAACCACAAGAAATGGCTGCCACGTTGGATGTCTATGAAAGCTAGATATATGAAGACACAAACTTTATTACCTGATTGGATGAGACTCGCGTCTCGGGGGGCACGTTTAATTTCCTTTGAGTTGTTGCAGCAGGCGGAGGGTGACATGCAGTACTAGCAATTAATCCATGAAACCAAGCTCAGGCCATAAATTGCCTATGCATTGCTTAGGTATTGTATCTTGTTATCCTAAGCTAACTATTGCTGACGAACGCTAGGGATTGAATGTGGAAGATGTTGAATCGAGTTCTGTTTAGCAACATATGTAGCTTAGTCCGTGTCTGCCTTGAACAACCTTATTGTCCTGGCTTGAAACGCTCTGATATCATCCTATAAAATCCCTAACCCATTTAGGTTAGCCAGGACCTTTGGTCCAGGTTCTAGTCCAAGCCCATGGACGAATCTCATGCGCGTTATTCCACTTCAACAGTCAGACACCAGCACAAACATCGTGTCTCTTCATCTTACCCCAGCTCTGCACTCTTGGCTCCACCATTCCCCAAGGTGAGGTCATTTGGAAAGTAGTGCTTGACGAACTCAAAAGGTAGACCCCTCATTTATACACCGTCCTCTCTCCATTATCTAGTCTAGCCTTCTAAGTCCACTTACAGCGTGGAAGAATTCCACCAAATAACTACACAACCGGAACCTACTATCCTCTACTTTTGGGCTAGATGGTGTAGTCCCTGCAAGAGTCTGGGGCCAAAGATTGAGGAATTTACAAATCGGTACCAGAACGTGGAATTCTTCAAGGTTGATGTGGAGGAGCAAGGAAGTATTGCTGATGAGGCGGTGGTAGCTTTCGTGCCGACGGTAGTTATTTACCCACAGGATGAGGTTGTTAAGAGGCTGCAGGCACCTGAACCAGCATATTTGCAGGAAGTCCTCGAGCAACTGTAGTTACTTCAACTAAAGCTACCGCTTTTAGGTTCATGATGAGCAATGCCAAGCTCATTTCAAGGGACTGCAGTTTCGTCTTTCAAAGATCACGTGGAATGGCTGGGAATATAAAGAGATATGCATTATAGGGGATCCATAACTAGGGTTGCGATCGCTGGCCTTACAGGTAGCTTATGATATCGTGTGTTATTTATATTGTATCCCAGTACTCGAGCCTAGTTATATGTCATAAAGAATTTCATTTTAGTTGTGTACCGCCATGACCTCGGCGCGGGCCATCTTCCCCTGCTCAACATCACTCTCCTGCTGTGGTGGGTCGTCGTTCTGCGAGCCAGATGAGAAGCCATCGTCGTCTTCGCGAACGGACGACTTTCGATCCCGCCAGAGCTGCACCTGGATAGCAGCAGTGACAACGACTGTAGGGAACACGAGAGGAATTAGGAGCAGGTAAGATGGCAAATGGCGTACGTAGGAGACTCACTGAGTAGACACTGGAGGACGATATCCCATAAATAGCCCTTCTTGGCAGCTGGAAAGTCGGTGGTCTTCCACACAAAGTTCGGTGCCTAACAAGGTGCGTTAACTATTTTCCTGTCAGACAAAATTCAGGAGCAGAAGGCACGTACTACCGCTTGAACGACGTAAGCAAGGTCGTTCGCTAACCCGACAATTAATGCTCTTTTCTCAGTGTCCGCCGAACAGATCTCGTTGATCCAACTCAAGATGAGAGGCCCGGCACCGCTCTGTTGTCATTCATTGAGCACGGTATATCTTATCTCTTGACTACGTTGCCATATTGAGAAAGCAGGGGGAACTCACGCCAATGTTACTCAGCCAATATACAACCATACGGCCCTTAATATTTTCATAGAGCGGCATCTGTCGGAGAAGTATACAGAAAATCATCTACAGATCGAGCATGGAAGTCAGTGAGATTGTACATAGAGCGCACAGCTGCAAACAAGGCTCAGACCACTCACCGTGATGATGGCTCCAGCATAGATGAAAGGCCACCGTATACCGCGACACCCATCAGACAGCCAACCCCAGCTCAAAGCCACCACAACGAAAATTCCAGTCGTAACCATAGGATCTATAACAAGCTCAGTACGAGTGATGCGCCCTTTTGGAGGACTACTCACAGTTATTGATCTGCGGCACCGAAAATGATGTACCCGGCACCGGAGCAGGGGTCGTGTTGAAGCTCTTCAGCCAGTAACCCATGCCGGGTTGTGGGTAACCGTTATTCCACACAATGTATAGTAACGCTGGGCCCAGTTAGTCTGGATAGGTACTTGATCAACTGGAGGAATTCTACGAACGGAGAACATAGGTATGCCAGCTGAGGAAGATTCGCTTAGCCTTGGCGACCGTCCAGGGCTCCTTTCCCGCACGGCCAACAGCCTCCATGCGCCTAACCGAAAGGATATGCTCCTCTTCTGTCGTCCACCACGTTTTCTTCCCGTCTTGGGGGAGGTTAGGGAAAAAGAGGAAGCCCGCTAGGGCAAGCGGTAGTGTGATGATGCCATCGATAATGAACAGCCAGCGCCAGCCAGCATGGCCGTGAACACCGTTCAGGTTGGTGTAAGCGGCAGCTTGCAGGAACCCACTGAATAACGTTCCAATTGAGCCGGCCAGCCAGAAAACCATCGCCCGCTTACCTATCTCACGGGGAGTGTACCACGATCCGAGTAGGTAGTGGATACCTGGGTAGAAGCCGGATCTGCAGAGGGACAGTTAGCATTGTGCGATTGGTAAAATGAGCCAAATACCTACTCGAACAGCCCAACCAAAAAGCGGATGGCGTATAGTGACCGGTAGGACTGCACACTGGATGTGCAAATCGTGGCTATCCCCCAACCGACCTCCAACTACAAGTAGTCTGTTAGCGATGTACTGTAATTGATAGGCACAGAATTAGGAAGAGAGTCGTACCGCAGGAATTACCCATCGAGGAGAGATCCTTGTCAGCAGCAAGTTGGATGGTATCTGCCCAATTACATATCCCACCGTGTAGATAGACGTGCTAGTGACAAGCTGATTGCCATACATATTCAAGTCTTCTTTCATGCCACTGAGAAAGGCATTGTTGATATTGTTAAGATCCAGATTTTTCAGAAAGTAACCGATCTGGAAATCCATGTTAGACTGGATCGATGTCTTGCCTCTGTTGAGGTGCTTAACTCACTGAGGCAAAGGTAAGGACAAAGGCATCGACTTTGAATAAGAGCCAGCGCTGGTCTGGTGGAAGCTCCCATGTATCCCATATGTAGCCTTTCCATGACTTTATTGGCTGCACCTTGATCTGGTCACTGGAGTGACTTTGCCCAGGATCTGGATGCATACTGGACGATCCACTGGCACTTTTCCCGCGGTCCATGTTGGATGCGTGGCCGGCGTATCCAAATCCAACTGACAGCCAGGTTTATAGCCATATTTAAATCTATGTGAACATGACTCTCATACTGCACATGGCCTCATTGATACTCCTCATCACGCCATCTCTTATCTTCGAGCTCGTTACAAGATCTGGTCATTCCTTTCTCGGTACTGAATTAAGCTCCCGTAAAGGTTGGAAATCGTTCAGTGCATTGATACCATGATTTGCTTTCCGCGCAGACTCTACACCGAACCTCTACACCTTGGGCGGAAGAATGGCACAATCAGATCTCTGGAAGCTATACCTGTGATTCTGGGGTCAGGTTAGATGGTCGGCAGATATGATTGCGCCATAGTCTAGCGTAATTTGACATTCCCCACCATATATTAGCAGGCGATGACAAGCTTACAGCAATTACGAGAAGAAGAAATCACGGACTTAAGGCGACAAACAAGCATTGCGATGTCGGCCTTGCTTGGCGGTTGGCTTTCTCGCTGTGACCACTTTGATACGTCTGTTCACAGTGCTAGCGCAAGTCTAGAAAGGATACACAATACGAACTGTTTCGGACGGAGTTTTATACTCTGTATTATTGTCACACCGAGCGATCTAGGCATGCAAAGGCACCAATGCAGTTGGCACACTCAAAAACGAACCCGTCCGAAACTATAAGGCGTCTTGTATCTCTTCTTCGCTCGGGGAGGAATGTGATTACATTCAAATGTGGGGCCTCCAAGCCCCGATGACTTACCGGACAGGCATGGGTGATATCATGCTTCTCCTTGTGGCATCTCACCGGTGGGATCCACAAATGGGGGTATGTATCTTACCTCGATGCGTTGTTCCCTTCGGAAATGTAGGCGATCTAGATCAAGAAATACACGACTATTGTACGCATTCGCTGGATTGAAGTTATCAGAAGCTAATGCTAGTGCCCACGTTCACATAAATATCTAGATTGAAAGTATGGGCTCTACCGATACTCCATAATGTAATGTTGGATTGCCAACCCTCATTCGAGATTCGATGTAGCTCTTCTTCTAACCCGTCTTTATAACCTGACCAAAGTTCATTCTTCCTTTACTGCTGATTGAATTAGGCCAACACTGTTCGTAAGACTGCAAGAAAGAAAGCTTACATGACTTACAGCATTGTACAGTAGTTGACAATGACCGTAAAACTGGAAAACACCCCAGGACAATAGCGCTTGCATCTAGAAACAGTGTCAAAGACCCTCTGACCCTAATCCGTGCCAAGGTGTGGGTCTAGTATCTAGCGGCATCCACATATTCGACTGCAGAGATATAAATACTTGGCTTCGCCTTAATTGGTGGATTAAGTGACGATAACCCATGCGGAAACTGAGAGGGCAGCCAAGCCGTGAGGGAAGTATCTGACTGAGGGATATTGCCGAGCTGTATGCAAACGATAGAAATTGCCGATATATCCCATCATATGCAAGGGGTGAAGCGTTGTCCATTTATGAATATCCAGGCGTGATGTTACTGCTCGCAAGCATGTCGTAGTCCAGTTGACACAGTCGGCACTGCCACCAGCGTTCCAAAGCCTGACTCCAAGCTTGTGCAAGAAAGGAATGATTCCATTTCGACGTCTTATCAGCACATCAATCTCCCAGCTGCGGGGTATGTCAGATTGATATGCCATGTTCCTATGTTCTCCGTACCGAGGAGGGTCCCCTTGCGCAATCGAGCTTGGCTATTGCAAAACGATAAGCGAGCCCCCTGGCCAATTATGATAATTTTGAAATCATAAAACCCTTTAGATGCCCCTAGTCTTCCATTGCATATCCCGAGAAACCTCTTGACTGTTCGCTTTTTGGCTTCCTAAGATGTCCGTGGGACTTTCGGAAAAAGGCGACGCCCCAGCGGCACCCTCAATAAAAGATAAAGCAAGCGATATTTCGATAGGGGAATCACCAGGTCAGGGAAGAGGGAACGTGCACTATGTCGAGAGGACTGAAAAGGACACCCTGCCTGAGTATGAAGGAGATGTTATCCCAGGTTACGACGCCAATCTCATGCGAGCGCGAGCAAGTCTTAGTAGCACAGAGGAAAAAAAGCTGCTACGACGAATAGACTGGCACCTAATTCCACTCTTAGCGATCATGTACATGGTGAAGAGTGTTGATTTCACAAATGTAGGTTTACCCCGTGATTCACCTTAACATGCAAGTCTGCATCCTAACCTTGCCAGGTATCCTACGCCCTCACCATGGATAAAGGAACGTCTCGCAATATCTTAACCGAGCTCAAAATGACATCCAATCAGTATAACTTAGTTACGACCATGTACTACGTGAGTTTGACCAGGTGTAAAACGAAGATTTATACTGATTGCTTAAAGATCCCCTATATACTGGCAGAAGCACCCTCCAATCTTCTGCTGAAAGGCGCCCGACCGTCCATCTGGCAGGCCCGAATCATGGTTAGTAAAATGACCTGGTTGCACGAGAGTTCTAGATACTGAAGACCACAGATATCCTGGGGAGTCGTACTCTGCTGTCATGCAGCGGTAACTAACCGACAGGGTCTCTATGCGGTTCGCTTTTTCCTAGGTCTCTTTGAGGCCGGCCTGTGGCCTGGCGTTCTTGTGCAGTTATGCTACTGGTACAGACCGGACGAGATTGCCCCTCGCATAGTCCTTGTGACACTTCTTGGTAACTTCAGCACGGTCATCAGTGGTGTACTTGCTTTTGCGTTTAACGGAGTGACAGCTGGTGGCCTCTCTGGTTGGAAATGGTAAGGAGCATTCCAAAAAACCAAAGCTACGATATTAATACTGCTTTCCAGGCTTGTCTTGACCGAAGGAATTTTCACGGTGATATTGGGGATCGTCACGTACTTCCTCTTACCAGATTGTATGTATAGCCATCATACCAGCAGGAGGTGCCGCATTGGACTAACCCTTGTATAGTTCCCTCTACGGCATCTTGGCTGTCTGAGAGAGAACAGGCGTTCATTCAAGCGCGCCTCCCTCGTAACGCTCCAAGAGCTGCGGAAGCCAATTTCGACCTGCGCGAACTCGTCACAACTCTGAATAACAAGAGAATCTGGCTCTTCCTCCTCTGCTGGGCTTTCTTCACCGTCGGCACTACGGGACTTACATTTTACCAACCAACCGTCATAGCAAACCTTGGGTTTACGTGAGTTTTTCCGACAGTGACATGTGAGGGCTGATTTACTAATGGTCGTGGCAGCTCTATCGGCCAAGCCCAACTGCTCAACATTCCTTCCGCGGTTTTCGCAGTACTTTTGACGGTCGTGTTTGGCATATTGGCCGACAGGGGAAGGATTCCTCAGCCCGCTATTCCCCTCGCTTTCATGATTGTCATCGAGGTGTGTTATGGCGTGCTCTACGCCTTTCCGAATACCGGCGGCGTGTACGCGGCAACCATTATCGCCGGGGGGTTCTCAACTGCATGGTAAGCTTTCCATCTCGTATTTTCTTCTCACGCCTTGGACGCTAAAGCCCAGTAGGTACGTGATGATGTGGCCCTGGCGCGTGCAGACCACTGAGGGTGCTACGGGGTCTGCCTTCGCCATCGCCTTTGCAAATAGCTACGGTCAAATTGGAGGGGCCGTGGGGTCTCAACTGTTTAATTCTCGGTACGCGCCACGATACACAACGTCTTTTGGGATTGCGATGGGGTTCGTGGGGATGGCCATCATTATGAACCTTATTACTTGGGGATTTACGTGGAAGGTCGACGTTGATACGAGGAAGCTCAAGAGAATCCGGCTTGCAGCGGCGAAGCAGAATCAAGCGGTGTTGGACGATGTGGATATACACGTTGGGGAGAAGCGGCAGTAACGGGTCCTGTATGTAGTATGTAGTATTGGGAGGAGGGAGCCCAAGGGACTTCAGTGCTTACGCTAGCATGCATCCTTCCTGCACAATAAGTCAATTGAGGGCTAGTTAGATAATAAACTAGTGGCACTGGGGATAGCTAAATCGTTCCAAGGCCAAGGCGCCATAGCGGGGACCGATTGTCTTATCAGTTTCCCCCCCTCACCGTGTCGATGAACCTCTTCTCACACCTCGATCACCATTTACAGAGACTTAAATTATGAAGACGACTGATCTCTTGCGTGTTAACTTGGTGACAGCTGGGGCGCTGGCCCTAGAGCATCAACAACCCTTGCTCGGGGATTTATCTCAGGGTCTCGACCGTATAATCGATGCATCGCCTCTGCTCTCCTTTCACCGGTCCCTCGTCCAAATCCCTTCGATCAGTGGGCACGAGAAACACGTGGGGGATTTTGTCCTAGATTTCCTGGCTTCGCAGAATCTGACAGTGGAAAAACAAGTGGTCACTCCGGAAAGCGATGAGGAAGAAAGATTCAACATATACGCGTATGTTGGGAACAACCGACATCCGGACGTGTTGGTGACCAGCCACATCGACACTGTGCCGCCCTTCATTCCTTACTCGCTTCATGCACCAGCCTCGGACACAGAGTTCTTCAATCGTACCGACCTCGTAATTGCTGGCCGTGGTACGGTGGATGCCAAAGCGAGTGTTGCGGCGATTGTGTTTGCTGCCCTAGAAATACTCGCGGAAAATCCCAACGCGTCGATCGGGTTGTTATTCGATGTCGGCGAGGAAAATAGCGCCGTAGGAATGAAACATTTCTCCAACTCTGAACTCAATCCGACGCCTCCGACATACCGTGCGGTTATATTCGGAGAGCCAACAGAGCTCAGCCTCGTCGCGGCACATAAAGGAAGTCTAGGATTCAAACTGGTCGCGGAGGGCAAAGCGGCTCACTCGGGATACCCCTGGCTGGGGCACAGTGCGATCTCAGCGCTCGTTCCTGTTCTCATTCATCTTGACACCCTGCAGGATCTTCCGCCCGAGAAAGGCGGTCTTCTTCGCAGTGAGACCTTGGGAAAGTCGACCTTGAACATTGGCCTGGTTCATGGTGGAGTTGCCGCCAACGTTGTCCCAGCGCATGCTGACGCAGCGATTAGCGTTCGCCTTGCAGCGGGAACTCCAGAGGACACGAGAGAGATCATCGAGAAAGCTGTGACAGGCATTACTGGAGACGACAGAAGTGTTTATCTTGATTTTGGTGATCGCAGCACCGGCGCTGTGCCACAGTACTTCGATGCGGATGTGGACGGTTTTCCAGTGATCACCGTGAATTACGGAACCGATGCCCCCGCACTGGAGATCCATGACGAGGGGACTCGAAAGGTCAAGCGATATCTGTATGGACCTGGAAGTATTCTTGTTGCTCATGCCGATAATGAGGCAATCACGGTCGGCGAACTGGAAGAGGCGGTGCGGGGATACAAAAGACTCATCGCGGCTTCTCTCTAGACGTGTTAGATAATATTGATACTATTCAACCCGGTGGCTCCATATATTACCCTGACATGTGCCTATTTGGTACGGAATTCTAGAGTTGGGATTGTATCATCATGGCATTGGGCAGCGCTAAGGACCCAGGTTGTTATCCGTAGCCTTGAACAAAGCACCAATGAAGTACACATATAGGGAAATATTTAGAGAACTGAGTTGATGGTCTCAGGTGGAGCATGTCAACTGTGTAGCATGCTTGATTAACACTGCTCCTATAATATCACGTTTTAGCTACATGTACACAGGTGTGATGCGTTGTCCAGAAGGCTGTTTCCAAGCTCATCCGTGGAGCCCGCATGTTCTGTCCTGCATCAGACTTCTCCTCTCCTTGTCTTTATGTGCGTCCCACGTAATGAACTCGTGCAGCCCTGAGCCTGCAGGTACCATTGGTAGCACTGGCACCTTCTTGTCGGTGATAACCTCTAGCAGAGCCGGGCCCTCCGTGTGGATAAGCCACTCGAGAGACTCAACGACGTCTTCCGGTTTCCTGACACGTCGATGTTGAATGTGCATTGCGGCTGCCAGGCCCATAAAGTCTGGGTTACGCTGGTGTGTGTGTGAGTATCGATCCTCGTAGAAGAGATTTTGCCACTGGGTCACCATTCCTTGCTCCTCGTTGTTTAGAACGATAACTTTGACCCCGATATTGAATTGACTGGCGGTGGTCAATTCTGTCAAGGTCATGCTAAACGATGCGTCCCCATCGATATCGATTACAAGCGCATCTGGACGCGCTACCTTGGCGCCGATAGCAGCGGGAAGGCCAAAGCCCATCGTACCAAGACCACCAGAAGTAATCATACTACGGGGATAACGCCAACGGAAGTGCTGAGCAGTCCACATCTGATGTTGACCAACGCCCGTAGTAATGATGGTCTCTTGCTTGCGATCTGCGGTGAGGTTACTCAGTTCCTCAATGACATACTGCGGTTTGATCAAATGTGGTCGTTCATCCCGATTGTAAGCACTCCACGGCCACTTTGCTTTCCACTCGTTGATTTGTTGAAACCATTCTCGCCTTTCGGCCATGCTGGTCCTTTTCACATGGGGTAGTAGGTGTGTCAGGTTCTCTGTGAGATCCCCGACAACAGCCTCAGTGGACTGAACCACCTTGTTGATATTCTTCGGTAGCACTTCAAACTGTACAATACCCCCAAGGCCCTTTGCCGCGGCTGCCCTCGCCGCAGGCGCAAACTTGGCGACGTTTAATGTCACTCTGTCGTCGAACCGTGCACCTAAGGCTATAATGAGATCAGCTTCCTGCATAGCCATATTCGCATATGCTGAGCCGTGCATGCCCAGCATATGCAAGGACTTCTCGTCCAGTTCGTCGAAGGCACCAAGGCCTTGCAGAGTTGTTGTGACCGGTATTGACGCCTTGTCAGCAAGCTCCTTGAGTAGCTGAGGTCCGCCCGGGGACTGAATAACACCCTGTCCTGCATAGATGACGGGCTTCTTGGCGGTGTTAATCAATTTGGCAACAGTAGAGATCGACTTGGTGAGTAACGTTTGGTTTGCGTCGGTGTTTGCGTAGGTCGCGGTGCGAGGTATAGCCAACCCGGTAGGGGTGGCATTTCTGAGTATACTTGCTGTCACGTCCTTGGGTAGGTCCACAAGGACCGGGCCAGGCCTACCACTCGTCGCAATCTCGAAAGCTTCATTGATTCTCTGGGGTAGCTCAGCAACGTTGCGCACCATGACGTTCCACTTTGTGCAGCCTCGCGATATACCGAGAATATCAGCTTCCTGGAAAGCATCGCTGCCGATCGCCGTGGTCGCCACCTGGCCGCTGAAGACGATCATTGGCGTCCCATCGGACAGAGCATCCTGCATCGGGGTAACGACGTTGGTGGCCCCGGGTCCGGAGGTGACCAGAACAATACCTGGCTTCCCTGATGCCCTTGCGTATCCCTCGGCCATATGCCCTGCTCCTTGTTCGTGCTTAGGAAGGATGAAATCGAAATACTTGGAATTGTAGATGGCGTCGAAGACCGGAAGGATAGTTCCACCAGGGTATCCAACTACCGACATGTGTGTCAGTAAGCGACAAAAATGCAAGCATTGTTCATGTTCGTACAGATATGTTTAACACCGTGCCTTCGCATCATCTCATGGAAAATTTGACCGCCCGTCATTCCAACAAACCTGTGTATTGCATCAGCACCACGACGCCGCACACAGCCTGGACTATTCTCATACGATTCATCCACTTCCATTGATGTTTGGCTTGCTGAAGACACATTATACTCTGCGCCTGTCGGGCGAAAGGTTGCACTCGATGGGGATTCTGCTTTTCTTTACACCGACAGGATTAATTAGGGCTGATGAGATCATCCGATAGCGTTTGAAATCGATTGGGACCTGTGCACAAAGCAATCTATAACTTACATCGACTGTGTCGCAACCGTAGTCATCCTTCGTCCAATGCCCCCTATCTTCGCAGACCAGATACACGACCGAGCAAGCGAGGTTTGTTGACATCGTACAGTACGAACCAGGGCATTGCCAGCCCGACTAATAGGGTGTTTTCGATACATGTCACGATAAGTATGTGATAAGCGAAAAGAGCCAGGTCAAACGCATTATTCCCACAGATATTGCTTCCCGACAACAGGGGTGGGCGTTTTATGTGATAGCGACATATGTATATGGACCAACATGACTCATGTCAGGGGGAGCGATACCGGACGCTTATTCTGGACCAGTACCTAGGGCCAAGCTATGCCCGCGTTAAATTCAACCTCATCAATGACTCATCTCACTCCAGTTAACCCAGTCTTGGCAGATTATCCGGGAGCCAGAACTGCATACGAAATATATCGACTCAAACAAAGCCAGAACATAAGAGTCTCTCCGGTATATAGTGATGTAGCGCAGCCGTGATGAGCAACATTTCATGCCACGGCCTTATGGCAATCTTTCCTCTTCAAATACACAAAGCGAGTTCGTCGAACTACTGTGTCTCCTACCATATCTTACGCCTTGCGATCATTATGACTTTGCCTGTGGGACTGTCAGGACATACGCACCGTCCTTGTCTCGGAACAACTCTTTTCTCCTCTCTCGTCGTCACTATGATCTCTGGCTGACCGTTCACGATCTCGATGACCTGACCAGCCATTGATCATGCCTTGGAACACCGACTAGGCCTTGACAAATGCCACTGAAGCTGGCTCAATGCTGATGGTGCGGACCGCCCAATACTGGTTGGTATCCTTCACGAGATGGGTACTTAAGACCAGCGAAAGACAGGCGCCACTGGTCAAACCACCATAATCGTTTGATCAAACTGAGGGTAGCGCACAGGCTCAGCATACAAGTTCCCACACATCTGATGGGATCTTGGCGGAATTATCGGTTTCTTTTTGATTGGCGCCCCTGTCGGGGGCATGCGACCCACCCAACACACTCACTAATGCCCCGAAAAATACCTGACCATGTATTCATTCAGTGTTGGAAAGAGCCTATGGTTCACAAAGAGTATCGGGGGCATCTTGAACGCGCAGACGCAGAAGAACGCGTGTCACATCGCAATTGCATACACCCGCCATCACACACACCTCTTGACTCCAGGATTGGCACAGCTAATCAAGATAGTTGGTCGAAGCATCTATCTCCCGCGTCATTCATTAATCGCCCGCGATACTGTACAATCAATGAGACATAGTGCCGCTGTCACGATGTACAACGTGTGGAGCCTCATGCATTAAATCTGCGTGGTGGGATTCTTGGCGTGTATCGGCGAGTTGTCCGTATGAATATGGGAGTCGGTGGATTGAGTTGAGGCTATATCTGTCCTCTTTAACTTGACCAGATCAGTGGGCTCAAACCATGTGTAGCCATGGAAAGTCTATACAGGAACTCACCCCTCTAGTTTAGCCTTCCTCATGCTGTCCGATGTCAAGGGACAGGCCTCACAGTTAGTAGCGGACGGTCTTTGTTGGGTTTGGATTCAGTGGAAAGAAATATTATGTGGGAACGTGCAAGCAATCCTGCTTTACGATTACTTCTACGACGCAAGGGGCTACCGCACTACACATTCTTCGGTACTAAGGAGATCTTCATACCAACACGTAGAGTATATGTGAGCCAGTAGGACAGTGGCATGTCAACGGACTCGTACTTCTGGAGAATGCGATCCTGGCCAGCTCCGTACTTCGCTATACTGTGGAGACAGTTATGCTTCCATCCTGTCAGATTTAACCTATGGCCATAATGTTGCTCAACAATGTACAGGGTTTGCACAATTACATTTCCACTACAATGTGATTTACCCCTGTTGATCATTTATCCTGCAGCTCGGCTCGCCATACCCGCGCGTTCTTGTCGGTTGAAAGCAAAAATTCTCTTGCGTTATATCGAGGAACGACACTCAATAATTAAACATTGGTACCCGCCAGGCCCACATGTAAACGCAAGCTCGATGCAAGGCTTGACTATACTTACTAAAATGTGACGTATCTCTTGGACAAGTATGCGCAATTGCGGAAAATAGCTGTGCCTAATCGGAATGTATAGTTTGCGAAACCCTTGCGCTCTCGGTTCAATATATACAGAATGCTGTGCCCGCTAATCATTGAAGAATAAAGCATCGCATTATCATGGACCTTCGCTTCTAAGGCAAGTTCAGATGTTTTGAGGTTCGAGAGAAATATTTCAAGAGAGCTTCTACTGAACTCTTGCATTCGTGGCGTATTTCTACCGCGAGAGTCATGGTTTCCAGATCGAATTCCATAACAGCCGAAAATTCCTTGGCGAGCGACTATCTAGCAGACCATCATCTAGAACACACGCCAGATGGGCAGTATATCCGCTGGCACCGTGCTAATCCGATTCATCCAAGGAATTGGTCTGTATTGCGGAAATGCTTTGACACTGGTCTCATCTTACTGCTGGACTTTTTCCTGTACGCTCAGGCCATCGTCACGCTAGACGCGCTGCGAGCTAACTTCTTGATAGGACAGCTTCTAGCACTGCTGGCGTATGTGCTAGAGAACCGTGACATCAAAAGTAACCGCTAACAGGTATAGGCATCGGCAGCCTCGGAGGCGAAGCATGAATATGGGATTGGATCTGAGTTATCCATCTTCTGCTTTGTAACAGTGTAAGCCACCATTGTGACTATGCCAATTGAGTACTTTGTGTTGACTGATTTGTGTTGATAGGTTCCTGCTTGGTCAGGTAATAGGGACAGTCGTCTTGCCCCCATGGTCTGAAACGTTTGGTCGCAAAAGACTCTATCTCATTAGCAGTGCTCTGAGTTCAGTCTGCTGTGTGGTAGTAGGCGTTCCTCACTCCCTTGCTGCAGTGATAATCGGGCGCGTGGGGACAGGGATGCTGGCTGCCATCCCCTACACTGTTGGTGGAGGTAGTGTCGAAGACATGTGGTCTTCACGACCACGGATATGGGTGATGTTCTTGTGGACTATTGCATCCAACCTGGGATTATGTATCGGGCCTATCACGGGCACGTACGTTAGTACTTTATTGAACTGGTTTGTTGACCCTGGTTTGTATCACAAGGGGGCCGTTAGACTCACATTGTACAGGAGGTGGCTCTTCTATATCTATGCGATAATCATCGGGGTTATGAGTGTCCTGTTCATGTTCATCCGGGAATCTCGACCGTCTCTTTTGCTTACACGAGAAGTTGCGAAGCTGTCTCGTCACACCGGAAAGGATCTTCACGCATTAAATCATGATCACCACCCTGACCTGCGCACCTTTCTCAAGGTTGCTCTATTCCGACCCGCTATTCTCTTCTGCCGAGAGCCACTGGTGTTCATCATATCAATGATGATTGCCTTCGCTTTTTCTCTCCTCTACATGTTTACCGAAGCGCTACAGCCGATTTACGAAACAATGGGGTTTTCTCGGACGCAATCCTCTCTCGCCTTTCTTGCCATTGCCTGCGGCATTTGGTTCAGCACTCTCACACGACTCCTCGATAATCGGGTCTTCGATAATCGTCGGCGCAAGAACTTGCCTTTCAGGCCCGAAGAAAAATTGTTAGGCCTAGCTATCGGTGCTCCCGTGCTGGCGGTCGGTTTGTGGTGGTTCGCCTGGACCATTCCCCCAAAGGCATCGAATACACACTGGATCGTGCCATCAATCTCTCTCGCCATGATGGGATACGCGTTGAATGAATTCGATACCGTGCTTTATTCCTACTTAAGCGATTGCTACCTGAGCTACTCGGCCAGTGCTATGGCCGCTGTGGCTTTTCTCCGAGCCCTGCTGTCCGGGGTATTTCCATTGTTCACGCAACAAATGTTTGATGGCCTCACGGCAAATGTGGCTGTGTCACTCCTCGCCGCTCTGGCAACGGTGTTCTGTATAGTCCCTCCTTTGTTCATATTCTATGGCGAGCGGATCCGAAATCGAAGTCCGTTTGCTAAGCAAAGCGTGTTGATAGCGGCGGAGCTGGGAAGTAAGGAGGAAGACTATTGATCCATGTATAGATATGTCCAGAACCACTCGTCATCGATAGAAACCATGTCTCATGCAAATACATTCATCATGCTGCCGACCCTTCTCTGCCTTCCGCCTGTAGTCTGTATCCTAGAGTAGTTGTTACTTTCTGTACCTTATGTGGCTGAATGCCATGTTAGTGTCTATCCTTCTACTCTAGGCTGAAGACTATGAGGCCTCAATGGCATGATTGTCCAATGTTTACAACCAATATTGCAATGACTCGCCTGAAATGCATTTGCTATTATACTAAACATTAAACGTTCCAGAGATCGATGTATCACTATAATTTGTCTTCAAGCGTCATTCTTTCAAACCTTCAAACCCGGATAGAATACTCTTCAGGTATATCAGGCCATTCGTCTACGCCGTCAAGGATCCCTATCGCCATTCCGCCACTAAGATGGACCTGAATATGACAATGAAGTAGCCATGCACCGGGATGCACCACCTGGTACCGGATAGCTAGCCAGGTGTCCTCAGTTGCTGACGGCGGAGTGATGAATGTGTCCCGGATCTGGGGCGTTTTGAGGTTGAAACTCTCCGGGGTGTGCTGCATGGCTTCAGCGACAGAGGAGTAATTCCACGCTCCGCTCCCCTGGCCAATCACGTAGAATTTGTTGGCGTGCTTGTGGATTGGATGAGGGGGCTGTATCTGGCCATGGATGTCGAAGATCAGATCAATCCACGTTCCATTGAGCGTCTTGAGAGTAAGATCTGGCTGGGCCGTCGAGGGGTAGAACAGCAGCGGCGATTCGTTCTCCAGTTCGAGAGGGAGACTGGAGTTTCCCAAGGTCCAGCGGTAGGAGGCCTTGTAATGAGTGAGTCGCAGGATATGTGTCTGGGCAACTTCCTGAGATGGCACCTCGACCGGGAATGGAATGACCTTGGCTTCATCCAGGAGAGTATAGTTGGGAGACACGACGGCGCCGTGAATATTAATTGATGCTACTGACGCGTGCTGCTGTGTTTTCTTCAAGGTGTTGTATGACAATACTCCAGTGGTATATAAAACCTGGTTGACTCCGCTATTCGCTACACGAATAGTATAATCCCCAGCGGGCTTATCTAACTTCACCAGGACGGAATACCGGTTGCCATTCGCAATGGTAATGGCATCCACCAAGGTGGGACGAATGTAGCGTCCGTCAATGGCATAGACGTACATCGGATGTTCGTCGATCGAGAACGTGGCCATCGAGACACCGGCTGCACTGATCAGGTCATAGCTCACATATTCGTGGGACGGGTCAGCCAGGACACGCGCAGTGCCACCATCTCCGGCCACACAGCCAGAAAACATTGACGGCGGTATTGCGCTGAAATTGTGAGAAAAGACCCCCTGCATCGCTACAACTCTGGGGGAAGTACATCCGATGTCGGTCAGACTCAGGTTGCCCAGGACTTGCTTCTGTTCAGGACTGGCGAGCTGGTTTATCTTTTCTTCACCGGGACAACTAATCGATCCTTTTCCATTAATGAGGAGGGCATTTGCGCAGTAGCCGTCAAGCCCGGTGTCTTCTTCAGCCCGCCAGAGCTCTTCCGAGGTCAACTGGCGCCAGTCCGAGATTAATATCGGTTGCGTCTTCTCTTCGGCCGCCCGCATGGCCTGCAGCTCGCTGCTTCTGTTTGTAATCAAACCAAACGGTTTTTCGACCGAGTCATCGGGATGTATGTAGATCGCTCCATAGAGGCCATCATCAATCTGTCCTCGGTTATGGGCATGGTAAAAATAGCTCCCGTATTGTGTCGCACGCCATTTATAGAGAAAGCGGTCGCCAGGCGCAATCGGCTGCTGCGACAAGCCAGGCGTGCCGTCCGACCAAGGAGTGCCACTTTGCTCGATCCCTGAGAGGCAACTTGTCATTCATTGTTCTCAAATCCAGTGATGAGGAGACCTACCATGGAAGTGTACAGTCGTATTGGTGGGCAGATTATTGATCACCAAGAACTCGACATCGTCTCCTTGTCGCAACTCTAGCAGCGGACTGGGGAGTTGACCATTTCCGAGGATCATCTTTCGAGGGATGCCCGCAGGGGCCCATTCCTCCCAGGTCAGTGTGAGATTGAAGCGCACCGTATTTCCCGTGGTGCGCACATGGTGGCTCGTCCCATTCGCCCAGGAGGCCAGGCATAGGACCAATGCCAGGAATGTCAGTGAAGAATGCATGCCGGACAGATGTTGCAGCAAACGCGTCCAGAAGCTCCAGAGACTGTAAACACGCAGCGAGGCTCCCACCTGGCTCGCATGGTAGATATATGCCAGCTCCACGCACGGGGGTTGAAACAAAAAGTTATAAAAATAAAACAAGCAAACCAATGCCGCATGTGATCCTGATTCCTCAGGACATGCTCCATTTCCTACTATTTGGTGGTGTTGCGGTGGCTTGGATAGTGCATATACGGGAGGGCAAACCGACAAATAGAACCGTACTGAGGAGCCCCATAGCATCTGAAAGGGCTCAATGAACCTGATCGACAGGAAATGAACACCTCAAGTGGGCTACCATGTCGTGCAAATTCCCTGTTGGGAAATGAGGGCCCCACCGATCTATTGCAATGATCCTCGTTAGGCCGAGTGCTGGGCCCCTTGCCTAGACCTGGGAACTCGATCGAATTCCAATCGATCGCTCAACATTTGGTTGGGCTCTGCAGACAGTTCCACTGCCGTCTGCTGGAAGCCTAAAACCATGCCTATATTATATTAGTTCTCCTTCATAGCCGCATCCCGACATGACACGAATAAAGTCCTTGGCAAAAAAGAAAGGAGAAAAAAAAAAGAGTGGGACTGGTTCACCAACAATCGACAAGTCACTGAATAAAGCCAGAACACTTATTGCTGTGCACGATTCATTGCTAACTGCTGCCATCTGATCGGACCGTGGCTATCGACCCGGACAAGCAACCCCAAGAGTGACATCCCAATCAATTCACCGGAAAATAAAAGTCCCCTTGGAACTGCGCAAGGTTTCCATGCATTCGATCAAACATGATTCATGAATCCCTCATAACCAGATTGCACGGACCAAGGCGCGCTCCTCTTATGTAGACCACGTGGCTGGCTCCTCCAAATCTTGTATATTGTGTCTTGCCTGACAGAGATCAGATCCTCCCTGGTTAGGGAGATACCATCGCTCGGACCTGGGGCCACGCAGCTTAGCCACCTTGACAAAACCGTCATTGGCTCGCTTGGCCCTGTCGGACGCCTAATCCAACCTTCGTGCGGCAAGTACAGCAAGGCTGAGTTGGCCAAGACGATCTTGATGGGATTAAATTAGTAGCTTTTGCCGCTATCCAATCAATCGTGTTCATATGTCACCTTTCTTGGCATCTCGCACGGTCGAGCACTGTTGGTTTCATGCCAAGCGCAATAGGTTTAACGTTGGTACGACTTGCCAAACTATGTCCTATGCCATTATCGATATCTGCGAATCTGGTGCCTCTCTCGGATTTGAATCACCAGATGTTTCTCTAGACCCGGTACGTACATTCTCGAATCGCAATGAGTTTGTGAGGATGTAGCGTAGATGCGGTCCAGAGATCATAGTAACCGGCAATCTAGGTTGTCTTAAATGCAACGCTGCTGTATCCTCTCAAGTGGCCCATTACGCAGCTGTAAGGTACCCAGTACATCGGAGAATATGATGGCAGGAGAGCCACAGATCGAGAGCGATCTGAACTTAACTTCCTGAACGTAGAAAGTCGGACGCTTGCGAGCGCAGAGAGGGACAGGAAACTTATAATATGCATTCGACGCGTGTCCCATGGCATTGGCATACCAGTGGCTCTCTCCTTGTGCAGGTTGCATCGTTCTCCCTTGTCTACTAGAGTGGCTGCAGTCCTCAGTTGATGTGTATGCGTAATACGGTTATCCGATCGCAGTTACGCATCATGTTTGGAGTATCCGTGTAATACCGGTACATCATGGACGACGTCATGGCGCTCGCCACTGAAAGTTGCTATCGATCTCTTCAGAAGTACGATGGCCGACGTCGGTCTCGAAGATGAGAATAGCCTATCCCAGTACTAGATGCTATCTGCATCACCAGATATATGTGAGGTTCTGCTCACGATGACTATTAACAAAATGATCAAGTTCATCACTGATGACTCTCTCCCACCCTAACCACTATACAAAGTACGAAAAGGTAGCGACCCACGGTACGAATTAATCCCTACCAATTACTGCTGACCTCCAGCAGAGAAACCATTGGATTGTATCACACGACGTTGGCTTCCCCATACTCGCTGATGTCAACCTGCAGCGTCATGACCTCATTCGAAATCGTGGCATACTTATACCCACGCTAGCCTAAATGTTCATTTCAACCTCCGAATTTACTCAAAGGAATCATCACACCCATCTAGTACCTCAATCAGCCAACATGGAACCAAGGTATAACACCAGAAAGTGGTCGAACCGCGTCCGTGCCAAGGACGAAGCTCCAAGCTCTGTCGAACAGCCAGACCAGCAAACCGGCTACGCTAACATGAACCCCACCAAGCAGGTATATGTCGCTCAGATGGACATTCACAAGAGCTGTTACATATTGGCATGCTAACACTCTTCTCAGTACGCTGCGCCCTCCCAGACCACCAGTAGACACGTCCAACCTTCCCAACCCGAACAGGGCTACAGTTCCAAATACCATTTTGGCCATGACGAACTGGATCACCCAGACGAGATGTTGAGACCAGAAGAGTAGAAGGGATATCGAGAGTCACTGAGAAATGAGTCGTCTTGCTTTGAGCCACGGGTAGTTCCGTTTCACTCTTTATCATGATTGATCTATAGTTATTGCATAATGCTTGTGTCTTGGAAATCAAAAAATTGTAGCTTGCCTTCATGGTCACCTTGAGAAACAGTAACCAATAGGTGGAATATAATTGTAGTCAACACATAAATTGCACAACGCTACATGTTCATACCATGGTTTAGCGCTTACCCCGTCCAATAGGCTTAGTACTAGATGTTGCTATTTTGGCTACACTGCAATCCTCACCACCAGGGACGTTTTCATAGCGCATTATCACCGCATTACAGGATTAACCATTGGCGGTCATAGATAATTCGAAAATAGTTGTTGATCTGCCGAGATCACAACTATCAACAATATGGATTATTTTATGTACAAGAATATGGCAACTTCACGCGCCCATGGAGGAACAACTGTAATACAACAACTTTCAGTATTGACCCTCTACGGAGGATCCTAATTTACATCGTAACATATTCAGCTCCCTCGCAAAACACTCAAGGTATCGATTACAGGGACAGCACCAAATCCTTCAACTTCATGAAGTCAGGGACACCCAACCCAGTGACAGGATCCCATCCAACAGTTGCATTCCAGTGAGCATAGGGAATGACACCACCTCCCGGAACCTTCTTACCAGTTTGAGGGTTGACGCCGTTACATCCGATGGACGACCCGGCCGTGATATCAGTGAAGTCCTTGAGAGCTCCACTGTACAACAGGGGGTTCAAGAATCCGAGTGCTGGTTTACCGGCGCGCAAGCGGGCATCGTTCAACATACCCACCAGGGCGGCGACGACAGGGCTGGCCGCGGATGTTCCGCCCGATGTGCGACGTTGGCCTTTAACGACCACCTCGTAGCTAGACAAGTCATCAGAAAAGTTCAAGTATATATACATAGAGAGCGGGGACGTACTTCGGAGTCAAGCTATGGGCAGATACGTCGGGGAACCCACGACCGGAGAAGTTCGTATACTGGGAATAGTATTCCTTGGTCTCCGCGCTAATATGCTTCTCAAGATACTTGCTAACCGCGGATTCCTGGTACCAGGCACGGTCAAAGTAGTTGCTGAACCCGCCGGAGGAGGCTTCCCATGCGACTTCCGGAGCATACGCCTGGGTGCCACCCACTGCGGTGATATAGGGACAGGTGGCAGGGAAGATTGGTGTGAACTCAGGGGTGTCGGTGCCGTCGTTAGACATGCATGAGGAGCCAATGCCTGTTGTAATTAGTACTCAGAAACAACAATATGCACCGCGGCCACATACCCGTGTCGCCAGAAGACTCAAGCACGGTGATCCCGCGAAGACCCATCAAGCCGATTAAATTGCACACTCTCTTGGCGTAGTATTCTGGAACAGTCTACCAGCTTTTATTAGACTTGTGGAGACCACAAATTCGTTCGACAGCTTACCTGTTCTTCGTCGCCGTATGAGTTGGAGAGGACCTGGGGGAGCGCAGAGTTGGGCTTTGCCAGGAGATATTCATAGTACTCCAGATACGGCTCGTTCTGATTGTCCGCTGGCGTTGGTTGGCCGACATTCGGAATAAACGGGCTGGAATCGATAAGCAATCTTACCACGAGTTCAACACGGATCAATTACTTACGGTGAACCACCAGTGATATATTCCACCACTGGCAGGGGATGGCTAACGCCCACAATTAACTCCACATCCAAGTTAGCCTCGCCGACGGATGCCGTTGTCCAGTTCTGGTCGTTGGTGCCTCCATTGATCAACTCGACGGAGAAATTCTGCGATGGGATGTTGAAGCGCTTCTCATAAAGGGCGAGATCCACATAGTTGGCAGACTCGTTCAAGAAGCTTCCAAAGCCAACCTTACTTCCGGAGGATGCGCTGGGCTTATAGCCACGGAAGTTGTACATGTCCGCTAAACATTCCGGGGTGATCAAATCCGCGCAGGACACGTTGCCCGCTGCTGTCCTGGTCCCTGCAGCGAACTTATGGTGAGTGGGAAGAACGACGCTCTCCTGCTGTTTGCCGAAAAAGACTGTGGGGGCGACGAGATCAATTGCGTGGGCGAGGTCATCTGGGATGGAGTACTGCGTCGTGCGCAACTTCTGAGCCGCACCGTTTTGATAGTAGGAGAAGGTCGTGTCAAAGAGCTTGTTCACAGTTCCGACCGACGTCGCGAAATTCACCAAGCCTCCCTGTCGAGAGATATGAGTGACGCCCGCATCTCTGAGCCAACGGAGAACGGCTTCATCGCTCGCGGTGGGAAAGAGCGACTCAATCCCCGATTGATCCAGCCATTGGCCGTACTCTGCATTGCCGGGGGTCGACAATGCCGTCAACTTGCTCTCGAGCTGGTCTAGGTTCTGGCGTGCCAGGGCGATGGACAAAGTAATCTGGTCGCTTTCCGGCGCATGTTTGACCAGGGACCAGCCACTCGGAGCGGCAGCTATCTTCTCGTGCACGATCGCTAGGGCTGGCGCTGTAAGGGAACTAAGCCCTGCGAGGAGAAACGACGAACGCATGATGGCAGGCTCTCACAGCCAACACAATTCCAGTCGAATGGAGATTTGAAGACCACCAGGGGTGGATGGGGGGAATGATCCCCACGGGGTATTTATGTAGTATTTCCATTGTTCCCTCTGAGTGTCCCCTTCTTTTCCCTATTAGACTACGGCGTACGGAGTAGTGCAGGGGAAATTGTGAGATGGACCATGAGTGGTCACTTGCAGCATGCAGTTACGTGAAAGGATTAGCTGTTGCGTGATTTCTACCCCAATTTCCGACCCAAAGCGAGACCTGATTGAGAGACTAATCAAAATAAATTAAACACTAACGATTGTGAGTGTGGGGACTCCATCTGTTGTTGTCGTTCTGCCAACTAAAGTGCTTGAGGCAGATAAGCAAGGTCAAGCCTCGCCCAGATGGCCAATCACACCCCACATCTTGGCCGATCTTTTCTCATTCAAGAAGGTGACATTCGAGACCTCATTTGCATCGCCTAAAGTGGGCGCACGGCGTCCGTCGGAGGTGGCCGAAAGAGTCACCCCCGTCGTCGGTGCCTGGATGATAGTCAGGGGGATCGGTGGCAGGAGCGTCTAGTTCCTCAGTATCGCCCAAGGACTTAGTATACACTCAGTTGCGACATACCGAGCGCCGTTTTGACTCTTGCTTCTGGGTAGCCTGAGCCGAAGTCAGGGCAAGTTTTGCGAGTGGATGTTCCTCTGAATATCCCCTTTGGGCCCAGTGGAATCGAAATAGGTTTAGTGGCGAGTGCATCTACTAGGCCCTAAAGAGGTCTAGTAGATCCTAGTTGAGACGCTGTGAACCATCCAGCTTTGTCTGATCGGGAGCAGAAAGAAGTAGTGGACTAGCAGAAACAAAGACAGATCCGCATGAGAAGGAAATCAAATTGGCTGGTGACATCGCTCATCTCGTTGGTGTAATTGTGGGGAGATTCGCAACTAAACCCCAAAACCACCACGAACAATACATAACGCTGAGATATATATTGATTACAAACCTCACTATCTACAGCTGTAGCACTACATACTTGGATTTCCACAGGATGCTCGTGATCGTAGGAAGTTTCCTATCGGTGGATAATTTTGATGAAACAATAGTGTATGAAATCAGTACAGATCGATTGCATAGTTGATTTGTTGCTTAGATCGAGAACTCAAGATCCTGCACGACCTTCAGCGCTCTTAGCTAACCCTTCAAATCTCTCACCTTTCAGTCTGAGCACACTGATTGACCAGATTAGAGAAGAGAGGAAGCAAGACGAATACACTCGATTGTTGTTATCTCCTTGCTGTCCATCATACGCTGCCAAATCGTTCAGCTTTCTTGCAACGAATGTCTCGGCTTCCCCTGTATCCTTATGTTCCTTGATGTACTTGTCCCACCACTCAGCACCCTTACACTTTCGCAATTGCATACAAGGGAACGTGAGTCTATCAAAAAAAAAAAAAAAAAAAAAAAAAAAAAAAAAAAAAACAAAAAAAAAAAAAAAAAAAAAAAAAAAAGAGGAGCCAAAAATTTATACCAATATTTGATAGAACCCAAGAAAACGCCTATACCCACAATTGCTTCCCCACCGCGCGCCTGGAAAAACAGAAAAATGAGTGAATTACCCTCCTGAAAAAAAAAAATATTAAATAGAACTATAAAAAAAAAAAAAAAAAAAAAAAAAAAAAAAAAAAAAAAAACAAAGGCCGCTTGACAGAAGCATATGGAGCCACATGGCGCTAGAATCCATAGACCATCTCACCAGCTCAGAGAGTTTTTTCCAAGCATTTCCCGTTATCTTCGCCTCCTTCTCCGATGGCATACGTGCAAAGATTTCCAAACATTCGAAGTAGTGCTCAGTGGCTTTCGGAGTAACACCCTTTTTAAAGTTCTATTCCTCGTTGACAGGCCGATCGATGAGAAGCTACCAGGGAGCAGATCCAAATAATTGAGCTGGCTTTGCATGGACCCACTCTATGTTGACTATCCCCGTAATGGTAAGGTCATCCTTACTTCGCACGATAATATTTCCAAGGCCAAAATCGTCGCATATAAGCTTGAACGGGCCGCGGTCATCAGTGGTATTCGTTTATTCTGGAATCAAGGCCTCCAATACCTTCAGCGCTGCGTATCTCGATCTGGCACTCACCGGGCCTGTAATTGAATTTAGTTGAACCCGCAGCTGTCGCTAGTCTTGACTATTAACGTATTTAAAATATTCTCTGGTTGTAGAGAAGCCATCGGTTCGATTGTCTATAGCTGTCAGTAGAAGTTCTTTATCGGGTTACACGTGCCATGAATTAAAAATGTTTACGCCCTCTACCCTTAATATCTCATGTATCCTCTATGTGAGGGGACGGCTGGTGCAGGGAATCTGGTTTCAAGGTTGGTAAGCTGCTAATCTGGCCGAAATCTATCTTGTAAAGCTGCAACATAAAATGTGCTATCGGCCTATAAATATATTCTATATCAGTACCAGGAATATCTTCCCTGATCAGTCTTAAATCGCCTCTACCAAACATATTACCCAGGTAAATGCCATCGATAAAGTTTATCATCATAAAAGGACCCAGACCAAGTTAATTCTCCCTGGCAAGACCTCAGGCATATGTCTCTGGGAGGGGTAACGATGTCTTCTCCTGAATAAGATAAAGAGCTTCCACTTCCATCGCTACCTTTTCGTCTACATCATCTGGAGAAATGCTGCTAGCACGAGGCAGGCGGAGTAACCAGGTTGTTCCATTATCAAAGACAAGCATTTGGCCTACATTGTATGAGCCATTCAGAAACCCACCCTCTAGCCAACATGAGAGAGTTTGGGGGTGAAGCCCAGTGGCCCAACTGCACAGACGTCCATCCATGCAAGCCATATTCACCCTCTCCACCCTGTCAGTCTCTTCCGCCATGTGAAGAAGGTCGAGAGGTTTATGGTAGTCTGGCATGGGATTGCTGTTGAGTTGGCTTTTGAGTCACAGTACGAGTAAGAAATGGTTGCACGGACAGAGGCCTGTTACCGAAGTGACAACATGATTTGCTTTCTGACTGCCAAGTCCCTTGCAAGATGATTTATCCTGGGTGTTTATGGTTATATAACATCGGAGGGGTTGCTCCGCTATGTAGATTTGGCAATATATAATTATCTTCATCTTCATTTATTACACGCACTATAATACCGTGCCAACAACGGGTGTGATTCTAGAAGTCCTCCAAAGAGGTGGCCAGTTCAAGGGCATATTGGATCACGTGGGGGTGCTTTCATATTCCCTGCTGGAGAGGAATAAGTATGGAAATAAACATGGAAATAGTGCGAGACGCATCGCCCGTACCGGGTCTTAAAATTGATAGCAGAAATCCCATAGTGGGATGCCTGTCTTAACCAGAGTGGTGCTCCACGACCTGGTCGCGAAAGCATCAAGGCTAAAAGTAAAGTCCGATTTCAAGCTGACCCCATCATCGCATGAAGGACCTCTCTTGTGCAGATCCTTGGTGATTTCCTTTGCCGTAGCGTTTTTAGGTAGCTCGGTGTCGAAATGGGCGTCGAGCGAAAACGTGTTGGCAATGCCCGGCTTAGCAGTCAATCCACTGCTGAGATCGACGAGCCCGCCGAGGAAACTCAGCGCCATCTCAACCGTCACGGTGGCGCTCGCATTAGCCTGGACATTGGCTTGCGCAGAGATGTTGGCATGTGGATGGTACGTTGGCGTCCATCCAGTGGTCGCAGTATTCGCGGCGTTCAGAAGGTCGAGATGCACGTTCCCGTTCGGCATGGCAATAGACAGGCCCGCCACTACATCCACGGCGGCCGAAGCGCTGAGATCCATCTCCAGACCGAAGGCTACACCGGGACCAAGCTGCACAATGCCGGGGATGTTTACAAGTGTATAGGTGAGGTCGGAAGGGTTGTAGGTGAAGGACTTGTCGTATGCAGCAGCGAGGTGCGCGCTGAGAGCCACATCGGCGGAAAAGCCGGCATCAATGTCGAAGTAGAGCTCTCGCAACTTGAAGGCCCAAAAGTCGAAGTACAGATAGCCAGAGAAGGTGATTTCGGAGGAGAAGGCAGCTTCGTCGGCGGTAACAGTGAGGTAAGGGGGCTCGCTCAAGAGAACAGTATTGTTGGCCAGGGACTTGGAGAACGGGATGCTGTAGGAAGGGTTCAGGGTGAGGCGCTTGCCGAGTTTGCCCGCTGGCACCGACGAGAAAGCGAGCTCGCAGGTTTCTGGATGTATTAGTCTTAGCTCAATGCTCACACATTGCATACGAAAGCCATGGAATCCGTACCAGCAATTTTGGTAATAGGCTGCTTAGTGGCCTTGCAGCTGATCGACAAGTTGGACTGATTCGGAGCTATCTTATCGACCTTGAAGAACCCTCTCTCGAACTCCGTATCACAGTTGCCTAGGTGATTTGTGATCAGGATAAGGTTCTTTTCCAACGACCAAGATTGAAGGGCTGTTTCGAAGCCAGTCGCGTTCTTGAAGGCGACAATCACAGATGCATTAGTGCACTTGACACTCTCGATAGCGTCGATGTACTCCAATACAACGGTGTCATGGTTAAGTTCCAGGTTCATATTAACAGAGCCCAAGGCGGCTTTATGAGAGCGCTCAGGGTCCAAAGAGCCATAGTAGAGAGAGGCCTTGGAAGCTGGGATCATATGAACCGGGTCAGAAGTATCGAGGTTTGGCGCCGGTACCGGCCCAAGTGTTGCAGTATCACTTGCGACGGGGACCGAGGGGGGATAGTTTGCAGCACAAGATTGAGCGAGTGCCTGGTGCACAAAGCTAAAGGAGAGTATCTGCAGAGCAGCTACTTTGAGAGGTGACCATTGTTTTCTCGCCATTGTAGCTGTGCTAGTGAAGGATGCTGGGAATGAGAGACAAGTTTGAGGATAGCTAAACAAATATTAAAAAAAGTAAATGAAGGAATACGTGACAAATGAGTGACTTCAAAAGAATGCAAGTAATGAGCGACTTCAAACGGCTGCCAGTAATGAGCGACTGGGTGAGAGATCTAACATGATGAAGGATACCTGCACGCCTAAATATGCTCACCTGAACCTCTGCAAAAGGGGCATTTGAGAACACTGGGCTGCAAAACCATATGAGGATCCTTTTTAGCCGCTAGAGAAAGCCGTTGGAGCTTGGAAACCTTAAAACATACTCGAAGGATCATCCTCTGGCATAGCTCTGAGCATAGATTTGGGACTTCGAGATATCCGTTCGCTAATAGATACAACCGCCAAGCAACCATGTGGTATCCGAGTGGGCAAGCCAAGCATTGGAGAGCGAAACTATTACGTTAAGGGTTGCCAAGGCACCTGATCTCACAAAAACAGCACAGGTAAACGATAATGCAAAGCTATCTAACCCAAAATGTTCCTGTCCTTCGGCCGTCTAGTCGCCCTTATCCCCGGATTTGTATCGATCCGTAGCGAAAGAGCGGCAACTTCGCGGTGACATTCGAGCAATAACACCCTTCAGCAAACCAATGTGGTGCCTGCGAGCACGAGCCATATCCAGACCTTACTTGATCCATGCCACGGTATGTGCAACTTCTCGTATGTGGGATCTTTACCAACTATTTGGTCCTCGCCCTATTCTGTGGCCCCACCTGAGTGTCAATGTCAGTCCACCATGAAGGGTTAGGTTATTTTTGGATATTGTGTATCTTAGAGTCCACTACCTTGCTATGATTATCGAGTCGATCAGAATGTGAAGTCGAACTACCAAATAGTATACCACAGAATGGTGTCGGCACCCTCGTGCCTGCCGGCCTGGAGTGCCGACCATGCCCATGTGCAAACTTTAGGTAAAGCCGGTAACCGCATCCATGGAAGAATGTTTAGATACTCATGCAAGTGAGCACTTGTGCCTTACTTATCACCTTGAAATGAGCCCCACATACCAATCATGTTGTCCCGCTTGTATGGTTCACCTTTGTGGAGCCGATGAGGATGATCGATAAGTGCTGGAGATAAATGAAGCGGATAAAGAAAGACGTAATAGATACATCGTAGCCATAGATAGGCGAAGTAGGGAATTGCTCTAAAGAGAATCGCGGTGAACCTCAGACTTTAAGCTATAAATGTCGTCGATACCTTGCCACTGTACACCATGCTATTAATGCAATGCCCCTTCCCAGGGGTCGAAGATCTATATTCACAATACCAGTATCTCGAACCCTCAGGTGAGACGCCAGGATGAGCTCTCTGAGTACGAGAAAATAGAGGGACAATACCTAGCTTTGGGTGCTACACCCCTTCAGACGACATCGAGTTAGGATAATCAGCAAGATAGAAGAAAATGTGCTCCTGAACCGGCTAAGGTCCAGAATGGCGAATCCTAGGGGCACTTGCTACTGTTTTGGCACGAGCGACGTGCACGCCTCTATCTACGTATAGTATTGCAACCATCCTAGCCACGAAGGGCGAGAAGGGCAAAGCTTGGTAAAAGAATGAAGAACAAGAAGAGAGCTATGGCGGTTGATTATGCATACAAAGGTCTGGACCCGTCGGAATCTGTCATCCGCCGAGGCAAGGTCGCGTTTGGTAACCCCGATGGGTCCCTCGTATTGATCTCCATTATCTCCGAGAAAGCGAACAGCCCTACTCCGAAGTATTTCTTCCCCTTGGAGCTGCATATGATCTGCTTTACTTCGATACAATCTGCCAGTGGAACGTCAATGCTGCAGATCCGCACACGATGGCCGACAGTGGAATTGAGCTCTCAGCGACCCGGCAGCGCTCCGCTGATATTACGACGATGGGAAGCCCTGCACAAAGCTCCGATAACAATACAGCGGCTCAACGAGATGTGGGAAGCTTAGAAGAGCCTGAAATCGAGCGTGGAAAGATTCAGGTGTTTGCCATCATGGTGGCTCTCTGCGTAAGTTGTTGCGCGGTATACTGTCGGGCATACTGTCGGGCAGTACGGAACGAGTCACTGATATTCCAGCTTTGTAGTTGTCCCTCTTCATCGCCGCCTTAGACCAAACAATTGTTTCTACCTCTCTACCGACAATTGCCTCGCGCCTCCATTCGGCAAGTGGCTATACATGGGTTGGAGGAGCATACCTCCTGGCCAGCGCGGCCGCGGCTCCCATCTGGGCAAAGCTATCCGATATCTGGGGTCGAAAGCCCATCCTTCTTGTTGCTGTTCTATGGTTCCTGCTTAGCTCTATTGTGTGCGCTGCGGCAGTGAACATGAAGATGTTGATTGCCGGCCGAGCTCTACAGGGTATAGCAGGTGGTGGTCTCTTGCAACTGGTCATGATTGTGGTGTCCGATTTGTTCAGCGTCCGGTCAGCATCAACACCTTGTTGCCGTGGTATATCTTCATAAAAGTGGAACTTCACTAACAGGCTTTTAGGTCACGAAGCCTGTATATGGGCATCCTCGAATTCATGTGGACTATATCCGGTGGCCTCGGGCCAATCCTCGGTGGTGTCTTTTCGGAATACGTCTCTTGGCGATGGAACTTTTGGATAAACCTCCCCATATGCGGACTGGCATTCATATTGCTCTTCTTCTACCTGGATGTTCACAACCCCAAAACCAAGGTAACGGACGGGCTGAAAGCAATCGATTGGCTTGGGAGTCTGTCAATAATAGGCTTCACCCTCATGGTGCTTCTGGGTCTGAATTTTGGAGGGGAAACCTTTGCCTGGAACTCGCCTCAGGTGATTTGTCTTATTGTGTTCGGATCCCTTTTCTCAATTATATTCTTTTGCGGAGAGAAGTATGTTGCCAAATACCCTCTGATGCCACTCAAGATCCTCAAACATCGATCAAACATTGCTGTCTCGCTGGTGACTTTATTCCATGGTGCGGTGAGTAGCGGATGGACCAACACCTTGGTTATGAACAACGAATCTGACAGGGCTAGGTATTTATTGCTTGTGAGTATTGGCTGCCACTGTACTTTCAGTCAGCCAAGCAAGCAAGCCCGATGCGCTCTGGGCTGATGGTTCTTCCCCTGGTTGTGGCCGAAGGGCTCTTCAGTGGGATTTCTGGCTGGTTAATTCATCGGACAGGCAGATACGCAGAGCAAATCTGGATAGGGACTGTCCTTCTCACCCTCGGGACCGGTCTATTCATTCGCCTCAATCCAGCCTCCCCACTGGTGGAATTGATCATCTTCCAGGTCATTGGCGGAGCAGGATCGGCGATCTTATTCGCGCCTCCACTAATCGCCTTGCAGGCAATGGTCGCCCAAGACGACACAGCAAGTGCCACGGCCATGTTGGGCTTCATTCGCACTATTGCCATGTCAGTCTCGATTGTCGTTGGCGGGGTGGTCTTTCAAAACAGCATGGCCGGAGAACGCAGCAGGCTAAAATCAGCAGGACTGATGGATGAGATCGTCGAAGAGCTGACTGGTGCTTCTGCCGCTGCCAGCACCGAGGTAATTAAGACCCTCAATGATCCCTCCAAGATTCGAACCGTCGCAAGTGCGTTCTCCTCCAGTTTACAAAATATGTGGATCATGTACACCTGCATGGCTGGTGTTGCTGTTCTTGCGAGCGCGTTCATTGTGAATCAACCCTTAAGTGAGGAGCATACAGAAACGAGGACAGGCCTCAAGGAAGAGTAGGTTGAGAGCTACAGAAACATGCCGAAGATTGCAACAACATGAAATGAGCAGGATTGCACACGGTCGCTTTGGGAAAAGATCGTAAATAGAATACCTGGTCGAAGATGGCTCCAAATGAACGAGCCTATTACTCTGTACAGTACATCGTTTTGCGCCAAATTATCACTCCACTCTTATACTTGATGGCCTCGTATATATGCTCTATTAACATTGGAGAGCATCATTATGTGAATGCAACGCGCCACGCTTCTTTTAATCAACGTCAAGGTCGCCATAACCTATACAACCTTGAGTTCTCCGACCGCACTGCAACATCGCCTAAAGGTTCCCCTACCCATACGATATTACGTGTTTTCTTGCCAAAGATCATCAAAGTAACGTGGTGAACAGTTGTGTTGTCCCTTCATTGTTACGGTTCTAAAGCTCATGATCAAATACACCACGTTCAGATCTCTTACGACACATCCCAGGAGACATAGCAACTAGAGCAGCACGGGCGGCTCCAGACGCGGCCAGGGAGAAGGATTCCCGCAGTGTACCTCCTATAATTTCAATGTGGTCTCCAAGGCTCTCGCGAACTGCTTGCTCCAATAGGTGACCATCAGGGCCGGTAGTTAGAATCACAACTCGGTCGACAGTTTCAGGTATTATTGGGTCCCTCGGAGTATCAGGTAAGCGGCGGACTAGCCCTCTGTTAGCTATTATGCTTCATATCGTAAGGGTGGTCTTGTTGGGCAAGTGCTCACGTCTCAAAGCAGCCAGGTACATGATCAGATTAGAAGCGACTACCTCAATGAATCGTCTTTCGGCAGCGTGTACGTCTTCCCATGATAGAACAGCCTGGGATTGTCCAGAACCCCAGTTGGTCAGGTCAAGAGGATACTCATCAAAGTGACGATCCGGGTCGTTTTTAGACCCAAGCAGATGGGAATCAAGGTCATCACGGATCAAAGTTCGGGCCTGTCTCACAGGACCATAGAGCGCAGTTTGAGAGGCTCCAATTGCGATCTCCATATTGAGTTCCTCCACGCGACTTACGAGTCGGTCCGTAAGATGCTTGTCGATCATTGTGCTACCAAATTGCAACGCAGGGAAATACTGATGAATGCGCTCCCGCCCGTGCCCAGCACTAACATCTAGATAAAACATTCCATGATCTATGACTGCGTAGTTGAGGCCAGAGGGGTTCACTATAGTGGATGTAGAGACAAAGGTCGCCGCAGTCGTTCTGGAAATAGGGGTGAGAGCTGACTTGATTCCTGCCTCCCTACTTGCGTCCGCCACCATCTCTCGGAGGGTCTGATTGAAAAACTCGGGCACTGCGATGATAGCATAGTCCAAATCGATATCATTGTCAGCAGCAGCTTTCTGCTTCAGCTGTCGTAGCCTGTCAACAAACCCTGTTTGGACATCGACTAATCGTATTTCCTCATTATACCCAGGACTGACAAGTCTCCGAGTGTATGAGACTGCCTGGAGTACAGTACAAAATGCAGTGCGAGCAAATGACAATATCTGTGAATTCTGCAGCGCCGGTTTGTCACCAAATGTGCTCAACTCAGTGATCAGCTGTTGGCTGAGATTGGACAGATATCCTTTCAGAGTCCACTGGGCGGGTTTACGCCACGGACGCATAATATCATGTCGGTCTGCGTACTCCAATCGGAGGAGCAACATATGGCGAACATAGATGTCATCTGGCCCCGGCGTGATCGCAGCGATCACCGAGACATTATCGGACGTGTGAGCGTACGCAGCTGTACTAGGCATTGGTTAGCCAAGAGTATTATTTTAAGATCAGCAATCCACCAGATTGGCACACAGACAGTAACTCAGGGCCAAGATCAATTCCGATCGGTTGGGGGCGTCGCGCATCCGCCGCCAGAAATAGCCCTAATCCTAGCACGAGGATCCAGAGATTAACGATCATGTTTCACTCACACCAGGTTCCCCTGAGAATCAGAGGCACGAGGCACTGTTATATGTTTCCATTGCCAAAATACACTAAACCAGAATTTTTAATTGGGCCCCAAGCCACTTTAGAGCGCGATTCCAAATCGGGACAGTTATGGGCCCCGTATTTGCGGTAATTTCCGTTAGTTCCGGTGCCATTGATAGAGAACTTCGCACTGGAGTCCCACGGGGTGAAATGAAGACCAGGACGTAGAAGACACGTTTTTACGTATAATTACGGTCATCTTAATGGAACACTCACTCCCGATAAATTCGTGACTTAGCATTCTCAAGAACATCTGCATTCAAAAGGCACACCCCTTACCTAAATTTACGGGCAGAAGCAGCGCAGAGAGAAAAAGGGAGCGGAGGAAAGGAAAGGAAATGTTCCAGGAAGTTTAACGCAGCAACTAAACCTTGTGGATATGGAACGCTATATCAGGTCGCACTACACTGCAGAGACAATATCATATGCCGTCAATGTAGGAAACCAGCTAAGCCTGGCCTTCTTTCTTCTCATCCCCCTCGATCTGCTTGTGCACCGCAGCAGCCACCTCATTCGCCTTTTCTTTTCCCTCGAACACTATCGATTTTGGTAAGCCCAAGTCTAGACTACTGGGCAAAAAGAGGAGGGGGGAACATACTAAACGATAACTCTTCCAATGTCCTTCCAGATGTTTCTGGAAAGAAAAGGTAGATGAACACCACTTCGAAGGCCAACCAACAGCAGTAAACCAAAAGCCATCGCCACTGGATTCTATCCAGCCCGACAGGATTAACATATGTGGCGAAGAAGGTTGCCCCACGGCCATAAAACTGGAACCAGGAGAGGCCACGAGAGCGGCCAAGATAAGGGAAAATTTCAATCAGGTAAGCTACATCGTTAGCATATAGTCAGCAGAATAAAGATGGGAACATACTGTAAGTCAAAGCATTGTAGCCCAGGTTGTATGCTGGGGAATAGGCAAATATGAAGAAGATGGTCAAGATTGCCGCAGCCTTAACCTCTGTTGTCATGAACCGCTCCATTGAAATCGTCCAGCCAATGTATACGCAAAGCAGCGATATTGCACAGGTTAAATACATCGTCCGCCGTTTGAACCGAGGTGCCGTGAGAGCTAGGGTTGTTCCACAAACCAATCCCCAGCAGGCAATACCGATGTTGATCTTGGACTTGGTCACGCTGTTGGTGATGCCAACCATATCCAGCAAGTCGCTGAGATAGTACCTACGCATCATTAGCGCTGAGTGATACAGCACAGGGGCTCAGACATACGAGATCAATGTATTTCCAGACCACTGGGTAAACAATCCCAAAAACGCGGATATGAACATCCGACGCCGCATCCCTGCGGTGCGGAACATGTCCCACCAGGTTTGTTTCGCCGCTTCGAGCTCCATCTTGATAGTCCGTTCAATTTGGGCGATCTCTGCGCGCACGATGACGGAGTTACGGTCTCCCTCGGCATGGTACTTGACTAGTACGTCGAAGGCTTCTTCCCGTCGGTCTTTGCTGATCAAATACCGAGGGCTCTCTGGCAGAAAGCTATATTCGTCAGCATGATGTTGGCAGTATGATGTTCGGTGCGGTTATGCACATACAACACAAAGACCACTTGAACCATAGCAGGAGCTATCTGTAAGAGTGAAGGGATTCTCCACGCCCAGTTGCTTGCGATAGTCACTGTGCCTAGGCCAACCGCAGCAGCGACAATTTGGCCGATGAAGTAGGATGAATTAAACAAGGACGTGAGGATTGGTCGTTCCTTGGGATAGCCGAGTTCTCCGATGAGCGAAGACCCAGCCACAATGCAAAATGGGATCCCAAACCCAAGTAACATGCGCGCTACTACATACATTCCGACTATTCAAATCAGCAAGCAGTGTATTCAACGGGTAAAGGATAGATAGATACCTCCATTAGCGAACCCTTGTAGTATTGCACCCACCAGACTGATACAAGACCCAAACATGATCGTCCATCTTCTTCCAAGGCGTTGGTTAATCCAAGGGACAAGTGGCAGAGCAAGAATAGCTCCAAGAGAATATGCCGCTCCTAGAAAGCCCTTGAGGTTCGGTTCAATCTGGTACTCGGGCCTACCATCCACGATATCACCGGTTAATCTCCCGAAGTCTATACATCTTGTCAGCAAGTGAGTTGTCTATGCAGGAAATACACCCACATTTATTCCAGGTATACACGATCTGCACTGTGTTGATAATCTGTGAGTCAAATCCCGAGGTGATCTCAATGCCCATGCACGCAGGGAAGAGGATCAAGTACAATCGTCTGAGGTTGGGTTTTTGGTACCAAGAGGTCCGATCCTCGGCCAGCAGGTTGGCCAGGATGGGCTCTGACACGTCTTCATCTCGTTGCTTTCCTACTACAACCATGTTTACTCCCTTCCGAAATACTGACCCTTGGATAGCGCGAGTAATCTAGACACAGATCATCTTTATATATCTACTATACCAACACAACACTAGCCAAGGCCAGCCAAGAATGTCTCTTGCCGCATACGAGACGGATATGACCATGACCGGTGACTTCAGATACACTCCTTTGCTGTTGGTCGGCGGAGAAGAGGAACCGTTAAACAGGAGACAGGAACCGAGGCCCCTAATTGAAAAGCCCCCGGGAACTTGAGCGAGATTCCACCAATCGCCCGGGATGTCAATGCATTTAAGCCGGAGCAATCTCCCTAACCGACTGCCAAGAGGGGCCCAAGGGCCAGGGATAATATAGGCTAGGAGTGATCAGTAGTCGGAGTGGCTGCTTTATACGAAATATGATCATCTGCTTACCCCGGATTGTCTCGAAGTATAGGCCCGGGGGTGCCCCCACAGCATTAAGCTAAAGTCTGGCTAAATGCATTCAATTTATCCGGTGTAGATCTTCTTTGCGGCTAAGCTAGGGAGATAGATCCCTGGTTATAATCCAAGCCAATATCTCGTCCTGTCCACCCTGAATGTCCCCCGAGCCAAGATATTTTGACTTGATGTACCTATCAGGGCTTCATACACACCCTCTTCGCTCTTCCACATGCCTTCAATTTCATCCCAAAAGCTTGTGGCGTATTTATCCATACGAATATGGGCCACCGTTTCTTCCCCGGGGTGCAAGTGAACTTTGGTAAATCCGTGCAGCTCCTTCACCGGGCGGGGTGTGGGGGAATGGGGAGCGGAGATATACAATTGGAGGACTTGCGCACCAGCTACCTTGCCAGTATTCTTAATTTGTACCGCAGCAGTTGGCGGTTGCTCGGGCCTCAAAGCCTCCTGGGAGAAGACCACATCCGGATTCACAGTGAAGGTCGTATAGGAAAGGCCGTGTCTGCATGATTAGCCATAATCCAACACCCAAAGGACAAGCACATACCCAAATGGAAATAGCACCTCCCGGTCGAGCTTCTCGTAGTACCGATACCCAACATAGACATCTTCGCCGTATAGCACCCTACCCCCCACGCTGGCGTAATTCAGATATGTTGGGTTATGCTTCACATCCACCGGCCACGATAGTGGCAGTTTGCCGGATGGGTTGACATCCCCAAATATCACATCCGCGATACCATTGCCCGTCTCATTACCTCCATACCAGGCCTGAACGATCCCTCGCGCTCTATCAGCCCAGGGCATCGTCACCGGCGTCCCGGACTGGTTAACAATCACAGTTTTATTTGCGGCTACCTCCAGAACAGAGGCGATCAATGCATCAATTCCAGGTGGGAGATCCATGTCTGGCCGGTCAAACCCCTCGGATTCCCACTCATGGTTCAGGCCCGTGCAGATAACAGTGTACTCCGCCTCTGCGGCTGCCTTAACAGCACTGCGCACCATCTCTGCGGCGTCGACATGTAAGCATGCTCCGAGGTGCGCTGCGCCACCACCAAAGTGTACCACGCCGATCGCCTTCATGGGGCTGGTATTCGCAGATCCATATTCGATGCGGATCTTGTATGTTTGTCCCGCGTTGAGAGTCTTCGATCCCAGCTCTTGTACCGTTCCTTTGCCGAAGAATGCTGTTCCTCGGGTTTGATGCGTGGTGTTGTCGACGACGAGTTCGTCATCGACGTACAGGGTGCCGGTGCCAAAGACTGTGAGGCCAAAGTCCCACACACCTGACACATCTGGTGTAAAGTCACCGGTTAGTGTCGCATAGAATAGTCCTCTGTTGAGCTCCGGAGCATTGAAATCCATCAGTTGAAAGGCCGTCTTCGACATCGGCTGTGTGGCACGTAAGATACGCTCCGTCCCGATGGGCTCGTTGTAGAAATGCATTACGGCATTGCTAAGGAGCCGGTCGATCACAGGGAGCATTTTGTGTGCATAAGCGCCCACCTCATGGAGAATCTCGGTGTGGGGAAGAGCTTCGCTGACAGCGTCGTACAATGAAACAGTATAGTACGGTTCTAACGACGCGCTGCCACCGCCGGAAATCGCTGGAGTTCGCACATGTGAGCCGATCAGGGCAATCTTTTTGATGGTTTTTGGCAAAGGCAAAAGATCGTTCCTATTCTTCAAAAGCACGATACTATCGGCACACAACTTTCGATTCAGCGCCCGGTCTTCCGGATAATCTCTTCCAGTTTCCACGGCGGACACTGGGGCTCTGCTTGCTTGCTGAACAAACTCAAGGACCTTTTGTGCGCGGTTATCGATGGTCGACTCCTTGATCAACCTTGCCTGCAGGGCGGATTCCACATATCGACCTCGATACCGCGACGGGCCCGGCATCTCCAAATCCAAACCGGCGTTCATCGAGTCAATCGTAGTGTAAGTCCCCAGCCAGTCACTCATGATCAGCGGGTTCCACTTCCATTCCTGGCGGACCATATCCAACATCTCTTTACTCTCTACAACGTGCTTCCCATTGATCTTGTTGTAGGAAGTCATCAGAGCCCCTGGACACGCGTCACGGGCTACGATCTGGAACGGTCGCAGGTAGATCTCTCTCAATGCGCGCTGGGTGACAAGGACATCCACAGCCCTCCGCTCATGTTCCTGGTCATTACCCACAAAATGTTTTACGGCGGAGATGACCCCAGTACTCTCACAGCCTGTGATCATTGTGGCGGCCATTCTTCCGGCGAGATGCGGGTCCTCTGCGAAAGATTCAAACCCCCGGCCGCCGAGGGGTGATCGGGGCATATTGATTGTTGGACCAAGCCAACAGTGTGCTCCCTTTGCCAGACATTCTTTTCCTATCAAGATTCCCGCATCGCGCAGTAGATCCTGATCCCAAGTCGACGCCAAGGCGGTGCCACAGGGCAAACAGGCGGCCGGCACACCAGCAAAGAACTTCGTGCCTCTTACGCCATTGGGGCCGTCGGTGGTACGAATTGAAGGCACGTTCAACTCGGGAATGGGGTGGGTGTGCCAGAAGTCGGTGCCTGGCTCAGTTTTAGCGCTGACTCTCGGCCTAATCATCAGGGCGGGTGAGATCACCTGCGAGAAGGGCGATCTTGTCCTCCTGGGTGAGGTGGGAGAGCACGTAATCTATGTCCAACGTCATTTCCGCGGCTAGGTGGAAATTGCTGGGACTGTACCCGACTTGTTCATTACAAGTACATCCAACGAACAAGCCGTATCAATAAATACCCTGGCGGCAGATCGACATCCTAGCGGATAGCATGACGGCGCTCGCCCCGAGATCCCGTCGAGTGGGGACGAGCTCCGCATGTCCGACTATCATTCATGGATAATTCGTGGGGGTTCAGTCTCGGAATGATTGACCCCGCATGTGGCATAAATAAAGGCGACCCATCGCGGTACGAGTATGCGCCTTCATTGGGAGGTTGACTTCCAGTTGCGACTCCCTGCGTCGATGTTTATCCGGATCACGGGGGTTAAGCTCCTTACCCAAGAGGGCTAGCGGCATTTCCATATAGGTATTCTATAGGGCTTAGGGCTCCTGGACGTCAACATGGGAACTACCTACTCCGTAGTCGACGACAGGCCCTGAAACTGTCTGTAATACGTAGATTAATATCATGAACAATCATAAAATTTATGTGGCGTACAGGTATCACGTTAGGCTACTTGTGGAGATTTTCGAACTTTCTTTCCGAGAGATAGTCATCAGTTTGCTGATCGCTGTCATTTCTACGGACAAAGATATATTTCCTCCCAGTATACCTTGACAGGATCTTTCAGCACTTATTCTGATTTGAACACCAACCGATTATAGGGACCACCAAGTCTTCTCGGAGAATTTCGGACAGCATTTGATCAAATGATATGGCTACTAAGGGCTTCCTAAACAATTCTTAACGATGACAAGCCACAGGACAAATAGTTCCGACCATGAGGGACTGGAGTATATGGCGGACCATAGTTCCTCCGGTTCCGCAGGGTTTGTTTATCGTGAGACGCGACGTGACGAAATTGAGACAATCATCATGGAGATGTGATCCTGACAGCATGTATGGGTACAAAAACTAATATCATAGGCGAGAACAGCGCGCATTGATGTACGCGATCAAGACCTAGCTGGATAAAATTGACCTCAGTGCTATTAGTCAACCAAGACGATCACGCCGATCGAAGCCTGTTAACTATCACGTCCCGCATCATTCATGCGATACGCACAATACAACACTCGATTCGTCGCGGACTATCCCTGTCGATCCCTCGGCCCCGGAAAGCCTTTTGCTAAGTTAATAGAAGTGCCAGTCCATTCCGAAGCGCCATCGGGATCGACTGGACCATGGCCCCCATCTCGCGTCCATCGTCGGCAGCGAAACTTGGTCGGGTCGGAAAAGCGCATTACCTCCACCGAGTTTCGGTTCAGAGGTGTTGACGACATTGTGAACACGAAGTGCGAAGTGGTGTCGCTGGCGGAAATAGCTTGTGGTACACTTGGAGGGAGGCTTGCTAGGAAGCCTGATTATGGGCCTTTTCTTTGTTTGGGGCGATTCCTGTGGAACAGCGACTAGACCCTCGATAACATCGAACGATGGGAGCCAGCGATTCCACTAATGTCATTCCAGATGATTGCGCAGTGGGACGTTGGTGCTCTATATGCAACACGCAAATTCCGCACACACATAGCAAGCTCACTTTACGACCACAGACTTGATTCTATGCGATGCCCAGACCGTTGCCGGCTTTCATATACCCTTTGCGACGAGGATGGCGTATGTAGAATTGACAAGGGTATAGGTAGATAATCTCAAAAAGGGCGGCGGCGTGCCTACTCATCAATTTATCCAATAGTCCAGGCTACAGGCATTCGGATGGGAAGCCAAGCATCCTCGATTCGACTCACCGGTTTGAGTTGTGCTGGAGACCGCGTACCGCTGCTCAAAAAAGCCACGCTAAACCACGTAACCAGCAAAGTTCATTACACATGTCATTCGCGCGATAAGCTAAGCTGATATTTCTCTACCCTTACAGAGATTTTTAAATCATACAAGAGTAACTAGGACCGAGTGTCGTTTCAGTTCGGGCAGTGGATCAGGGGGCATCTCTTCCTCAGGTTCCTCTGCCAGGGCCCTTTTCGGGGCGAATAGCCGTGGTGTCAGATTGAAGACAGGCAATCTGTCCGCGGAAGGCGAGAGGCTCTCTAGGAATCGGAGCAAATTCTCCAGAAGGCGAAGGAGGGTCATCAAAATACCTCCAGGTGTATCCTTTGTCAGGATTGGCGAGTCGATGATACCTACTCGCTCATAGACCTCACTGTCCTTGTCGGTACGTCTAACTAGCAAACCGAATCGGTGGTCCATGAACGGAGAAAACCCATGGTTACCATCTGGAAGGCGGGCGAGGAAGAGGACAAACAGCTGCTGCTTGGGGAATACTGGCTCGGGTGTCAGATCAACTCCCGCGTGAAGATAGAAAGACTCGTTTTCCACTTCCACTTCCACCACTTTATCAACGGTTGGATTTTGTAGAGGCGGTAATAGCACCTCGGAGACTGGAGACCTATTACCTGCAGGATATAGGCTCTTGACTGGCAAGAGGGGCGCCTGCAGACGAAGATGCCCACTATTGACAGTGCCATAGACATCCGGCCCGTCTCTCTTAACGTCGCAATCCACAAATGTTGCTAGTTGTTCGTAGTCTGCAATGCCACGCTTCCACCTACATCGCTCGATGAAATGATATACAATAAATTGAACATGCCCCTCGACAGAGGCCCAAGACCATGATGGGGCACGATACGATGTTGGCTTCTTAAGTGGCTCTTCGCGGTTCATTGCACACCAGAGCAAACCTTCGACCAGTCCCTTCCTCCAGATTCCGGCAAGATATACATCCTTGGACGTCTGCGCTATTGCGTCTGCTACACCTGATAATGCAGGGAATCGGTCCGACTGGTGTGTGATTGAACGTTGGGTATATTCCTCAATCATTTCGTACCACCCTCGATAATTGACTTCCGAGTCCCCTCCTGGGCGTGGGCCAAATATAGTCTTTTGGCTCGATGCCGTTCCTCTCAGACGATCCAGATTGTGGAGATTACCCAGCCTGAGATCCCCATCTTCAGCCCGGCTGAGGGCGCGACACTCCCAGAAGAGCTGTCTTGCGCCGTAAAGTAGAACGCGCTGGGCGAGATACCGCTCTTGTAAACACCAGGCTCTGCTCTGGAGTGGCTCGGACGAGACCGGATCCCGGCCAGATGTCCATCGTTCTCCTGCTGGAGGTAGTAGGGATACAGCCAAAGAGCTGCTGCGTCCGTTCTGGAGAGTCCCCACCCAGTTAATTGAACCCAAATGATCTCGAGGGCCAAGAAATCCTTGATCATCTGCATTTGAATTCGACGCCCCGATCACCACAAAGGCGTCCATGTAGACTTTCGCCATTCTCCCAGCTTCGACTTCCCAGTCATGCCGATCATTTTGGACAATACAAAGTGTATCAATCCAGAGATACTGTATGCCAAGCCGACGTGTAATGAGAACCGCCTCCTGGAAGACTTGAGACATGTCCGTGATACGGACCTCTCGCTTGCGATCCTCTAGATTCTCAAGGGTGGTCGCGAATGGAATGCATTTTCCCCAGCAGTGACTCAAGGCAACGTACCGAGCAGCGCGATCCACTTTATTCTGGTCATCTCGAAGTCTTACTAACCCTGGATCAAGCCCTACTGGCCGGACATCGATTACCCGCGTTGGGAGCAGTGGTGGTTGCGAGGCCTCCGCACATTGTGTATGGTGATCGTTGATGCATGAGTCCATCCAGACCTTGATAACCGCAAAGGCCTGATCACTGTCAGCTGATCGCGCGACAGTCCGGCCTAGGATCATTTCCGCCAAAGGGCCGTCTAAGAAGCATTACGATTAAGCCGGACTCCGGAGGAATAGTGATCGCTATTTATACATACCATGATCGGTCGCTACACGAAACTCCGCTTGGAGTGTCAGACCCCACGAGACCCCCGACGAGATTCTGACGGTCAGAATAGCATGGGCCATTCCACTACGCTGTGATATCTCCATGGCTTCCGCACCGTCTTCGCTTGATAAAGATGAGCGGAGTTGCAGCGACATGGTCATGGGGAAGTCCAGGTATCCTTCCATCTTGCGCAGGGGATCCTTCGCGTCTGTTTCCGTGGAGCTTGTCGGAGGGACGTCTCCGTATGCTTCTTGCTGTGCCGCCTCATATTCGAAAGACGCCTCCAAGCCTTGGTGAACTAGCTTGCAAAACGCGCAGTCTGGCCGCGACGGTGCAGTCAGTTCACTTAGCGATGAATACCACGGGATGTCCCACGACAACTGTGGCTTGTTCGCTTCCTTCCAGAGGCAATGGCCTTGTTGGAGAAGGTTATGGAGCGGAATGGCCTCGCAGCGAGCACAGAGGCGATGCATGGCTGACAACGGATGCAGACTAATTGTGGACAGGTTTGGGTGGGCAAGTTTACAAATTGCTCGTACATGATGTTTCACACTAACCCTATTTGTCCATTTTATCGGACTTATCTTGCGGCGCCGATCGCGAGGCAATGCTCATTATGAAGAAGAGTTGAGATTGGGTGCCTCACAAAAGATTCAACATTACAATCCCACTGGCTGTACATGCCCTCACAAATGTTCACCATTCCCCGTCAGACTGCTAGCTAGAAGTCACCGATCCTGTACATGCGTCCTATCTCAATGCTCAGAAGACCAGCAACGCGGCCCGTCCAGTCATAACCGCCAAGATTACCGAAGAGGTTACGAATAGGGAAAACCGGGTCATAATATGGTTGTTTGTAGAGTGCACCAGACTGTGCACAACGCGGACGGCCACATAGGACCAGGTCAGCATGATGTCGACCTTGTCATCCTTGCCGGCCAGGGCCAACACGAGGGCTATCGCGTAAAACTGGGTTGGCTGCTCCATCAGGTGGTTGTAATTGTCGGCCTTCCATCGAACATTCGCCGGCGTCATCGCATCGAGTTCGCGCTTTGTGCTGGTGTTCCTGAGATTCATCTTGGTGTACACTGGGATCCGTGTTTTATACATCCAGCCCTCCATGACGAAGGTCCAGATATTGAGGGCAACGACGGGCGCTAAGAGGGCCGATACCTGACCGGTGGACATCTTGGATTGGAATTGGGGTCGCAGTGTAATGGAAGGAGAAGACGAAAAGGTTGGATTCGGGCACCGGCAAGAAGAACGCGGGGGCCGAGGTAACATTTATAATGGATTGAGAATTGATTGTCGCAAGGATGGTCACCTGATCCACGGATACGAACTGTGTCTGCCTGGCGAGAGAAGATGGCTTTTGGAAGCAAAGGCCATGGTATCTCTACGAAGGAACACACTACTCGCGCACGTAAATTCCTTACCCGTCGAGCCCTGGGGGCACATCAAACGGAAAGAGGTTGCCAAAGTCCCCCAGCCCAGTCGCCGCGAGAGAGTCAAATTCACCCCAGCTAGCCAGATCCGCGACATACGACTCTGGGCTGATGCCTTGTAGAGACCCCACGTCGGATTCTTGTGGTGCTGACGGGAATTGAAATGAGCTCGCAGGCTGCACCCTATGATAGGATACTTGCACGGAGCCGGAAATATCGTCGAGCCTGTCACTTGTGGCGGGGTATCCTCCAATCCCTTGAGAGTCAGCGGCATTTCTCAACTGATCAAGCTCTTCGGGTCTTGAGGTTCCACTCTCAGTTGCGCCTGAACCTGGCCTATTCGTGGGTGGCGCATCGACTGACTCCTGATGTCCCTGGATTATGGCCTTGTGCGCCTCCTTGCGAAGCTCCTCCAAAACCATCACATAACGCTGGGAGAAGGACGCTTGCGAACCGCAGGATGCTAGGTCGTCTTGGCCCTGTTTACCAGCCATGTAGTACGCAAGATCTGCATCAGTTGTACTCTGGCGAGAGCGACTACGGATGTAGTGGACATATAGTACAACGATGGCGGAGAACGCATAATAATGGGTAAACTTCAACCTCAGTCAGACCTTGAACCAATACTGAACGTCCAGGTTTCTTACCCAAAAAGCCCGGTACATCTTTCCATTCGTGGACAGATCATGGACAATGGAAACAACCTTCATGGCCGCTTCCAAGCAAGACTTGATATTCTGGTCGATCGTTCCCTGTAGCCTATCGTTTCGCCTGCTAGGCCCTTTGCTGAGGAGTGTGAAGCCCTTCAAGAGAAATGGGCGATACAGCAAGATCTGTGCATGATAGAACGCGAGATTCAAGACGGTGAATTGTCGCTGATAGGTAATCTTGAGTAAGTTTACATTGGGAAGGTCGACGAACTCAGACAGCTCTTTTCGCCATTGGGCCATTTCCGCTGCGTATCTCGCCGCAGCTGAGGCTTGGACCGCCAGTGTGGACCGCTGAATACCGTACAAGTCATGTAAAACACCGCTGATAATCTTGGACAGCTTTGCATGGTAGACGGGGGCCAACATGATGCTCTGAGTACTCGAGGTTGGCGGAAGGATGGAGGTCACCGTGATCTGTCTATCTTCGGCAATCTCAGGGAATTCTTGGTCAATCTCGTCATCATGGAAGATCCGAGGACGACCCAAAGCAGCACTCAGATAATTGTCCAAGCTATACGCACACCAGAAGACTCTCTTTGAGCACTCTTGTTCAATAAGGTTGACTGTATTCGGGTGCTCTCGGCGACGCTTTCGATGTAGACCAATGGCGATGGCAAGACGAGCCGTCGTGCCGAAGAGGCTCCAGCAGTGGTTGATACGAGACTGCGACAGAAGATAGAAGCATTGAGCCAGACGTGCCTGCACACTGGTCACTCGAATGGGCCCAGTCTCGGCTGCCAGGTGGTGCTCTGCCGCACCAAAGTAGACTGCGCTGTTCCATGATGATGAGAGATCAGAGTGGAACTAGGGTAGCGGAAGAATGGAAACAGACCTCATACGTGAATCTTCCAAGTTATTACCGGACTCCGGCTTATATTGTGATGCCTGTGCGAAAACCATGAGGAGCAGTGCTCTGATTGTCCGTTCTCCAGGTCCAAGCGGGTGGGGCTCCAGGAGATGGTTGTAAAGTTCGTCAAGCCAGCATTCCACCTGCGGCTGGTAGAGGAAGCGATGCGTGGGAAACGCAAAGTCAAAGTATCTATTGACTAACTCTCTAGCTTCATTCTTGCTGGGGAGCAGAAGGAAGGACGGGTCCGATTTGGGCAGAGGAGCATCGCCAAAACTAAAGATGGGCGTATTCAATGGAAATGCGATATTCTCATGGAGTCTTTTCTGAATACGGAGTAAGAATGAGACGCCTGAGGAGGGTCCGACATAATGACCTTCCATGTCAGTTTGATGCGGCTCTGGTGAGTCTCGTGACGGCAGGTTACTGGCGTCTCCATCGACACGAGACAACAAATGACCTTCTATCACCTCTGCATCCGGGGATGCAGGCATTTGGTTTACATCAGGGACTGGTTTACTTGGTGTATGATGCTCGGCAACATTGCTATTGACTGTAGGTTGATGGAGCGTTGGGATAGGAGGCGCCTTCCCCCTCGTATAGCTTGTGGTATATTCACAGCTCTGACTCGAACGCTGGCATAGAGAGCACGGAAGAGTACCCGAGCAGCGGAGCTTCTTTCTATGTTACTGTTAGCGTTATTAAACTCCAATATCTTCTGGAATTCTCAACGCACCTTTTGCAAGCATCGCACGCCCTCGTGACACGGACGCGCTCTTTGACGCATCGGCGTTTCCTCGGACGAGTACTAGTCACCTCCATCGAAAAGATGAAGAAAACGCTATATCCGAATGTTTGGGGTAACGGATCTGAAATGGAAAAGGAGCAGAGATACAGTTAGACGGAAAGGCAAGATGATTTTCCGGATATTTAACCCCGCATACTCATGTCAAGCCCTGAACCAGTGGGAACCACAAGTCTTGGAGGCATGGGACGTCCAATTATCGCCAGTAGATTAACCTGAGAGACTATGCCACATCCTACTAGGCGAACGGAACTATCCCCGCCTGGCCCCAGCCCCCGACTCAAACGTGCTGGCTTGGATCCCTCGCCCTGGGGAAGCATATTCGTCCCCAGGAGGGTCACTGTTACTGTCATTATGTTGCATTCCTACAATAGCTGAGGGCCTTCGCATACAACTCGTCATACTCATATCCGCTTGGATCACATCACCCATCGCTAGTCAGTGGACAGCGTAACTTTTTAGCTATTGTGGAGCCATTCACGAAAGTCATCAATACCAACTTTAGTTCTATTAAAGTTTAAGAAGGGAAAATGTGGCGCTTAGGCCATCTGCTGCCACTTGTCTTCTGTACATTCAAATGCATAGCGTTTATATGCGGCCTATATGCTTTATCCGAGCAAGAGCCCCAAGAGGAAAACGGGTGGCCAGATTTAACCTCGGCCACATGTGCTGAGCAGAACCGGTTAAGGTAGAGACACAATATCAAGATATGCTTGTCTGCCGTTGTAAATGCAAATGGGGCACTGTTATGGGCGACGAGTACCAACTTCTAGCCACTTCTACTTTGATTTCCGGACAACCGGAAAAGCAACCCGGAAAACAAGAGGGGTTAGGGTTTTCCGATCCTAACCCGCAACTTGCAGTACTCTAGCGGATATAGCTCGTGGAAATTAATGATAGTGTAAGTAGGTAAAAAGAGTAACGTGAGAGAAACAAGAAGCATCCTCTCTAGCGCTGGCGAAGTTGCATGCTTACTGAAAAGTCCGCCTTTCGGATTGCTGTCAACTGCATTGTTACTCCTCAATCTTACATGCAAGGTGTGTTTTCCTCAATCATATGACATTAAACGCGCAGCAAATTGACTAACTCTGATTTGACTTCAGTAAGCATAGAGGTTGATCACTCCCGAGTCCAATTCCCGGAGCTTTCTGTTCTCTCGGGTCAAGATGATTCGCATGATCCAAGCTAGAATGACCACTCCGACCGAAAATCCGATACTACAATACATCGCGAGTGAAAATCGTGGAGCGTCGCTATCAGGCCAGAGGTAGGGTGTGTAGACACTGGCGAGGTTGCCCAATGTGTTGGTGATGGCAATTGCCACGGCCTTCTTCTCGTCAGTTTGACCCAGCGTCGCAGCTGTCCACGCGATGTTGATATTGTTCACCCCATAGGTGGCACCAACAAATAGGATCATGGCGAAATACCGCGCACCGATATTCAGGGTCCCACAGGCGACCGCGAAACCAACAATCGCGAGGGCCTTCGAAACGGTAACATGCCAAGTACGCTCGTTGAAGTGTCCCGATGACCACGACACTGCGACGGACGTGAACGTAGCCACGAGATATGGTGGACATGTGAGAACTAGTGTTATCGTGGAGTTGAAGCCAAGAGTCTGCACCACGGTCGGCATGAAGTTCTTGAATCCGTTTGCCGACAGATGTAGATTGCACATCAAGGCAAAGATCCATGTGCGGTAATCCATACAGGCTTCGCGGAGGCCAACCCACGTGCTAGTGCCTTCTTCCCTCTGCGTAGTGTCGCGCTTAATCCGTTCATCGGCAAGTTGTCGCTCCTCAGGGGTGAGCCATGGTGTTGAGCGGGGTGCGTTGGGGAGCAGGAAGAAGGCGACAATAGCGACGGCAACAGTTACCACCCCTTGGATGAGAAACAGCCATTGCCACCCTGCAAGGCCGTGCTTCTGATCAAGGCCTGCGAAGATACCCGCGGCAATTAGACCGGAAAAGGCGCTGGCGAGCATGTTGCCAGTATAGAGAATGGCCATGCGGGTGGTCGCCTCCTTGCGAGTGTAGAACAAAGATATCATAAACAGCGCTCCAGGGTAGAATGGTGCTTCAACGAATCCGAGCAGTATTCTACAGACGAGCATACTGTGATAGTCTTTGGCCAGGCATGTGAGAGTAGAAACAATTGCCCACGCCATCATGAACCCGGCCATAAACCACGAAGGTCTGACTCGATTGAGGAGCATGTTGGAAGGGACTTGGCCAAGAAGATATCTAGATCATTATTGTCAGTATATGTAATGTAGAAGGAACCATCGCGCTGAGAATACCCAACAAAGAGAATGCTAATACAGGTATTATACTCCGTTCCCTTCAAGTGTAAGTCTTTAGAGAGGCTATTGAGTTTGCCGTTCACCATTGCGTTGCGGTCAAGAAAGTTCAGGAAGTACATCAGCCAAAGGATCGGCTAGTAATCGTCAAAATAGCTCAGTATCCAAACGGTTGGGGCAGACCAAACCATCATGTACAGATCAATCTTCCTCACCAGGGCAATCTCCTTGGGGTCGACCTTAGCGAAAGAGCCAAACCTGTCATACTCTGGGGTAGCCGAAGTAGATTTCTCAGGGTCTCCAAGGTACTCGACATGGTTTGAGTTGTCCTTCTCGGTGCTGGCATGAGGAGACGAGTCTGCCATTATGACTGGATTTGCTTAGGAAAGGCCAGCGCTGGATGGAGAATGCTGACAGAGGATGGGCATGCCGACCCAAGGAGATGTCTCCTTTTATACCTGAATATCTGGTGGACTTGAGCTGATACATAGACTTTCATGTCTCCACATCTCCGCATCAAGAGAATCTGGGGTAAGGCAGTCCCACAGTATTCCACCCCGAAAACGCAATTGCTGTCAAGAATGGAGTGCCAAGCAAGTTGCGGGGGAGCCCAGCTGCAAGCGATGGACATGAAGCCAAGCTGGAGGCCAATGTCCAGCCTCCGATTGGATCTACAGATCGTTATCGGATATGTCCATGAGTGTTTGTACATTTCCGATGTTCAATGGAACAAGCTTTCTGAATGCCGGAAAACGTGCTGCTATTGCGTATGGGTGACATACCTGATGCACATGAAGCTAAGGTTGTGTTGTAGGTTGATAACGAAAGATCTTGTTCAATCATTGTCTTCAAGCCACTTTGGGTCGCACGATGCTGGATCGATATCCACGAATGTCATTAATGCCTTTCAGCACAAGCCGTTTAATGTCACAATCGATCCATCATGGGTTATCAGTGCCTTCGTGAGGAACTGTGAGAATTACATGGAGTCTTGATGATGTCGTTTCAAACGTCTCTACCCCCCACGCCATATAATTGTTGTCTCTACAGCCCGACTAGAGACATTTTTACCCTACTTGTCCCGTCATTCCCATTGACATAAAAGCGCATAGAGTCCCACAGAGCCTTTAGATATACCGAAGAACCATATGACGTGAAAGCATCTCGAAAGTAGGTAGAGAAGTATGTTACTGATCTGTCTGATCCAGCGTAGTGCCCCTTCATTGAGAAACCACGATTTGCGTAAATTATTAATCAGACGTTAATCACTAACTTCGGTGAGGGATATACAATTTATCATGCCAGTACGCGGCAGGCAATTGAGATATTCAAAGTGCGCATCGCCGCGCTTAAGCACCGAAACCTCGTGCCATGTCCGAAACTTCCGTCTATCCCCAAAGGTCTTCGCATGTCGAATAGCACCAGTGTATATAGCCAGATGCGATGGGTGTTTCTTGGCCCAGGTTTCCAGATCAGCAAGGCTTCTGAAGAATCCAGTCACGCAGGATTCGTTTGATTGTCCCGACCACTGGGGCGAAGAAGTAGGAATGTTAGTTAGGTATCTCAGTCCCATTGAGCCCGTCTCGTCGGGATTCTGCCATAAGTATAGTAGGCCTTCCCGGAGTGTCGGTTCCAGTTTGTCTTCGTAGGAACGCCTCTCATCCTCGTCGCAGTTGTTCCAGAATTGACCAGTCCGTATATGCACCATGTTCTGGAAGTTGGTACCCGTGAGGTGCCTGCCTAAGGAGGTTGGCATATTATGAGAAACAGCTGCTGCCGTGGGATTGTCATCTTGCTCAAAGATATCAAATGCCGAATCAGGGATTCGATCCCGAGCAGCGCCCCAGTATGCCGAGTATGAATGCTCTACGGTCTTTGTGCCCGGTAGTCGAGCCAGGCCAGGCAGATAGTCTGTTCCCGAATAGTTTGTCTCCAAACGAGAGACGTGGCTGACAAACCTCTCACACCAGAGACCCACCGTCGGTTGGACCGATTTCTCAAGCTCTTGGTATAGCTGAGTGAGATTCAATGCTCTGATACTCTCCTCGTACTTTGATTCGTTGTCCCAGTAGCATACAAAAATGAGTGACTCCGGAGCGTCATCTCCGTCGATGACCTGGAATCGCTCCATCGCAGCCGGTGCGTTGTTCTGGTTTTCAGCAAGCCAGAGCTCGATCGCTGCAAGACACTGAGTTCGCCCCGTGTCGAGCCCATTATGTTGTTGAATCCCAATGTAAGCAGTGAAAACTCTGTCTAGGCCGTTTGCAAAGTGTGTATACCATCGCGGTATAGGGGGAACATGATTGGCTGGTCGACGCAGAGGGAATCTTCTAGCAGGACAATCCATAACTGGCGGAGTGGGAGGGTGGGATAATCACTTGCAATGCAAAAGCCGTTCACTAAAGGGTGGCTGGTTTTTAGTAGTCCGTAAGGTTACATCCAGTGCACGCTGATGGACCCATTTTTCATAGTGGAGCAACTAGAGCTGGTGACAAGACTACAAGCTGAGTCTCTTTAACTTGAGTCTGGGATGCGAACATGCTTGGTTAGACGCGGAAAGAAAGCGGAACGGGAGCGGAACGGACCGCCAGACCCGATTGGAGCCTCGGAGAACGAGATAGTCCGAGCCGGGGACATGTTGAATGTTCGTCACTGACCTCCACAAGCCCTGGGAGTTAGAAGGACGATGGTTCGTAAGAGACATGACTGTGGCCTGTCCTTCTCTCTGGCGACATAGCCTCATGTGATGTCGTGTAAGATATGTGCATCTCTGTTCTGAACCGGCTATAGTAGAAAAGAAATCCTCTCTCACTGCTCTGTTTAAGTTTACTTGGCTTGGGGTAGGCTTGGAGAAGCATAATGGCCCTTGGTATATATATGTTAGTGCTGGCTGTCTCCTCATAAGACGCTTCTTTCCTCCCTGATTTGATCGGTGACCATGGCCACTCAAGTTCGACTTGCCGCCGCCCACGTCGCCCCCATCTTCCTCTCCGCTCAAGAAACAACGCACAAAGCAATCCGCTTGATCGAACAGGCCGCTAGAAACAAGGCCAACCTCGTCGCGTTTCCGGAATCTTTCATATCGGCATTCCCCATCTGGAGCGCCTTGCGCCCGCCGACTGAGAACCATGACCTCTTCCAGCGGATGGTCCGGGAATCCATCCACGCAGATGGCGAGGAGATGCAGGCGGTTCGCGCGACGGCGAGGAAATACAACATCACCGTCAGCCTTGGCTTCTCGGAGAAGGTCCGCACCAGCAGTGCGACCTTATTTAACTCGAACATGATCATTGGCAGTCAGGGCAACGTTCTCATCCATCACCGGAAACTCGTGCCGACGTTCTTTGAGAAGCTGACTTGGTCGCCTGGGGATGGCTACGGATTACGGGTGGCAGAGACGGAGTTCGGCAAGATTGGGGCCCTTATTTGTGGGGAGAATACTAATCCTTTGGCTCGATATGCTCTTATCGCTCAGGGCGAGCAGATCCATATCTCGACCTGGCCGGCTGTATGGCCGACCCGGTTGCCATCGCAATCCACGACGGAAGAGCACAAGCCACAGCCCGATGCTACAGGAAAGGCAAACTATGACAATGTCGCCGCGAACAGAATCCGCGCGGCCGCCCATTGCTTCGAGGCCAAATGCTTCGGGATCCTCTGCGCCGGGCTATTGGGACCCGATGCGATTGAGATCGTCTCCTCTGGTTCGTCTGGCCTAAAACAGTCCTTGGAGCAATCCCAACGAGCGGCGACTATGTTTCTCGACCCAACGGGGGCACCGATACGGGGGTTTTGGATAGATGAAGCTACGTCGGCTCAGCATTCTGTTGATTTCCTACAAGCTCGGGAAGGGATGCTGTACGCTGATGTTAATTTGACCGACTGTATCGAGGGCAAACAATACCACGATACTGCCGGTGGCTACCAGCGCATGGACGTCTTTGATCTCCAAGTAAATCGGACCCGTCAACAACCAGTAAGATTTACTCGTGCAGTTGATTGGTTGACAGACCAGGTCCTTCGTGAGGGATCAAATGGTGGTTGAGGGTAGTGATCTTCGGCAGGATGTGCTTGACCTTTATTGAAACAACCTTGGAATCTATAGTCAATAAACACGCAAACGGCATTATTATTCATTCACACTATCTCTATATCTCTAGGCCTAGCTAGCACTAGACTTCCAACCTCAGGGCTGAGTGCAGATAAACTGCCCCGTAATGATTCATAAAGTAAGGCTTAAGACAGGAAGGAAGCGAATGCTGGAGTTATTCATCGTCTCGAAGACTTTTGTCGATATCTTGGAGCTGGATTGGCGAGGTGTCGCCGTGTAAGGGAGCTCTTATGCGCTGGTTAAGCTCCGAGGCTCGAATTACGCGGCTCCAAAAATGTCGGACCATCCTCGGCGAGTCTTTGCCCGATCAAACAACCGACAAATACCAATTTCTCCGCCACGGGCAACGCACTTGAACGATTGCTTGATGGTCTGAGGACTGCCCACTTCGATCACCCATTGGCAACCAAGCCTATTGCGTGTCAAATGTTTGACAGTCTCTCCCCAGTTTGGATCATCCCGGTAGTTCAACCAACGATGTAATCCCATCTGCTGGAACCGGAAAGCCTTCTTGGGCTAGGGTATGGTCGCAAAGATAGTCGCACCGCGAGATCAGTGGGCCCGAGGCGTCGCAGCTCCAGGCTGTCACTCCACACCAGTGCCCCAGATCCATCGCCCGGGCGGGTGCCATGTAACTCCCATGGAGTTGACATCCGCGTGTTCTCTGAGTTGAGATAGGCAATTTCGTAATCATAACCCGTTATCTGGCCAACTAAAGGTTCTCCTGTCATGTTTTTGGAAGGCGATTTGTCGTAGTCACGAGGAGATTTTAAAGCGTTGACAACGGTTGGTGTCTCTAACTGACTATATAAGTCTAGTCTGTCCCGGGAGTATCCTACTACTGAAAGAGCGTATTGATACCCGATCAGCAAGTGGATGTACTTTACATAATGAGCGTGGGGGTTAGCTGAATTAAGTTCGACGTCCAGCGCCCGGAGCCCTGTTGCGCCCAAATGTCCGGTAGCGTCCGGACAGCTGCAACAATATTTTGAAACTTTGTCTTTGCGAAGACCTGGTTCATCCGTTCGGTGAAATAATGCCGGTGCTCGGGATCAGTAGAATCCGCAGCGGCGATGAAGCACACCCAAACAAGGGCATGAGCACCCTGCTCGTCAGGGTCGACGCGTGACACCAGCTGTTTCAAGCTCTCGAGTCTATCCCATAGGTCGAGGTTGGTAGTGGCTCGGAGGATATAAATCTGGGAAGCTTCAATAAAGGCCTGTCGGACCACCCAAAGAACCCTATTGTGCCTGGACTCGGGGGGAAGTTGATAGTCGGTCCAGTCGAGGTAGCGAGTAGGGTGAAAGCCTAGGGCATCCATGCCTTGGGTTTCATTGAGCAACGGCTGTCCGAGAAATTGAAACCTGTATAAGACATCAGCGTCAATCAAAGATTAGGCAGCGCGACCAGGCTCACATGTGGGTTTGCTGTATAAGAAAGCGATAAGCTGGAGTCGCCTCCATTTGACAGAGGCTCGGCATCAAGGAGAGCAATGTGCGCAGCAGATGAGAGTACTCGGGACTGCCTGTGATGGTTTCACCCACTAGCAGGACAATCAAAGTTGCCCACGTACGAAGATTAACAATGCTGTCCGATGATGCCTGTAAGGAATCGCGTCGAAGCCGGGAAATGATTGCCGCACGACCCATTTCTGCTATTTCATGAAAGCTGGCGTGTTGTAAAGCCAAGTGCTGGGCTGCCACGACTCGAATGGCCCCACGCAGAACCTCATCTTCGCAAGCTAGAGGTAAGAAAATATCCCGGTAACCATTGGAAACATTATCGAAGATGACCATGACGGGGGCCACCTCACTTGCGACTGGCATATATTTAGCCACCGGTAGGTAGGCACCAGGAGAGGTGCAACTTACAATGTGAAAGATACATTCGATCCTGAGGACCTAAAGAAGGGATCCATGGAATTATAGTGCTGCACGAGGCTGGAGCTGGTGACGACTCGTCATTACAACATTCTTCTTCGTCCGCATTGGAGTGATCTAAGCTTCCTTGCCACTCCAGTTGGTCCTGCAGGATCCTGTCGGCCTCTGGGCACAGGAGTGGCGCAGCTCGAGAGCCTTCACATAGTGCATCTGCTGCCACTTCGTTTTCCGTGGGACCAGGAACTGCGGATTGGTTCTGAGATGCGGATTCAAGCCAAGCTTGGTGACTCTTCCCATCTCCCACGGTCGGATGTGTTTTAGCCTTTGTGGCTGCTGCGCCTGGCTTCCGCTTGGTACGGTTTGGACCATCGTTCTTCCATCGTATCTTCTGGGGCCGTGGAACCCCCGTGGGTGACTGGGTATTCCCTTCCGATTCAGACGGCACTGTGGTGGGAATCGCACATCCCTTTAGTTTGCCGCGGGTGGCTACACCTGAGGAGAAGCGGAAGCGACCCAGTCCCGAGCATTCAATTCCTTTTTTCTGGCACTTCAAGCAGGTCGGGTGGGCGCCGTCGCATACAATCCGACGCTTGGTACACTGGAAACACCCTGCAGGAGTCCGTTAGCCAGTCGATTGTGAAGTGTTTGGAAAGACGACGGGTATGTGAGAGCGCACCTCGATTCTTAACACCTTTGGGGGTCATTTAGTCTGATGCCACAGACTGGTATGCAATGCGATGGCATGGTAGTAGTAACGCTTCCACGCCGGTTGTTGGAGCTGCTGGCGGCTTTTTGCGGGGGAAATCCGCCTTTGTCCTCTTGCGGTTAGTCCCAGGCAAGCTTATCTTATCATTCCGGAGAAACGATACTCCGGAGTGTCTTTTCAATCTATGTTGATGCTCCGTCTTGCCGACTAACACAAGCTACTACCTCTATGATGGAAAGTACTGGATTCCTATTATGCATATCATGGATCAGTTCTATTCCAGCTCTATCCTTTCAAGGTTAGGCTACAAAAGAACCACTAACAACAAACAACAGTAGTCGCAAATGCATGTAATATTACCCCATAACGAGAATCATTTCCCGCCTTCCTCACGAAACCTGCGAAGTCGTGGGCCCTGATACGACTTTCGGGCATACACCACCCAATTTATGCCAGCTACAATAGTCATGGCACCGAGGACCGCAGGCGTATAATCTAGCAGCCACATTCCAGCGGTCAACAAACCCTACCGGGCACAAGAGAACAGGTAGTAGTCAAACTCACTCATGTTACTCCCAGTAACTGGCATCACAGTCGGAAAGTCGTAGAAGATCAACACCAACACCGCGAAGCAGACTGTGGTCAGATTGGCCGCCCACCCCACAGGGCTGGGTAACCGGAAGGGGCGGACATCTGGCAGCCAGATCGCCGATCGGCAGCGATACAGCAGCATGACCGCCGGGAAAGCGTACGAAATGTGCTGTAGAACTAAGCCAGTCCCGATAAAGGCATTGAATGCAGATGATGAGCCTAAGTAGATGCATCCGATGAGGAACATAACAGCATAGTTGAACACGAGAGCCCAGACAGGGACCTCTAGGCTGTCGTGTAACTCTCCGATCCATTGACTACCGATGAGGGCTCGGTCTCTCGCCAACGACCAGGTAAGGCGTGATGCTGTTTGCTGAGCACCAGTGAGAGCAAAGATGGCTGCGAGCACAAGGAGGCAAACGAACACAGTAGCAGCCGAGGGGGAGCGTGTCGCCTGATACCACATTTCGTAAATGGGAACTCTGCCGACCATGTTAGCCTGGCGTCCCAGCGTACAAAATCAGAAGGGTAGGCCACGGCAGCTGACCCGGTGGATGAGGCTACCACAGCATCCAAATCACTAGTGCAATATAGCATCGTGACCATGAAGGCAAAGGAGGTGATAAAGCCAATAACTAGGGTACTCATCAAAGCTCGAGGAACGGCAGTTGTTGCATTCTGGCACTCTTCCGCCAAGTGCAAAGCACCGTCAATACCTGCGTACATGTAATTGGGAGAAACAAGCCCGGTGAGGAAGGCTACTCCACCTGAGTTCCATCCGCTACCATTGAGAAAGGTTGCCCATACGGTATCTGACGGCTGATAGTGAGAGGCTGAGCGAGCAAGACAAGTTACCATGATAATGACGAAACTTGTGAGGGTCACAAAGACTGCAGTCTGATTAGATGTCCTAGTTTGATATCGGGTCTAGCACGGCGGAGGCGTACAGGATACGTCATGAAACCACAGGGACTTCTTCAACAGGGTTGTATTATACAAGAGTACCAGCCCATTAATAGACTGGTAGATGAGAAAGTAGTGCCATGGCTGCGATTGATACTCCGAGTCATAGAAGAGGACGATCCCGAGGATAAGTTGTGCTGGAATGATTGCGATCCCGGTGCAGATAGCGATCCAGGCAAGCATGTTGGAGACACCACAACAGTAACTCTGCATACCACATCAATGTTTCCCTGGGTTTGTATCTGGTGAAGGAAGGGACATACCAATGCTCGACTCAGCGGTCTGGGAGCCAAAACGCTCGTCCAATGATACTGCCCGCCAGCTGTTGGATAGGCGCTTGCTAGCTCTGCCAGGGTCAGGGTACAAGCGCCGACCAGAAAGAAGATCAGAATCAAGCCATAAACCAGAGTTACGGGCCCACCCTGGACGATGGCAAGAGCCACTGTGGCAGCAACACCTGCCCAGCTGTCACATATAATCCAGCTAGCGGATATCGTTTGTAAGGGGGTCAGCTTGCGTGTGCCCTCTGGTTGAAAGTTGAGTCCATCCAGGCAGGTTAGGTCGCCGTGTTGGATGGATTCTGTGTAGGACAAAAATGAGTCGGAGTGATTTACGTAGATGTGGATAACCTAGCAGACACTCACGTCTTTCGGCATCGAGGCATTGTGCTGAGTCAATGAAGCTAGATTAGTGACGTGCATCTTGCTATCCCAGGGACGGCCCACTCCATACCGTGCTTGGGCTTCGTTTCGGACGAGTCCATCGTGTACTATAGGGGAGAGGCCCGAGAGTTGCTGGTAGACAAGAGATTCGGATACGAGTACCAACAAAGCATAGCCATTGTTTAAGTCCCATGAGTGCTCAACAGAGAGTTTATATATCAAGGTATCAACGAAGAGTGACCCTCACGAGCGGTTCGTGGCTTTTGCGGGGTTCACATTAAGTTTCCACAGATTACCAAATTGGGTAAAAAAGAAGAGAATAGCCCTAGCCAAAGGATGGAAGTCACGGAATGAATTCGCGTCCGTAAGCCTCCTTTACGCAACTTGGCAAAGGCAAAGACTGGTACGTGACGGGCCCGGTAAGTCCAATGATATCTGAGGAACCATAATACAAGGTATCATCTTTCGAGCTACGAGTCGTCGCCACCTAGGAGAACGAGGTAGATAATACTGCATTGCGTACAACACGCCACATTTCAACTCCACGAGTGATACGCAAGGGGGCCTCATCGACAGATATTATAATATCGTTTTAACCAATCATACTACATAGCAGGCGGGGACATCTACAAATGAGAACGAACGGCATGGAGTTGGCGCAACTCCTCTATCACAGTCATCGCCGCCCGGGTGCCCTCCTCAATAGCGCCGTCAATGAAGCTGCGCCAGCCAACCGCCCAGTCAGAGTTCGCAAAGAGCACGTTTCCATGCCGACGCCTGAGTTCGTCCAAGGATTTGGACAGAAGCTGAGGAGGCGCGAAGAACCATGCGCCCTTGGCAAATTCATCCTTGCACCAGTTGTGAAAGACCTACAGGGTTGGAAGTTAGCAATTTCTTTTTAACATATGCCACGTGTGAAACTCACCAATCGCTTAATATCCATGTTCCCAGGGGACATATTTTCCACGGCCCTTTTGGTCTCATCAATATCTTCTTCGGGCTGGATGTGGTTATGTGCACCCCCGAAGCACACAATGTGTGTGTTTCCCGCGGGCGTAATACCATCGCCGATGGCGTAGGCAAGCTTGTTAAAAGGGTACGAAATTCCCGACCAGGACCGCATGTCCGGGCTCGCAACCTCTGCATGGACCTTGACACATTGGTTCACATGTCCGATATTGGCGGCTGCTGTGCGTTCTGGACTCAGTGGAGGCGAAAACGTGACGGAGCTTAGGACGTTCAACGGAATGGTAGAGATCAGACGGGCGCCACTATACTGGCGACCATCGCGAGCTTTCAACACAACCCTGTCGCCATGGTCATCGATCGACTGAACTGGGCTGTTGAAGGCATATGATAGCCGGCCAGTCGCCATTGCCTCACGAAAGAATTTGATAGCGAAGCTGGATTGCCCACCCTTGAACTTGTATGAAATTAGATGCTGCAAACACCCCTTGTAGGAGTAGTCGCATAAAGCCCACCAATGAAGGAATTCAAAGAAGCTTGTAGTTTCCAGAGTCCCACAGCTGCAGAGCAGAATGAAGCTCTCTAATACAGCGCGCTCATGTGGCGTAAGTGACTGAGCCAGCCCATTGAGACGATCCAAAGCCGACATGTTATCGTATTGCCGGGCCGCCGGGTTGTGGAAGGCGTCGTGCGGATAGGGAATGATCTCCCGGCCCATCGCACCGTCTACATCGACGAATTTCTGCAGTGCACCGGCAAGAAGGGCATCCTGTTGACGGTCAACGAAGGGTCTTAATGGAGAATGGTTCTCATTCCGGGATGCACAGACCTCTTCTAAATGGCTAAAGATTGATGAGCCTTGGCTGCTAGTGCGCAGTTCAAAATGATTCACTCCCCGAGAGAAATCAAAGGATGGTTCCAGCTCGCTTCTCATTTGATACCGGGAAACTTCTCGCCAAATATGAGGTTGGCCCCAGCTTAGCCAAGTTCCTCCCATTTCAAAGGGATACCCATCGATGTTGGACGACCAGGAGCGACCGCCAATACGATCGCGCGCCTCGATCAGAAGTACCTTAAGTCCTGTGGTTATGGTTCAAGGTCAGCGTACCTGTCCGTCTCCAACTGACAAAAGGGCTAATGTACCCGCGAGACAAGCATCTCGCGATGCCGTGAGGCCCGAATATCCGGCCCCGACAACAACTACGTCCCAGCCCTCTGTTGTTGACAGAACGTTCGTGGGTGGCGAGATAACACTAATCGATGGCACACCTTGGCGTAGACCTGTCGTCGCAGTCCACTGATACCCGTCCCGCGAAGTCATTGTATTTGATGTTATCTCAATTACTGACTCAAATGGTGTTGGTCGTGTCAGCTCCCAGAAGACGAAGTACTATGGTCCCAAGGTGTGAAGTGGGCATGGGGGAGCGACCCTTTAGATATAACCCCCAGACGGAACAAGTGAAAGCATTGGAATAGTGGATACACGACACCTGATATGGGTGTATACGGGGACTTTCCATATGGGGGTAATAGGAAGAGATTTCGGGAGCGAGAAAGGTTGTAAGACAGAACGGACGGAAACTCGTCGATTTCATGTGGAGGTTGACGAGAAGTTGCGAATTTACCGCATTCGGGCATTCAAGAGAGAAAACTGCGGCGCCAATCACAATCAAAAAAAATACTCGATATAAAATTGTAGATAACTGCCACAGTATTAATAATTCTAGTCTATTATCTCTACTCACACATCTCTTATCATTCAATACTCTTGCCTTTATCTAGGGGCTACTTCAATTCTAGATATAAGATGTATTAGTCGGGCCCTATCTTACGCCCAACAAACTCACTAAGGGAAAGACTCTCCTGGACTTCAAACAAAAGATTTATCCACCGCAGCTGACCAATCCAGTCATTCAAAAGGGCTTGGGGAATGATAAAGTCGCCATATAACCCGAGACGGAGGCTGACTATCGCACATGGTGCACATGAAATAGAGAGTAACATCGATACAAACCGCGTTGACGAACTTACATGATCCACCCTTTGAGGTTACCTCGACCAGAAGCCATGCCCCTCATTCTCGGCGGCTAACGAGCATATATCGCTCATGCGCATTTAGCAAGTGGTCTGATTCGTGAAGCCATGGCATCGACAGCCGATGAAGATCTACGTCTGCTACAGAATGTAGCTGAATGTATGGATGGTTTGGCGAGGGAGGTCAACGAGCTCTTTTCTCTGAAACGTGCCTTTAGGTTCGTCAATAACGAAGATAGGAAGTGTGTCTAGGGAGACTCCGATATGGTCGAACAGATTATAGACGTGTCTGAGTACAGAGCTTCATAAACTAGAAAGGACATAGCCCAGGCTGCTATTTTCACAACTCAGTTTAGGCATAGTAAATACTGGCAGAAGACATATACCATGTCAATATCGGAGACGAGTATGGAGAAGAAGGTATTTATATCGGCTTAAGGTTCATATCCCATCATTTTTTTTATATTGAATCTGTAGTATAAGATATGATTCGAGGGGCTCTACCATCAACTCTGATATACCATAATAACTTTGCTACTGCTTAGTTCAAGTGGCATTGCTTGTCGTCTTTTTCATACTTTGATCGTGGACGAGGTCTAGTCGTAGAAATACCAGAATAGCAGCACACATAGTACATAGGCCCATTTATTAATCAGTTCCAGCTGTATCACTTACGAAAAACGATTGATACTAGTGGAGCCATGGTAACTCTATCTAGCACCCACACTGGTGTCTTTGCTTCCAAAATACGTGCGCGGGAAGTGCGAAACTTGTCATGCGAATCGTGGATTTCGTCTTGTCATTATTGATATATCCTCACCCCTCTCAACTGGCTCAAATGCTACAATACTCTATACTGATATAGAGCCTTCTGCGATGTTAACAATCAACAGACACAGCCGCATAGAGAACCGCGTGGCAGTCCGTGTCTGGCACCGTGTACGAACTGCCGGCACAGTTGCTGCCACTCCAGGTGACCACTTTGCAACCACTGGGGCATTGTTAGCTCTTGAACCTTAAAGTGAGTGAATTCCGAGACATACTCGTTCTGGCTCACTTGAATCGAGCGTTTATTCGACGGAACAACGACGCACTTCTGCGAGCTGGAGTTCAAGACGGAGAAGGAATCGTCCGTTCCACCACAGGTATCGTTCGCGAACATGTGGATGGTCGCTCCAAAGTTTGTCTTAGTAGGACTCGCGGTGGTACTGGTGGATGTGGTACTGGTGGATGTGGTACTGGTGGATGTGGTGCTGGTGGATGTGGTACTCGTAGATATGGTACTCGTATATGTGATACTCGTAGATGTCGGCGTGGAAGTTGTGGATGAGTTGCGGGTCGTGTTTTGAACGGATGATGACGATATGGCAGTCGCAGTCGTATCACTAACGCGGGAGAGTTAGCCATGTGCTCTGGCGTGAATATGAACATGGGAGGCAGAAAGTACCTTGAAACGCTGTCCTTGTGAGCATTGCGACTACCAACAACTCCTCCCACAACCGCCGCGATCACAATAATCACGAACGCTACTGCCGCGACGACTATCCAGATCCATTTGTTCTTGTTTGGCGCCTGATTATTTGCGAGTGGCGCTATTGGCGCATTCTTTGGTATGGAAGGATCTATGCCATAGCTTTGCGCGGTGGAATCCAAGTACTTTTCGTTTGGATCCGGCACGAAGACATAAGGTGTTGGATCGGGGATCGAGACAACGTGCGACGCGGATTTGACATCCCGGTCATCGGGGGAGAAAATAACCTGTGGTGCAGAGTTTGGATCCTCTTCTACTGGAATCCGCTCCTATAGTGTGCTGTCCATGGTTAGCTCTCTGAGGTCCCTTGTGTCATTCCGGCACCGAAGGTGGATCAACGGACCATTGCGACGGAGTGGGCGCAAGAAGAACTTTGACCATAATCATTTCGCGTCAGCTGGGGAGGACATGGTCATCAATTTAATCGGTTATGTCTCCATAATATCCATTTCACTCCGACAGATGACCCTGCGCTGACCTGCGACCAGTGATGAAGCCCGCCAAACCGTCACAGTCACACTTATGCAGTCTAAAAAACACCGGCGTTGTGATGACCGCCAGTAAGCTTTGGGATCGGCTCTCTTATGGACGTTTGGAGTAAAGGAGGACCATTATCGTCTAATGAAGGCTTGAACCACCAATCCAGGTTCAGCAGACTATCTTAGATAATCCTATCATGCCCAATAATATGGCTAATTGGCCTGTATCCACCACACTATATCTGCTAAGCCCGTCGTAAATGCACAAGCCCATGAGTCCGGTGTATCGAGATTGGGGGCTGTTTTACCTCAGGCACTCGATTCATGGATTGCGCTTGATCGTTAGGTTTCTTCAGATTATACCCAGTTCGCTTGAATACCTTGATTTCACTGGCTTGATCGAATTAGCCTTTAGATCAGTAGTATGTGGTCGGTAAACCTATTTCATACTCGTGGGCTGAGTCTTGAATTACATATAAAGAACCGCTGATCCACGCCAAGAAACTTCCTGGTTTTAGATTCTGACTCTTCCCCTCTTTTCATTGGGTCTGGTGTCCAGATCACGGTGAGATACACCAAGCACATCATCAATAACCAAACTGTTACAAAGCCATGATTGCAGGTCATTGAATACTAAAGGTCATGCCCCAATAATACCATGCGAACGGAAGGGCTGGAGGATACAACTTACGCTTTATTACGTCCTGTTTTAGGTGTGATATATATCCATGACACAGCGCCGTCAGTCTGGCTCGTGTATATTTCAAGACGCACTGCACGACTGGTGAGCGACGACCATAAGAAATAGATCGTCTGAAGCCGTACAACAATATTGCCTTTATCGCTCTCTCCGTGGTCTAGAAGTGTATCCTTCATCTGATAGGATTCTACCCTTCACATCCACCCGACACCATTGGAGACGATCCTTCCTCTCTCAAACTGTGATGTACATGAAACTCGTATACGGCATCCCTGCTACAATGAGCACGATGGAAACGTTCTTAGTGTTTCTATATTGAATTTTCATATTTTATCATTATAGTCAATCATTCATAAATCCCGTTATTGTATATACATTTCATACGGACCCCGAATTGTCTGCGCAGGTGAAAGCTGCAGAGCCGCCTTCGGTCTTGTATGAGTCCATGATCCCAACCACGGAACCGTAGGTTCCTGCCACGGTCAGGAAGGTTCCTGAAACGACTACAAAGACACTGAAGCACACCATGAACCACCACTGTTTCGAGACGGGGCCCTCCTTGCGCTTGTGCCAGTTATCATAGAGCCACATGCAACCCATGGGCTGGAAGCACATCATCGTGCCCAGTAGGGCGCCGATGAGAGACACAAGACCGTCAAACACCGGGATTGCACTGGCGATGATATAGGCAATGACAGTGATACTAAGGGTGCAGGCGAGCCAAACAGCCCAGTGTGTGACGGTATTGCTGATGAGGTGTTTGGAGCCGCGGAGCAGATGGACGAATATATATTTCGCTGGGATCTGTTTGAGGAGGTCAATGATTAGCTCTGGTGCCACGGCTGGTCCAGCGGGATCTGCCTTACATGAGAAACAATCGTCGTCGTAACGATCAAGCCTGGCAAGGAAATTCCATAGGCGATCTTCTTGATCAAACCGCCAGCAGAGCCGAGGGCTGGCGAGGCGACATAGGACCCACAATAGTAGTACACTACACAGCCAATGGTGATATAGACCGCAGTCACGACAGCTTGACAGATGAGCAATGCTGGGGTGAACTTGCGCGGATCGCGCATCTCAGATACGATCGAGAAAAAGCCCGGGGTACCCGAGAAGGCGAAGACGAGTGAGCTCACTGCGGTGATCCCCTGAGCAAAGGTCGGATGGCCGATGATTTTGAAATCTGAGACCCACGGTTCATCTGTGAGTGGTGCGGTAGGCGGACGGTCTTGGACGCCAACGGCGATAGTGACAATCAGGACTACAAAACGTGTTAGACATCGCCTGAATGATTTCGCACGCCGATGATGGCCATTGACCATAGTGACTTACTGGCAACCAAAATACATGGCAGTCCAATCCATGCAAGCCAAGTGATCTTCCCAAGGGTTCGGATGCTACTACAGGCAAAGCCCAAGATCGCGGCAACCGCCACAAAGATCGCGGTGCAGGCACCGTGGGTGGAGACTGCATTCAGGCCAATCGAAATTCCGAGAATACCAGAGCCCGCAACGAAGATCCAGTCTATCGTCCTGTCAGTCAGGCGTGTGGTTGGCCACATGTTGATTCGGAGTGACTTACAGAGGCAAAATGCGGCTGCCAGAACGACGCGCCCCGGGGTACCAAACATCAACGCCCCAGCATCATCAATACCATAAACTTCGCGATGACGCAACTTGAAGGAACCGACCATATAGTCGGACCACGTCGTGATCACGGCAATCGCGATTAGAACGATCACGCCGGGAACCATGCCGAGGACATCGAAGGCTGTCGGTATGGAAAGAACACCCAGCCCGATCTGCGTCTTCATCATGAGCACGACGGTTCCCAGAAAGCCGACCTAGCCTGTTGTTAGCCCTGCATGCCGGGGGGTGAGAGCATCTGCTATCGGCAAGAATGTACGTACATTCCGATAGTTCGGCCCTTCTTCCGTGATTTCCCCAAAGACGGGATCGTGGGTCACATCATCCACAAGTTCGCCTTTCTCGAGATGAAGGGCATCCGGCTCGTCTTCGAGCTTCCCCTTTGTGTGTATTATCGATGGATCCATGGTGACGGTGAGAGAAGAGAAATTGTTGGTGATATTAGGGTAAGGGGGAACTCGCAGCCGGGAGACTTTATATACCAACGTTTTCGGAAAGGTTGGGAACGCGTCTGGGGGAATAGTACGTCATGATCGAATTTCCAGAAAATCTCCAAAGTAACGAAACGTCCCGAACCGGCCGACTCCATTTTTTTTTTGGTTCCCCAGGTCCATCATCATCATAATGGACCATTTCGTTTTGGGGGGGAATCCCCCGGTGCGGAGTGGCAAGGTGGGCAAGCGACGCAAGATGGAGTCTCACTGCAGCTTTTCCACAGGCGGTGCGGGGTCGACCGCTGCATCGCATGCCTCTTTGGGGAATTGAGGCTATGGGAAGTTTTGCCCTTCCTCCTATCTGGATCCATGGACCCAGTCGTCACAGAGTCTCATTCGATCCTCTCTATCTAGACCCGCTAAGATGCAAACGGCAATTTTAATGAGACCCAGTGTTGATTCATCCAACCCTCCAATCAGGTGACCCGGTGCCCTCGCTGGGATCCGCTTCTTCATGCCGGGCTAATTAGAGCCTTGGACCAGACTCCAGTGCAAAGGAAAGAGAATGGGAGAGGACGACAGTGCGACAGAGAAAGTCAAAGGAACAAGGAACAAACAAGCAAAAAAAAAAAAAAAAAAAAAAAAAAAAAAA